GGTAACTCCGGGTCTTCCTTTCCTGTGGCGGTCCTCATGAGATCCAGTTTCATCATATTGCTTGATGGTTTTTGCGACTGCACTTGAAGAAACTTGCAAAGTTCTTGAAATGTTCCATATTGACTGACCTTCATGTCTTAAAGTAATGATGGACTGTCGTTTCTACATGGTTACTACATGATTCCATATATGTTATTTCATAGTTTTGATGTCTTCACTATTATTCTACAATGTAAAAAAATTGTAAAAATAAAGAAAAACCCTTGAATGAGTAGGTGTGTCCAAACTTTTGACTGGTAGTGTATGTAAATGTGATATTTCCGTTTTTAATATTTAATAAGTATGCAAAAATGTCTAAAAACTAGTTTTTGCTTTGTCATTATGGGGTTTTGTGTGTAGATTGATGAGGAAAAAAACAATTTAATCAATTATAGAGTCAGGCTGTAAGTCAAGGTGTCTGAATACTTTCCGAATGCGCTGTATATTTTCATATCTGTCAAAAATATTTCACTATGCAAACAATCACTAAATAAATGCTCTATAGTCTCATTTTCTAATTCACAATAGCTAAATTATTTTTCTACATTAATTACATATTTAGAAATAAGACTATTACAAGGATAACATCTGTGAAGGATCTTGTAAGAGACTTTTCTTACTTTATTAGTTTTCAAATATTGATGTGGATTAATCCACACACACTGCCATTTCACATCAATGAAGATGCCCATTGAAAAATTGCAGCAGGGGTAAACTTCCTGTTAATATTTACTCTGATTAAATTGTTGTTACATTTCTTATCTGATGCCATTCATTTCTACACTATCACTGTAACTTAGTGCATGTAATGAAAAGCTTGATCGAGCCTTCAGTAAACTAAGGATTCCATTGGGAATAGCTTTCATTAAAATGTAATATTCCTTATACAACATAACAAAATTACATTTGGTTAATAATTATTTTAAGTATAAAGACTAGCATTATAATTTCTAAGTTGATTAACCACAAAGATATTTTTGGCAAAACAATTATGAAAAAACAAGGTTTTATTTATAATATCACCGCTATTCCAAATAAAAACTTTTGTGTGGAGAGAAATTGGGCTTGTATAACAAGGACCAGCACATTAGAGCTTGTTTATTAAATGTTTCTAATTTAACAGGAAGTCACTCCAGCGATGCAGCTATCTACGAGTTCTTGGCTGAGCTTTTTTCGACCAGACACAGGGGGCCTGGGTGCTACCAGAGATGAAGAGGAAGAGAGGCACAACTCAGCGGCAAATCTGTCTCCCTCCAGCAGGTGGCGATTTTTTTCGTTATTTCGGCCACCAAGCAAGGTGTTTTTGTGTGGAGGTCGAATTTGGTTTAAAAAACAATAATGGCTTATTTACTACCTGATGTCATACATTTAATCAAATATAAGTTTCGTAATGCTTAAGTTGTTACCAGTGTACTGATAGAAGTAGGGGATGTAGCTCAGTTGGTAGAGCATGGCGTTTGCAACGCCAGGGTTGTGGGTTCGATTCCCACGGGGGGCCAGTATGATAAATATAATATAATGTATGCACTAACTGTAAGTCGCTCTGGATAAGAGCGTCTGCTAAATGACTAAAATGTAAAATGTAAGTAGGACATGTGAAATCCCGCACCTTTTGAAAAAAAAAAAAAACATTATATCAGCATTGTCTCCAGATGGCTTTATTATTATTTTAACTAGGCAATAACAAAAATCTTATTTACAATGACGGCCTACCCTGGACTTGTGCGCCTCCCAATCATGGCCAGATTGTGATACAGCCTGGAATCGAACCAGGGTCTGCGCCACTCAGGGCTATGCATATTCATGAATGAGCCTCATAGCATAGCATCTTTTTTTTCTCTCTTTTTAAAATGTAATGTAATTACAGTACAATAACAAATTAACATAGGACATCACTACAAGTATATTTTCTCTTAAAAAATATAAAATAACATTAAAGCAAAGCAAATAAATAAATAAAAACAAGAAATAAAAAGTATTACACATGAATTGCTAGTGGCAATAGTTTCAAAAGTTAAAGTACCTCAAATAAAATAAACAGAAAAAATGTCAGGAGAGTAGCATAGCATCTCTCTCCATTGAATACAGGCGGTTGACATCAACAACCATAATCAAATATTCAAAAAAAGATTACAATAGTGAGATTTATACAAGGGGTGGGTCTAATCCTGAATGCTGATTGGTTAAAACCGCATTCCAGCCGGTGTCTATTCCACAACTTACCACCAGCTAAATCTATGACATTAAAATGCCTTTTTACTCTATTGCATCTGACTGCACAATCCACTGTCTCATCAGCCCAGCCAGGCAATTTATAAACTTAATCTCCACTATAAAAAGCATCTAGACATTATCTCACATTTCTTTTAGACTAACATTTAGTTTTAAACAGCAGAGATTTGTATAAACCTTGCTGTCGGTCTCTCCGACATTTGCAACATTGTTTCAATATTCAAATTTGATCTCCAGCTGTCCCATAGTAATGAAAGTGTCAGGAGTCTGGAGGAGACAGACAAGCAGGCAGCGTTTCTCATGCAGTCGAAATCATGAATCAGCTGGCATAATTTTTATGGATATGTATACAAAGACATTTCAATTGAAAAAAGGTAAAACGAAACGAAGTGCAGCTAGGTTGCGGTCTTTCCAGCTTCAGTTTGATATGATTGTGTTAGCTGTGTTGGTTGGCTAGCTCCTCTGAGCAACAGTATCCTGACGAGAGAGTACAGTTTCTATACCTGGCGAAATCGCGCCTAATTAGCTCATTATTATGGATATTTCCAAATAAACGTCCCTAGAAAACAGCTTAAACACACGCAAATGCAGCTACTGTTGTTATTCTGGCTGCACTGTTTGACGTGACTGTAAATTAGTCATATTTGGCTAGCTAGCAAGCAAAGGATAAGAACGTTGCCAGCCAGTATGGCAATGGAACATTTAGAATGAACGACTGGGTCGCGTCCATAGATACAGAACAAAAAGACTGAACGACTGGGTCTCGTCTCTGGCAACGGAACCGATAGAACGAACGACTAGCCGACTTGGGTAGCAAACCTAGATTTGCGTCGGGACTATATCTTGTGGAAGGATGAAATAGTATGAATAAATTCATAAAAATAACGTTTTTAATGAAAATATATAAATCATTATTTGAACATGTTGGTAACCCATTGAATAAAAGTGATAATGCCCTTGAAGCCGGTGTTTGGAGGTTATATTGGAACACCCGTCTCGATAGAAAGGATAGGCGGGAGCCGTGCCGCTTTGTGGACGACGACTCTCATTGTTAGCGCGGAGAGACATATCTTGTCAGTTTATCCATAATCTTTGTTGCTACTGCTCATGTTGGCGGCACGAGCTAGCTAAACAGACGCCTTGGAAAAGCATCTGTGTGACGTCACGCACTCACGAACGCTCAACCAATCACCCGACCTGAAACTATGTCAAGAAGCATGACTATTCATGATTTGAACAGTAGGTGGCGGTGTATGCAACTTTCAGTTGGCTGCGGTCCGCCAACTCAGTCCCAAAGAAGAAGAAGAAGTAGCAGCAGCGATCAACAGGTCAGTTTGTGTCTATCTAGCTAGCTAACTATCTAAATTAGACCTATTTTCTGCATGCAAATAGTGACATTAATTATAGCTACCATGCGACAGTCAAGATTGCGCGCAGGGCAGTCTGCTGACTAAATACATTAGCTAGCTAATCAGAAGCTATCTAGCTAGCAACTGTACTGTAGACATACATTTTTACCATCACTTTTCTGTCGGAACTAGCTAACGTTAGCTTGTTAATTGCAAGTTGGTTAGCTACCTTATTAGCACAAAACAATAATGTAATTGATTGATTTAGCTTGGGACCAACTACTGGACTAAACTAACATTCTTGCTTTGCCTGTGCTGACTGTTACACATTTAAAAGTCGCGGTTGCTGCACGTTTGGGAGGTGACGACGTTGGGGGCGATTACGGCTTGCTAACGCGTTAGTAATAGTTTGCATAGTTAACTGAATGGCTTCTTTAGACGGCAGAAAAAAAAGTGTGAATCGGTTTTTACTTTATTGAATATGTTATTATTATGGACAAAAACTGTCTGAATCGACATGAAATGTCTAGATATGTAATATTTGGTCATGTGAAATAAACACAAATATTTGCTTTTGAACATGGACGTAACGTTACTTGTTTCTGATACTTGTTGTGCATAGCCGTCTTGGTAACAGACTGGATCAACGTTCCTTCCAGACTGTAATGACAGTGAGCGAGTGAGCCATCCAAAATATCAGCGCCGCGGTTGTAGTGAATTATCTTCCTACAAGCAATGCTCTTTTGATATGGCTTAGTGCCGGTTGGAAAATTAATATTGGTGTCTTGGTATTCTACTAACGTTAGTAGTCAAGGTAAGGTCGGATCTATATACTTGATCCGCTAATGTTACATGACATCTTGCCTGAGCGTGTGTAACCACAATATTATAGCCAGCTGTTAGCTAGCTAGCAAGTCTTGGTTATAGAATATGTCAATTGTGTTGTTCTGCATGATGCCATTATCTTAGTATTTTAGCAGTACATTATTTGTCATGGCCAAGGTGTACTACGATCTCCTGTCAATCGTCTGCAGCATACGAATAAGCAGAATCTGAAGACCAATATGTTAAACTATTAAGGACAACCCATGCACCCAAAATCGCTATGGCTTTTTATCTGCTAATTGAACTGAAATGTACTGTAGCTATATACAGTTTGATGCGAGTTCTTCGTCTGTCTTTCCAAAGGTGATGGTGAAGCAGCAACCTTCTCTCGACTTTGACATTATTAAATGGCTTAATCCAATTTGCTCGGCTTTATTTTTAGGGATGGGAAAGACGCCTGCTGTGGTGATCCTCCAGCGGCACCTCAGTGTCAGGTAGTGACGGCGCAAAGGCAATGCGGTCTGCCAACTGTCAGCTGGGCAACCACCATATACAATGAAGAAGATATTCAACTTCACCAAGAAAAAGAAAGGCTTCTCCCCTAACACCTCGGACACTGGGAGTGTGCTGTCTGTGGGCTATGACTTGAAGGAGAAGGACCTTGGAAAGGTACACAAGGCTGCTTATGGGGGTGACTTGGCCAAACTGAAGCAGCTGGCCAAGAAGAATGACATCAATCAGCTTGATAAGGAGAACAGGTACGCAAGATGAGACTATTACCAGTTAGTAGCTGGTATTGCCACTGTTACTTTCTGAGGTCTGTACTTAGACAGTCCTTGTGTAATGTACTGTATGCATGACGAGTGTTTGAGTATGATTTCCCCTGTCTCTACCACCCTGCGATGGACTAGCGTTCTGTCCGGTGCAGGGTGTGTACTTGTAGATCAAGGTGCCTCGCGCCACAGATACCGGACAAGGCTATTTAGACTACTTACTCTTATTGCCACCCTATTTCAGGAGGCTACCTCTAGCTCACCCTGTCTGTCACTGACCTTAAGCTTTAGGCTACTTCTATCCACTTCCCTGTGCTCGCAGCAGGCAGCACAGTTTATCCTTTATATGCTATTCTTTATCTTTTAAAGGTCATGAACAGTCAAAATCATGTTTTTCATGAAATTGGATGATATTTGGATAAAACCAAATCAAAGTATGATCAAAATATGAAAAATTACTGTTGCTTCTACATTGATAAAGTTTGATCATGAAGTTACTGGCCCCTTCCCCATGTCAAACACTTGGATTCAGGAGGTGGAACTATTAACGGTATAGTGACATTTGTATTTGTATTTATTAGGGATTCCCATTAGCAAGGCAGCAGCTACTCTTCCTGGGGTCTCTAACTCTAATTTTAATACACCAACGGTAACATGATATTGTCTTACCTAATTGAAATAAGTACTGCCTTGTAACCAACAACGGAGAAGTTGTGTTTGTGGAGGGGCGTGGTTTATATAGCTAGATAGCTACTCTACTGGTGCCACAATTTGACTGTAAGGTGTCAACAAATATAATTAGAAGTTTACACGAGTCATCTATGGCAAAGATACGCTATATACACTACCGTTCAAAAGTTTGGGGTCACTTAGACATTTCCTTGTTTTCCATGAAAACATACATAAAATGAGTTTGAATAGGAAATATACCAAAATGCATAGGAAATGTAGTCATTGACAAGGTTAGAAATAATACTTTTTAATTAAAATAATAATTATTTCGTCAAAGAATCCTCCATTTGCAGCAATTGCAGACCTTTGGCATTCTAGTTGTCAATTTGTTGAGGTAATCTGAAGAGATTTCACCCCATGGTTCCTGAAGCACCTCCCACAAGTTGGATTGGCTTGATAGGCACTTTCTTACGTACCATACGGTCAAGCTGCTCCCACAACAGCTCAATAGGGTTGAGATCAGGTGACTGTGCTGGCCACTCCATTATAGACAGAATACCAGCTGACTGCTTCTTCCCTATATAGTTCTTGCATAGATTGGAGCTGTTCTTTGGGTCATTGTTCTGTTGTAGGAGAAAATTGGCTCCAAACAAGCGCCGTCCAGAGGGTATGGCGTTGCAAAATGGAGTGATAGCCTTCCTTCTTCAAGATCCCTTTTACACTGTACAAATCTCCCACTTTACCACCACCAAAGCACCCCCAGACCATCACATTGCCTCCACCATGCTTGACAGATGGCATCAAGGACTCCTCCAGCATCTTTTCATTTGGTCTGTGTCTCACAAATGTTCTTCTTTGTGATCCAAACACCTCAAACTTCGATTCATCTGTCCATAAACATTTTTCCAATCTTCCTCTGTCCAGTGTCTGTGTTCTTTTGCCCATCTTTAATCTTTTGTTTTTATTGGCCAGTCTGAGATATGGCTTTTTCTTTGCAACTCTGCCTAGAAGGTCAGCATCCTGGAGTCGCCTCTTCACTGTTGACGTTGAGAATGGTGTTTTGCGGGTACTATTTAATGAAGCTGCCAGTTGAGGACCTGTGAGGCGTCTGTTTCTCAAACTAGACACTAATGTATTTGTCCTCTTGCTCAGTTGTGCACCGGGCCTCCCACTCCTCTTTCTATTCTGGTTAGAGCCAGTTTGCGCTGTTCTGTGAAGGGAGTAGTACACAGCGTTGTACGAGATCTTCAGTTTCTTGGCAATTTCTTGCATGGAATAGCCTTCATTTCTCAGAACAAAAATAGACTGACGAGCTTCAGAAGAAAGTTATTTGTTTCTGGCCATTTTGATCCTATAATCAAACCCACAATTGCTGATGCTCCAGATACTCAACTAGTCTAAAGAAGGCCAGTTTTATTGCTTCTTTAATCAGCACAATAGTTTTCAGCTGTGCTAACATAATTGCAAAAGGGTTTTCTAATGATCTTTTAGCCTTTTTAAAATGATAAACTTGGATTAGCAAACACAACGTGCCATTGGAACACAGGACTGATGGTTGCTGATAATGGGCCTCTGTACGCCTATATAGATATTCCATTAAATATCAGCCGTTTCCATCTACAATAGCCATTTACAACATTAACACTGTATTTCTGATACATTTTATGTTATTTTAATGGACAAAAAATTAGCTTTTCATTCGAAAACAAGGACATTTCTAAGTGACCCCAAACTTTTGAACGGTAGTGTGTGTATATATATATATATATATAGGCTGTGTTATTTTAGTGTTCCCTTAATTTTTTTGAGCAGTGTATATAAAAGGGCTTCAGCACTATAGTGCGATTGAGATGTAAAGTTTTTTTTTTTTTAGCAGTGTATACACACACACACACACACAACCCCCATTCGGAAAGTATTCAGACCCATTTACTTCCTCAACATTTTGTTACATTACAGTCGTATTCTAAAATTGATTAACTTGGTTTTTAGAAATGTTAGCACATTTATTACAAATAAAAAACGGAAATATAACATTTACATAAGTATTCAGACTCTTTACTCAGTACATTGTTGAAGCACCTTTGGCAGCTATTACAGCCTCAAGTCTTTTTGGGTATGACGCTACAAGCTTGGCACACCTGTATTTGGAGAGTTTCACCTTTGCCCCGGTCTGAGGTCCTGAGCGCTCTGGAGCAGGTTTTCATCAAGGATCTCTCTGTACTTTGCCCCATTCATCTTTCCCTCGATCCTGACTAATCTCCCAGTCCCTGCCGCTGAAAAACATCCCCACATCATGATGCTGCCACCTCCATGCTTCACCATAGGGATGGTGCCAGGTTCTTCTAGATGAGACACTTGGCATTCAGGCCAAAGAGTTCAATGTTGATTTCATCAGACCAGAGAATCTTGTTTCTCATGGTCTGAGAGTCCTTTAGGTGCCTTTTGGCCTACTCCAAGCGGGCTGTCGTGTCTTTTACTGAGTAGTGGCTTTCGTCTGGCAACTCTACTTCAAAGGCCTGATTGGTGGAGTGCTGCAGAGATGGTTGTCCGTCTGGAAGGTTATCCCATCTCCACAGAGGGACTATGGAGCTCTGTCAGAGTGACCATCGGGTTCTTGGTAACCTCCTGTCACAGATATATGTGTGTGTGTATATGTATGCATATATATATATATATATATATATATATATATATATATATACATACATACATACATACATACATACATACATACATACATACATACATACATACATACAGTGGGGAGCACAAGTATTTGATACACTGCCGATTTTTCAGGTTTTCCTACTTACAAAGCATGTAGAGGTCTGTAATTTTTATTTTAGGTACACTTCAACTGTGAGAGACGGAATCTAAAACAAAAATCCAGAAAATCACATTGTATGATTTTTAAGTAGTTAATTTTGCATTTTATTGCATGACATAAGTATTTGATCACCTACCAACCAGTAAGAATTCCGGCTCTCACAGACCTGTTAGTTTTTCTTTAAGAAGCCCTCCTGTTCTCCACTCATTACCTGTATTAACTGCACCTGTTTGAACTCGTTACCTGTATAAAAGACACCTGTCCACACACTCAATCAAACAGACTCCAACCTCTCCACAATGGCCAAGACCAGAGAGCTGTGTAAGGACATCAGGGATAAAATTGTAGACCTGCACAAGGCTGGGATGGGCTACAGGACAATAGGCAAGCAGCTTGGTGAGAAGGCAACAACTGTTGGCGCAATTATTAGAAAATGGAAGAAGTTCAAGATGACGGTCAATCACCCTCGGTCTGGGGCTCCATGCAAGATCTCACCTCGTGGGGCATCAATGATCATAAGGAAGGTGAGGGATCAGCCCAGAACTACTTGGCAGGACCTGGTCAATGACCTGAAGAGAGCTGGGACCACAGTCTCAAAGAAAACCATTAGTAACAAACTACGCCGTCATGGATTAAAATCCTGCAGCGCACGCAAGGTCCCCCTGCTCAAGCCAGCGCATGTCTGAAGTTTGCCAATGACCATCTGGATGATCCAGAGGAAGAATTGGAGAAGGTAATGTGGTCTGATGAGACATAAATAGAGCTTTTTGATCTAAACTCCACTCGCCGTGTTTGGAGGAAGAAGAAGGATGAGTACAACCCCAAGAACACCATCCCAACCGTGAAGCATGGAGGTGGAAACATCATTCTTTGGGGATGCTTTTCTGCAAAGGGGACAGGATGACTGCACCGTATTGAGGGGAGGATGGATGGGGCCATGTATCGCGAGATCTTGGCCAACAACCTCCTTCCCTCAGTAAGAGCATTGAAGATGGGTCGTGGCTGGGTCTTCCAGCATGACAACGACCCGAAACACACAGCCAGGGCAACTAAGGAGTGGCTCCATAAGAAGCACCTCAAGGTCCTGGAGTGGCCTAGCCAGTCTCCAGACCTGAACCCAATAGAAAATCTTTGGAGGGAGCTGAAAGTCTGTATTGCCCAGCGACAGCCCCGAAACCTGAAGGAACTGGAGAAGGTCTGTATGGAGGAGTGGGCCAAAATCCCTACTGCAGTGTGTGCAAACCTGGTCAAGACCTACAGGAAATGTATCATCTCTGTAATTGCAAACAAAGGTTTCTGTACCAAATATTAAGTTCTGCTTTTCTGATGTATCAAATACTTATGTCATGCAATAAAATGCAAATGAATTACTTAAAAATCATACAATGTGATTTTATGGATTTTTGTTTTAGATTCCGTCTCTCACAGTTGAAGTGTACCTATGATAAAAATTACAGACCTCTACATGCTTTGTAAGTAGGAAAACCTGCAAAATCGGCAGTGTATCAAATACTTGTTCTCCCCACTGTGTATATATGTGTGTGTGTGTGTGTGTGTGTGTGTTTCTGTTGGGTGGAGTAAATAAAACCCTTAATACGTATTCATGTGCCTCTCTTCTAATCATTATACAACGTGACAGAATAATCAACCCAATAAAATGGAGACCGCAGGAAAGGCAAGGCTGACGACCATCGTAGAAACAGTCCAGCATCATGAGGCTCCAGTCTCGGCAGGGCCATTTACAGCGTGCTGGCAACCATCCTGCGGTTGGAGGGAAAAGTGCAGTCCATCCAGTACCGGTTCCGGCACCAGCCCGAACACGACCACTACCTGCCTATGTCCCATCTGAGCCCGTCCTCGGATCCCCCTGTCCCTTCCGGAGCGCTTTGATGGTGTGCCAGCGAGATGCAAGGGATTCCTTCTGCAATGCGACCTGTACCTCGCTCGCTACGCCAAGGCTGTCTCCAAGAGAGACAAAGTTGCCACAGTCATCTTGTCACTGACCGGAAGGGACCTGGACTGGGATGCCGTGGTCTTGGAAACTGGCGGACCCGAGGTCGAGTCCTGCGAGCGCTTCACCGTCCTCTTCCGCTCGGTGTTTGATCATCTTGTGGAGGGCAGAGAGGGGGTTGAGCGTCTACTCCGACTACGACAGGGATCTAGGTCCGTCTCGGAGTTCGCCCTGGAGTTCCGGACCATCACAGCCTCAACCGGATGGAACGAGTCGGCTCTGGTCATCGTTTTCCACAGCAGACTGCTGGAGGAGGGACAGTTAGCCTGTTTTGATGACAACCTGTCACTCTACCAGCTTATCAGCATGACGATCCAGTTGGAAAACCTCCTGCGTTCCCGACAAAGACCTGAGTGGAATCCGGAGAATATGACTAGACCTGTACCTTGGCCAGAGCCGATGGAGGTGGGCTCTGCACGTTTGCCCGAGGCAGAGCGTAGGAGGAATCTGGGTTGGTCGCAGGAGTTTCAGAGGAGGTGTCTCGCGGAATCTGTCAACACCACTACAGTGGAAAGTCCGGACCACCACTCAAGTGGATTTACCGGAGGAATACCAGGATCTGGAACGGGCTTTCTCTAAGACCCAGCCTACATGTCTGCCTCCTCATCGCCCCTGGGACTGTGCCATTGACCTGCTATCTGACGCAGTCCTCCCGAGAGGACATGTCTATCCCCTCTCCTACGCGGAGACCGAGGCCATGGAGACCTACGTACAGGAGAGCCTCCAGCAGGGTTTTATCCGCCCCTCTGTCACAGCCTCCTGAAACTTATTTTTTGTTAAGAAGAAAGATGGGGGAATGGGCCCTGCATTGATTATCGAACGCTGAACAAATTCACCTTTAAGTTCAGCTATCCGTTACCCCTCATCCTAACCATCATCAAACAAATGCACGGGGCGCAGTACTTCACGAAACTGGACTTGAGGAACGCCTACAATTTGGTGCGCATTCGTACAGGCGATGAATGGAAAACAGCCTTTTCCATGACCATGGGGCGTTACGAGTATCTCGTAATGCCCTTTGGCCTGTCTAATGCTCCTTCAGTCTTCCAGGCCTTTATTAACAAAGTGTTTCGGGACATGCTGGGACAGGGTGTTGTGGTTTATATAGACAACATTTTGGTATATTCTGCTGCAGCATGTCTCGTTAGTCAGGTCTGTGCTGGGAAGACTGTTGGAGCGTGATCTCTATATTAAACAAGATAAATGTTAGTTTTTCCAGCGGTCCGTGTCCTTTTTGGGCTACGTCATATCCTCGGAGGGAGTGGAGATGGAGGAGCAACGCGTCAGATCATGGCCCATCCCGAACTCCGTGAAAGCAGCCCAGCGATTCCTGGGGATCAGCAACTATTTCCGGAGGTTCATCCAGGGCTTCAGCACAGTGGTCGCGCCTCTTACCTCCCTGCTGAGAGGAGGTCCCCAGCGGTTTCGTTGGATGGAGGAGGCGTGCCAGCACGCTTCACCACTGCTCCCGTGCTGGCACATCCCGACCCCTCACTCCCCTTCATTCATGAGTTGGATGCCTCCGAAGTAGGAGTCGGGGCAGTGCTGTCCCAGTGCACCAGAACTCCTCCAAAACTGCGGCCCTGCGCCTTCTACTCCAAGCAGCTGAGCCCCGCCCAGAGGAACTACGATGTAGGGGACTGGGAACTCTTGGCGGTCAAGTAGGCTCTGAAGGTGTGGAGGCACTGGCTGGAAGGGTCCAAACACCCTTTTCTGGTGTGGACGGACCACCGCAACTTGTAGTATATTAGGGCAGCGAAGAGGCTAAACCCGAGACAGGCCAGGTGGGCTCTATTCTTCGCTAGGTTCCAATTCACGCTTTCCTATAGGCCAGGCTCAAAGAATGTGAAGGTGGATGCCCTGTCTCGCCTCTATGACGCAGGGAGAGGAAACCCCCATCGTCCCTCCGTTCTGTATCATTGCGCTAGTGATGTGGCATGTGGACGCCGACAAATGGCAGGCCCTGCGTACGGAACCCGCACCTGCACAGTTCCCAGAGAACCGAGCCCACGGTTGTGTGGGACCGCCTCCTTTCCTGGGCGCACATGGCGCCTATGTCAGGTCATCCTGGGATAGGCCGTACCATCGCCTGCCTGACTGAGAAGTACTTGTGGCCCACCTTGGCTAAGGACACCTCCCTGAAAGCTTCTTCCCCTGCCGGTTCCACAACGACCCTCTTGGTAGACTTTGTCACTGACCTCCCCCCCCCCCCCCCCCCCCCCTCCCAGGGGAACACCGCCGTTCCAGCCCAGGTTCCTGAGGTGTTACTGCCGGGGGAGTGGGCGGATTTTCTACCTTGGGCTGAGTACTCACAGAATTCTCTCCGCCACTCCTCCACTAACCTTACTCCTTTCCAGTGCGTGTTGGGGTATCAGCCGGCCCTGGCACCTTGGCATCCGAGCCAGACCGAGGCCCCTGCGGTGGACGAGTGGTTTCGGCTCGCTGAGGAGATCTGGAACGCTGCGCACACTCGTCTCCAGCGGGCCGTGCGTCGGCACAAGGAACAGGCCGACCGCCACCGCATGAGGCGCCTGTTTTCTCTCCAGGCGACCAGGTCTGTCTCTCCACCAGAACCTGCCCCTCTGCTTGCCCTGCCGGAAGCTGAGCCCGTGTTTTGTGGGGCCGTTCAAAGTCCTGAGTAGTGTTAATGAGGTAACGAACCGTGTGCAACTCCCTGTTGATTACCGCATTAACCCAACTTTTCATGTGTCTCTCCTCAGGCCAGTGGTGCCTGGTCCCCTCGCTGAGGCTGGACCCAGTGACGCCACGCCTCTTCCTCTGGACATCGAGGGAGGTCCGGCGTACTCGGTCTGTGAAGTCCTGGATTCGAGGCGTCGGGCGGGGTGTCTCCAGTAACTCATCGACTGGGAAGGGTACGGCCCAGAGGAGCGGTGCTGGGTTCCTGCGTTGGACATTTTGGATGCTTCGCTGACCACAGATTTTCACTGTCGGCGGCCTGACCGACCTGCACCGTGTCCCTGTGGTTGTCCCCGAGGCCGGTGTCGTCCCGCTGCTGGTGCAGCGTTTCGTGGGGGGGGTACTGTCACTGATCCCTCCCGGTACTGCTGCTCATTCCGTTCACTAGTTCCGGAGGTCTACGTCACCGGCTTTCTAGGCGTCACTGACATGGATCATTACCACCAACCCCGTTATGCACACCTGGTTCCCATTTACCCGGATTTGTATGTGTATATGTGTGCCCTCTGTCACCCATTGTCCTTGTCAATTATTGTCCCATGTCCGTTGGTCTCGTGAGAACCGTGTATTGTGCTCTTGTTGTTTTTGGGTCTTGTTCCGTGTATTGTGTAGAGGTTACACCTCGCTCTTTGTTTGGGTTACATCCCTTTGGTGTATATATATATATACGTGTTTGTGTTGGGTGGAGTAAATAAAACCCCTAATACAAATTCCTGTGCCTGTCTTCTAATCATTATACAACGTGACACCTCCGTGACCAAGGCCCTTCTCCCCCGATTGCTCAGTTTCGTCGGGTGGCCAGCTCTAGGAAGAGTCTTAGTGGTTCCAAACTTCTTTCATTTAAGAGTGATGGAGGCCACTGTGTTCTTGGGGACCTTCAATGCTGCAGATATTTTTTGGTAACCTTGCCCAGATCTGTGCCTCAACACAATCCTGTCTCGTGCTCAACTAACAATTCCTTCGACCTCATGGCTTGGTTTTTGCTCTGACATGCACTTTCAACTATGGGACCTTGTATAGACAGGTGTGTGTGCCTTTCCAAATCATGTCCAATCAATTTAATTTACCACAGGTGGACTCCAATCAAGTTGTAGAAACATTTCAAGGATGATAAATGGAAACACAATGCATCTGAGCTCAATTTTGAGTCTCATAGCAAAGGGTCTGACTACATATGTAAATAAGGTATTTCTGTCTCTTATTTAGTATAAATGTGCAAACATTTCTAAAACGTGTTTTCACTTTGTTATTATGTGGTATTGTGTGTAGATTGATGAGGATGTAAAGTAATTTAATCCATTGTAGAATAAGGCTGTAACTAAACAAAACGTGGAAAAAGTGAAGGGGTTTGTATGCTTTCCGAATGCACTCTGTGTGTGTGTGTGTGTGTGTGTGTGTGTGTACAGTTGAAGTCAGAAGTTTACATGCACTTAGGTTGGAGTCATTAAAACTCATTTTTCAACCACTCCACACATTTCTTGTTAACAAACTATTATTTTGGCAAGTGGGTTAGGATATTACTTTCTGCATGACACAAGTAATTTTACCAACAATTGTTTACAGACAGATTATTTCACTTATAATTCACTGTATCACAATTCCAGTGGGTCAGAAGTTTACATACACTATGTTGACCGTGCTTTTAAACAGCTCGGAAAATTCCAGAAAATGAAGTCATGGCTTTAGAAGCTTCTGATAGGCTAATTGACATAATTTGAGTCAATTGGAGGTGTACCTGTGGATGTATTTCAAGGCCTACCTTCAAACTCGGTGCCTCTTTGCTTGACATCATGGGAAAATCAAAAGAAATCAGCCAAGACCTCAGGAAAAAAAATGGTAGACCTCCACAAGTCTGGTTCATCCTAGGGAGCAATTTCCAAACACCTGAAGGTACCACGTTAATCTGTACAAATAATAGTACGCAAGTATAAACACCATGGGACCACGCAGCCGTCATACCGCTCAGGAAGGAGACGCGTTCTGTCTCCTAGAGATGAACGTACTTTGGTGTGAAAAGTGCAAATCAATCCCAGAACAACAGCAAATGACCTTGTGAAGATGCTGGAGGAAACAGGTACAAAAGTATCTATATCCACAGTAAAACAAGTCCTATATCGACATAACCTGAAAGGCCACTCAGCAAGGAAGAAGCCACTGCTCCAAAACCGCCATAAAAAAGCCAGACTACGGTTTGCAACTGCACATGGGGACAAAGATCTTACTTTTTGGAGAAATGTCCTCTGGTCTGATGAAACAAAAATCTAACTGTTTGGCCATGGAGGAAAAAGGGGGTTTCTTGCAAGCCGAAGAACACCATCCCAACTGTGAAGCACGGGGGTGGCAGCATCATGCTGTGGGGGTGCTTTGCTGCAGGAGGGACTGGTGCACTTCACAAAATAGATGGCATCATAAGGAAGGAAAATTATGTGGATATATTGAAGCAACATCTCAAGACATCAGTCAGGAAGTTAAAGCTTGGTCGCAAATGGGTCTTCCAAATGGACAATGACCCCAAGCATACTTCCAAAGTTGTGGCAAAATGTCTTAAGGACAACAAAGTCAAGGTATTGGAGTGGCCATCACAAAGCCCTGAACTCAATCCTACAGAAAATGTGTGGGCAGAACTGAAAAAGCATGTGCGAGCATGGAGGCCTACAAACCTGACTCAGTTACACCAGCTCTGTCAGGAGTAATGGGCCAAAATTCACCCAACTTATTGTGGGAAGGTTGTGGAAGGCTACCCGCAATGTTTGACCCAAGTTAAACCATTTTTAAAGGCAATGCTACTAAATACTAATTGAGTGTATGTAAACATCTGACCCACTGGGAATGTGATGAAATAAATAAAAGCTGAAATAAATCTTTCTCTCTACTATTATTCTGACATTTCACAGTCTTAAAATAAAGTGGTGATCCTAACTGACCTAAGACAGGGAATTTTACTAGGATTAAATGTCAGGAATTGTGAAAAACTGAGTTTAAATGTATTTGGCTATATATATATATATATATATATATATATATATATTATTATTTTTTTTTTTACACACAGAGGTTAAATAATAGGTGATGCTCTCTCTTTCATTCACTCTTGTGGCTTTATGTTGTTAACTTTAAACAATTTTTATACGTGCATGGTGTAGCCTAGGTGTAGCTACAAATCAAGCCAGAGTGATAACATTTCGTTGCCGTTGCAGGGCTCCAGACTAACATTTTCCCCTGGTGGCACTGGTGCCACTAACTTTTTCAGTTGGTGGCACCAGCCCATGTTTTGGTGGCACCCAAAAAAATCTGCAGCGTCGCACAATATAATACATTATAGTCATCTTATAAAGTCATTATAGTCATTCACAATGCTTTATTAAGAAGTGTAATAGGCTATTGAGATGGTATTCAATAAATAAGTTGATACATCTAACATGTCCAAGCAGGAGTGCATGATTCAAAATAGTTGAATATTCAACCTAATCCAGTGATTGTCATGAATTTTGTCTTGACAATTAGGCTATTTTTTTTAAATATTTTACTCTCAAAATAGGGCTCCAGAATTTTCAGATTTTTTTGTTCAATAGAGATGAATGTGCACTAATATTATATATAGTCCTAATTCAATTGGTGTTAATTCACCACCTGAGGAAAAGGAAACTCAACACATTAGCTAGATTGCTTACTCTAAATCTAATGCTTCTGTTAGTAGCCATTCATGAATCTAACTGTAAATGTAATATCCTAATAATACTTTGCAATGAGGCCTAGTACACTCGCGATTGCCGATGTGCAATTTCATATTTCAAAGCCGTATCAGATATCTCGATTGTAAATCAGTGTGGTTTGAGCGCAATATATTTATACCTTTTGAAATGTTATGCAATCCCGAGGGGCACATGAGGGGGGGAGAGTGAGTGTGATGGGCTCGCTCAGCAGCCGGCCCCAGCGAAACAGGCATGCACAGTGGTAGGGCAGACACTTTTATTATAGGAATTATGAGGATAATGCACTTTACTGTTAACAAATTCAAGGTTTTATCCTCCTAAAAAATAAGTTGTTTTGATTTGATGGGCACCAGGTAGAATGTGTAGCTCACACCAGTGCGACTACAAGTTGTGATGCAATAACTTGTAATGGAGGGCCAAAGGACTGTTTGCCACTTACATGTCACCCTTGTTCACATTTCAGAACAGCACTTCACATTGCCTGTGCCAATGGACATGCAGACGTGGTCCAGTTCCTGGTTGAGAGCAAAGCCAAGCTCAACCTATGCGACAATCAAAACAGATCCCCCTTGATGAAGGTACTGTGTCCTATTTTTGCTTTGTCAGTGGACGGAAGAATCCAGCATTTTAAAAACAGATTTGAGGATAAAATATGATAGTTGATTGACCATCTCAATTCAGACATGGTAGGCATATGTGTAGCCTATATTATTCTTATGGATTGCATATACATTTACACCTGGGTGGTATTCATTAGGGCACACTGGGAGGTGAATGTTTCCATTCAAGCACAATTTGATACGCATTTAGATACAGTGCATTCAGAAAGTATTCACACCCCTTGACTTGTTCCAAATTGTGTCTTAGTTTGAATAAAAAATATACAGGCGTCCTTCCTAACTCAGTTGCCGGAGAGGAAGGAAACCGCCCGTGGATTTCACAATGAGGCCAATGGTGACTTTAAAACAGTTAAAGAGTTTAATGGCTGTGATGGGAGAGAACTGAGGATGGATCAACAACATTGTAGTTACTTCACAATACTAACCTAATTGACAGAGTGAAAAGAAAGAAGCCTGTATAGAATACAAATATTCCAAAACATGCATCCTGTTTGCAATAAGGCAAAATAATGTGGCGAAGCAATTCACTTTTTGTCCTGAATACATAGTGTTATGTTTGGGGAAAATCCAATGCAACACATTACTGAGTACCGCTCTCCATATTTTCATACATTCACATCGATGGGGCTGTAGTGGAGCGGGTCGAGAGCTTAAAGTTCCTTGGCGTCCACATCACTAACAAACTATCATGGTCCAAACACACGAAGACAGTTGTGAAAAGGGCATGACAACTCCTATTCTGCTTCAGGACACTGAAAAGATTTGGCATGGGTCCTCAGATCCTCAAAAAGTTATACAGCTGCACAATCGAGAGCATCCTGACTGGTTGCATTGGTATGGCAACCACTCGGCATCCGACCGCAAGGTGCTACAAAGGGTAGTGCGTAAGGCCCAGTACATCACTGGCTAATGCCATCTTTATACCAGGCGGTGTCAGAAGAAGGCCCTAAAAATTGTCAAAGACTCCAGCCACCCTAGTCAAAGACTGTGTTCTCTGCTACCGCACGTCAAGCAGTACTGGAGTGCCAAGTCTAGGTCCAAAAGGCTCCTCAACAGCTTCTAACCCCAAGCCATTAGAGTGCTAAACAGTTAATCAAATGGCTACCCAGACTATTTGCACAGACCCCTTTTTTACGCTGCTGCTACTCGCTGTTTATTATCTATGCATACAGTGGCTTGCGAAATTATTCACCCCCATTGGCATTTTTCCTATTTTGTTGCCTTACAACCTGGAATTAAAATCGGGCTTGTATCATTTGATTTACACAATATGCCTACGACTTTGAAGATTCAAAACATTTTTTTGTTGTTGAAACAAACAAGAAATAAGACAAAAAAACAGAACTTGAGCGTGCATAAAACTATTCACCCCCCCAAAGTCAATACTTTGTAGAGCCACCTATGCATCAATTATAGCTGCAAGTCTCTTGGGGTATGTCTGTATAAGCTTGGCACATCTATCCACTGGGATTTTTGCCCATTCTTCAAGGCAAAACTGCTCCAGCTCCTTCAAGTTGGATGGGTTCCGCTGGTGTACAGCAATCTTTAAGTCATACCACATATTCTCAATTGGATTGTGGTCTGGGCTTTGACTAGGCCATTCCAAGACATTTAAAAGTTTCCCCTTAAACCACTCGAGTGTTGCTTTAGCAGTATGCTTAAGGTCATTGTTCTGCTGGAAGGTGAACCTCCATCCCAGTCTCAAATCTCTGGAAGACTGAAACAGGTTTCCCTCAAGAATTTCCCTGTATTTAGCGCCATCCATAATTCCTTCAATTCTGACCAGTTTCCTATTCCCTGCCGATGAAAAACATCCCCACAGCATGATGCTGCCACCACCATGCTTCACTGTGGGGATGGTGTTCTCGGGGTGATGAGAGGTGTTTGGTTTGCGCCAGACATAGCGTTTTCCTTGATGGCCAAAAAGCTCAATTTTAGTCTCATCTGACCCGGAGTACCTTCTTCCATATGTTTGGGGAGTCTCCCACATGCCTTATGGCGAACACCAAACATGTTTGCTTATTTCTTTCTTTAAGCAATGGCTTTTTTCTGGCCAATATTCCGTAAAGCCCAGCTCTGTGGAGTGTAGGGCTTAAAGTGGTCTTATGGACAGATACTCCAATCTCCACTGTGGAGCTTTGCAGCTCCTTCAGGGTTATCTTTGGTCTCTATGTTGCCTCTCTGATTAATGCCCTCCTTGCCTGGTCCATGAGCTTTGGTGGGCGGCCCTCTCTTGGCAGGTTTGTTGTGGTGCCATATTCTTTCAATTTTTTAATAATGGATTTAATGGTGCTCTGTTGGATGTTCAAAGTTTCTGATATTTTTCTATAACCCAACCCTGATCTGTACTTCTCCACAACTTTGTCCCTGACCTGTTTGGAGAGCTCCTTGGTCTTCATGGTGCCGCTTGCTTGGTGATGCCCCTTGCTTAGTGGTGTTGCAGACTCTGGGGCCTTTCAGAACAGATGTGTGTATATGTATGTATATATATATATATATATATATATATATATATATATATATATATATATATATACTGAGATCATGTGACAGATCATGTGACACTTAGATTGCACACAGGTGGACTTTAGTTAACTAATTATGTGACTTCTGAAGGTAATTGGTTGCACCAGATCTTATTTAGGGGCTTCATAGCAAAGGGGGTGAATACATATGCACGCACCAATTTTCCGTTATTTATTTTTTAGGCTACACAAAAGATAGCCCTGTGTGGTAAAATACCAAGTCTATATTATGGCTAGAACAGCTCAAATAAGCAAAGAGAAACGACAGTCCATCAATACTTTAAGACATGAAGGTCTGTTTCAAAAACTTCAAATGCAGTCGCAAAAACCATCATGCGCTATGATGAAACTGGCTCTCATGATGACCGCCACTGGAAAGGAAGACCCAGAGTTACCTCTGCTGCAGAGGATAAGTTCATTAGAGTTACCAGCCTCAGAACTTGCAGCCCAAATAAATGCTTCAGAGTTCAAGTAACAGACACATCTCAACATCAACTGTTCAGAGGAGACTGTGTGAATCAGGCCTTTATGGTCGAATTGCTGCAAAGAAACCACTACTAAAGGACACCAATAAGAAGAAGAGACCTACTGGGCCAAGAAACACAAGCAATGGACATTAGACTGGTGGGAATATGTCATTTGGGCTAGAGTCCACGTTAACATGATGCAGCCGAGACTCCCATTGCAAGCTAGCAATGAGTAAGTGGAGCAGGCACGGTGCGCACTATATAATAAGGGGTCTGCTGCGCTGATAGACATGCGTGATCGGTGAGACACATTTGCCAGAAATACCAAAAGTAACAAATTCTAGTACCAAACCGTTTTTAATGTTCTAGTATCAAAGTACCAACGTTTTGGTATACCGAGCAACACTATTTGGTAGGCAAGATGTTTGTCAACTTGTCTATCATTAGATAATGCAGCTTCTCTTCTGTCATTACTTGATGCTGTACAATACTAATTTGGCCTTGCTCACAAGAATGACGTCATATATACATGGAGTGAATGCATCATTAACAATATAGTTGACATCGATAAAGTTTTCTGTTTAATTTCTGCTTCCTTCGAGGAGTGAAGACATTTAGGGACCGGGGAGATTTTCCATGCAGAATTCCCAAATTCCATCAGTTTTAAGGAAATGAAAAGCTGTGAAAATGATCCATTATGTTTCTGATAGTATTTTAGTGTTTCTTGGATGCATATTTTATGTGGTTGAAAGTAAAATACTGTCAGCTTTTATGTCAATTTTTTGGGGGGGCATATTTAGGCTACACAACACAGACCCTAAGCGCGCATTCTTATTTTCTCAACATGAAATAAATAAATCATTGTTCCTGAGAACTATTACATTTGGTCTATAATTTTACTGTAAGAAACACGTAATTCTGCAGTATTTAATATTATAATCTTAGTGTCCAAACTGGGATAGGAGCTTATTCGGGTTATTGTAAACGGGATATGATGTTTGTGTCAACTCTAACGGGTTATTGGTGTGCATGTAAACATGTTCAGTGGCTGTCATATGCATTTATATGCTTACAGTGCCTTGCAAAAGTATTCATCCCCCTTGGCGTTTTTCCAATTTTTTTGCATTATAACCTGTAATTTTAAATGGATTTTTTTTTGAATTTCATGTAATGGACATACACAAAATAGTCCAAATTGGTGAAGTGAAATGAAAAAAATAAATTGTTACAAAAAATTCAAAAACATAAATAACGGAAAAGTGGTGCTTTACTATGAAGCCCCTAAATAAGATCTGGTGCAACCAAGTCCACCTGTGTGTAATCTAAGTGTCACATGATCTCAGTATATATACATCTGTTCTGAAAGGCCCCAGAGTCTGCAACACCACTAAGCAAGGGGCACCACCAAGCAAGCGGCATCATGAAGACCAAGGAGCTCTCCAAACAGGTCACGGACAAAGTTGTGGAGAAGTACAGATCAGGGTTGTGTTATAAAAAAAATATCAGACACTTTGAACATCCCACGGAGCACCATTTTAAATCCATTATAAAAAAATGGAAAGAATATGGCACCACAACTTGAGACTGGGACCGAGGTTCACCTTCCAGCAGGACAATGACCCTAAGCAAACTGCTAAAGCAACACTCTAGTGGTTTAAGGGGAAACTTTTAAATGTCTTGGAATGGCCTAGTGAAAGCCCAGACCTCAATCCAGTTGAGAATCAGTGGTATGACTTAAAGATTGCTGTACACCAGCGGAACCCATCCAACTTGAAGGAGCTGGAGCAGTTTTGCCTTGAAGAATGGGCAACAATCCCAGTGGCTAGATATGCCTAGCTTATAAAGACATATCCCAAGAGACTTGCTGCTGTAATTGCTGCAAAAGGTTGCTCTACAAAGTATTGACTTTGGGGGTGGGGGGGGTGAATAGTTATGCACGCTCATGTTTTCTGTTTTTTTCTTCTTATTTCTTGTTTGTTTTACAATAAAACATAGTTTGAATCTTCAAAGTGGTAGGCATGTTGTGTAAATCAAATGATACAAACCCCCCCCCAAAATTCATTTTAATTCTAGGTTGTAAGGCAACAAAATAGGAATAATGCCAAGGGAGGTGAATACTTTCACAAGCCACTGTAGTTCGATATTGGTTACTAAAGGAGAGGACACATCTATTCAGTCACAAAAGAGAGGGGGAAAATAATTAAATGATAAAAAAAAACATTTACAATTTTAACAGTGAAGTTAGGTAAGTTGGAAGCTTGGAACAGCTTTATAAACAAAATAGCGTAAAGACGTCATCTACATTACTTCAAAGAGGTCCAGCCAACCTTTTGTTAAAGAATACAGTGATGAGTACGAAAAGTGCCTTTTGTGATAAAACAAAGGGCGCTATAATAAACGGAGTAGTGGCAGCTGCAATTTGATAAATAGTATCACTATAATCAAGAACAGGTCGATCTACCTTTAACATTTTTGCAAAACTCTTGCAATGGCAAACGTTGTGGATTGTTGCAGATATATAAATGTCATGAATGGAACTGATGTGATTCCTAATTCTAGATGTCAGAGTTATGTTTTTGTACAAAACATATTTCTATCTTAATGTTCCTCTCCTCCGTACCCCTGGCAGGCAGTTCAGTGCCAGCAGGAGCGCTGCGTGGCCACGCTACTGGAGCATAATGCCGAGACTAATTTGGTGGACATCAACGGCAACACTGCCCTGCACCTGGCCTCCTGCATCCCTGCCTTTTCCACCGCTATGCTGCTGCTGGAGCATGAGGCCAATGTCAACGCCCAGAACAAGGTGAGCCGTGGGGCTGTAGGTGGCCCAGCCCAGGGCCAGAACCACCACTCCTCCCCTGGATCTGTGTCGATTGTAGTAGGAGCAATATGGTGGTAGCTCCAACTTGCCCAAATTGTCTACATATTGCTTACACCAGGAGTATCATACTCAATTATTTTAGGGCTGAGCATCTGCGGGTTTTCGATCCTCCCTTGTACTTGATTAATCAATTAAGGTAATTGACTAGTTAGGAATTCCTCTCATCTGGTTGTCTAGATCTTAATTGGACACTCATTTAAAGGAAATAACAAAAACTGGAAGACACGCGACACGGCCCTGCAGGAATTGAGTTTGACACCCCTGGCTTACACCAATCCAATCCTCTGAGCTACAGAAGAGTCAATTTGTTACTCAGGGATCCACTAGCACCACTCAGGACAGTCACAGCTCAGGCACTGGTCCGAGAGAGAGATATGAACACGTTTCCAGATTGCTGGAGAGTAATCCTGACCCATTGGTTCAAAAAGAAAGGGGATGAAGCTGAGGGGAGGAGAGCTGTTACTATTTTGGTACAAAAATGACTAGGCTATGTGGATATACTAGATATTTGACAATGCGTGTTGTGGTTTGGATGATCTTCTTGCAGGAGGGATACTCCCCTCTGACTATGGCAGTGAAGGAGAATCATGCCGAGATGGCAGAGTTCCTCCTCAAGGAGGGGGCTGACGTCAACACTAAGGACCAGGGAAACAGGTGGGTTTGTGTGATACCTTTAAAGATCAAATCCATTTTCCTGAGATGGAGAGATCTGGTAGAATAGTTAATAAATAAGTAATTTATTTTATTTGAATTTCTTTGACAATTTAAAAACACAAACACAAATGTGGGTACAATGCATTTAAGCATTTGTCGAGGATGACCCAAAGAAGTTAAATGTAAACTACATGGCTAAAAGTAGGTGGACACCTGCTCGTCAAACATCTAATTCCAAAATCATGGCCATTAACATGGAGTTGGTCCCCCCTTTTGCTGCTATAATAGCCTCCACTCTTCTGGGAAGGCAGTCGGCGTTCCAATTAATTCCAAAGGTGTTCGATGCGGTTGAGGTCAGGGCTCTGTGCAGGCCAGTCAAGTTCTTCCACACCAATCTCAACAAACGATTTCTGTATGGACCTCGCTTGTGCAAGGGGTCATGCAGAAACAGGAAAGGGCCTACCCCAAACTGTTGCCACAAAGTTGGAAGCACAGAACTCTCTAGAATGTAATTGTATGCTGTAGCATTAAGATTTCCCGTCCCTGGAACTACGGGGCCTAGCCCGAACCATGAAAAACAGCCCCAGTGCATTATTCCTCCTCAACCAAACTTTACAGTTCTCCTGACATCCGCCAAACCCAGATTCGTCCGTCGTACTGCCAGATGGTGAAGCGTGATTCATCACTCCAGAGAACGCGTTTCCACTGCTCAAGAGTCCAATGGTGGTGAGCTTTACACCACTCCAGCCGACGCTTGGCATTGCGCATGGTGATCTTAGGCTTGTTTGCGGCTGCTCGCCCATCGAAACCAATTTCATGAAGCTCCCGACGAACAGTTCTTTTGCTGACGTTGCTTCCAGAGGCAGTTTGGAACTCGGTAGTGAGTGTTGCAACCAAGGACAGACAATTTCTACACGCTACGCTCTTCAGCACTCGGCGGTCCCGTTCTGTGAGCTTGTGTGGCCTACCACTTCATGGCTTAGCTGTTGTTGCTCCTAGACGTTTCCACTTCACAATAACATCACTTACAGCTAACTGGGGCAGCTCTTGCAGGGCAGAAATTGGACAAACTGACTTGTTGGAAAGGTGCCATCCTATGACAGTGCCAAGTTGAAAGTAACTGAGCTCTTCAGAAAGGCCATTCTACTGCCAATGTTTGTCTATGGAGATTGCATGGCTCTGTGCTCGAATTTATACACCTGTCAGCAACAGGTGTGGCTGTAATCGCCGAATCCACTAATTACAAACGTTTGGCCAAACTTCAAACATGTTACACATTCACAGCTAAAAGCTAAATTGCAGTAAAAATCACTTAGCCAAAATAATTTAACAACTCTGCATGAGCTCCCCAAGGACTGCCCGTTCAAATCAAAACCGCATCGGCAACGCTATCAGCTATCAGTAAAGCTAGTTAGCAGTCCAATCGATCTAATAATACATTTACTGCTGCTATTGAAAATAACAGATCCCAGATCACCAGATTTACGTGATCTCTATCTAATTATCTTCCAATAGCTTGCAGAAAACTAATTTTACGTAAGAACACTAAATATAATTTTACATTTACGTCATTTAGCAGTTGGTGCATTCAATTTATGATAGCCAGTGGGACAACCACCCTATTTTATTTATATATATATTTTTTAATGGGAGGGGCGGGTAGAAGGATTACTTTTGTACTATTCCAGGTATTCCTTAAAGAGGTAGGGTTTCAAGTGTCTCCGGAAGGTGGTCAGTGACTCCGCTGTCCTGGCGTCGTGGGGAAGCTTGTTCCACCATTGGGGTGCCAGAGCAGCGAATAGTTTTGACTGGGCTGAGCAGGAACTGTGCTTCCGTAGAGGTAGGGGGCTAGCAGGCCAGAGGTGGATGAACGTAGTGCCCTCGTTTTGGTGTAGGATCAGAACCTGAAGGTAAGGAGGTGCCGTTCCCCTCACAGCTCCGTAGGCAAGCACCATGGTTTTGTAGTAGATGCGAGCTTCAACTGGAAGCCAGTGGAGTGTGCGGAGGAGCGGGGTGACATGAGAGAACTTAGGAAGGTTGAACACCAGACGGGCTGCAGCGTTCTGGATAAGTTGCAATACATTTGCTAGAGCTAACAGCTCAGCTAAGCTGTCCCCTAGGGCGTCATGGCAACTCTTCCTTCTTTCCTCCCTGCCTTGATGTAATCTGTGGTCTAACACACATTAATAGGTGATGGCAAGGGTTCCATTACTTAACTTTTGTCATATCAGCGCTTAGGCTACTTCAAGAAAGGGAATGAAAGGGAATTTTGGAATGCTAGATTCTGATATAGGAGAATGCACAGACCGATATGGGCACATTTACTCAACCTCCAGCTTTTGCTACCTTTAGGTCCCCATTAATGATCGCTGCTTGCAATGGACAAATCAGTATGGTGCGGATACTCCTGCAGTTCGACGCAGACATCACCTTAAAGGACAATAATGGATGGTCGTCTGATGACTATGCCGTGATGAACGGACACCATGCGTAAGTACTCAAACTGTCAATTCCTTAGACATATATACACTACCGGTCAAAAGTTTTAGAACACCTACTCATTCAAGGGATTTTATTTATTTTTTACTATTTTATACATTGTAGAATAATAGTCAAGACATCAAATCTATGAAATAACACATACGGAATCATGTAGTAACCAAAGAAGTGTTAAACAAACATTTTTTGTCATTTAGCAGACGCTCTTAGGGTTAAGTGCCTTGCTCAAGGGCACATCGACAGATTTTTCACCTAGTCGGCTCGGGGATTAGAACCAGCGACCTTTCGGTTACTGGCACAACGCTCTTACCCACTAAGCTACCTGGTCTTCCTGTTATATTTGAGATTCTTCAAATAGCCACCCTTTACCTAGATGACAGCTTTGCACACTCTTGACATTCTCTCAACCAACTTCACCTGGAATGCTTTTCCAACATTTTTGAAGGAGTTCCCACATATACTGAGCACTTGTTGGCTGCTTTTCCTTCATTCTGCGGTCCGACTCATCACAAACCATCTCAATTTGGATGAGGTCGGGGGATTGTGGAGGCAAGGTCATCTGATGCAGCACTCCATCACTCTACTTCTTGGTAAAATATCCCTTACACAGCCTGGAGGTGTGTTGGGTCATTGTCCTGTTGAAAAACAAATGATAGTCTCTCTAAGCCCAAACCAGATGGGATAGCGTATCGCTGCAGAATGCTGTGGTAGCCATGCTCGTTAAATCACAGACAGTGTCACCAGCAAAGCACCCCCACACCATAACACCACCTTCTCCATGCTTTACGGTGGGAAATACACATGCAGAGATCATCCTTTCACCCACAACGCGTCTCACAAAGACACAGCGGTTGGAACCAAAAATCTCAAATTTGGACTCCAGACCAAAGGACACATTTCCACTGGTTTAATGTCCATTGCTTGTGTTTCTTGGCCCAAGCAAGTCTCTTCTTCTTATTGGTGTCTTTTAGTAGAGGTTTATTTGCAGCAATTTGACCAAGAAGGCCTGATTCACTTAGTCTTCTCTGAACAGTTGATGTTGAGATATGTCTCTTACTTGAACTCTGTGAAGCATTTATTTGGGCTGCAATTTCTGAGGCTGGTAACTCTAATGAACTTATCCTCTGCAGCAGAGGTAACTCTGGGTCTTCCATTCCTGTGGCATTCCTCATGAGAGCCAGTTTCATCATAGTGCTTGATTGTTTCTGCGACTGCACTTGAAGAAACTTTAAAAGTTCTTGACATTTTTTACTAGAAAATAATAAGAAATTAAGAAAAACCCTTGAATGAGTACGTGTTCTAAAACGTTTGACTGGTTGTGTGTGTGTGTGTGTATCTATGTGTATATATTATACAGTGAGGGAAAAAAGTTTGACCACTGACAAATAAATGATCAGTCTATAATTTTAATGGTAGGTTTATTTGAACAGTGAGAGACAGAATAACAACAAAAACATCCAAAAAAACGCATGTCAAAAATGTTATAAATTGATTTGCATTTTAATGAGGGAAATAAGTATTTGACCCCCTCTCAATCAGAAAGATTTCTGGCTCCCAGGTGTCTTTTATACAGGTAACGAGCTGAGATCAGGAGCACACTCTTAAAGGGAGTGCTCCTAATCTCAGTTTGTTACCTGTATAAAAGGCACCTGTCCACAGAAGCAATCAATCAATCAGATTCCAAACTCTCCACCATGGCCAAGACCAAAGAGCTCTCCAATGATGTCAGGGACAAGATTGTAGACCTACACAAGGCTGGAATGGGCAACAAGACCATCGCCAAGCAGCTTGGTGAGAAGGTGACAACAGTTGGTGCTATTATTCGCAAATGGAAGAAACACAAAAGGACTGTCAATCTCCCTCGGCCTTGGGCTCCATGCAAGATCTCACCTCGTGGAGTTGCAATGATCATGAGAACGGTGAGGAATCAGCCCAGAACTACACGGGAGGATCTTGTCAATGATCTCAAGGCAGCTGGGACCATAGTCACCAAGAAAACAATTGGTAACACACTACGCCGTGAAGGACTGAAATCCTGCAGCGCCCGCAAGGTCCCCCAGCTCAAGAAAGCACATATACATGCCGGTCTGAAGTTTGCCAATGAACATCTGAATGATTGAGAGGAGAACTGGGTGAAATTGTTGTGGTCAGATGAGACCAAAATGGAGCTCTTTGGCATCAACTCAACTCGCCGTGTTTGGAGGAGGAGGAATGCTGCCTATGACCCCAAGAACACCATCCCCACCGTCAAACATGGAGGTGGAAACATTATGCTTTGGGGGTGTTTTCTGCTAAGGGGACAGGACAACTTCACTGCATCAAAGGGACGATGGACGGGGCCATGTACCGTCAAATCTTGGGTGAGAACCTCCTTCCCTCAGCCAGGGCATTGAAAATGGGTTGTGGATGGGTATTCCAGCATGACAATGACCCAAAACACACGGCCAAGGCAACAAAGGAGTGGCTCAAGAAGAAGTACATTAAGGTCCTGGAGTGGCCTAGCCAGTCTCCAGACATTAATCCCATAGAAAATCTGTGGAGGGAGCTGAAGGTTCGAGTTGCCAAACGTCAGCCTCGAAACCTTAATGACTTGGAGAAGATCTGCAAAGAGGAGTGTGACAAAATCCCTCCTGAGATGTGTGCAAACCTGGTGGAGAACTACAAGAAACGTCTGACCTCTGTGATTGCCAACAAGGGTTTTGCCACCAAGTACTAAGTCATGTTTTGCAGAGGGGTCAAATACTTATTTCCCTCATTAAAATGCAAATCAATGTATAACATTTTTGACATGCGTTTTTCTGGATTTTGTTGTTGTTATTCTGTCTCTCACTGTTCAAATAAACCTACCATTAAAATTATAGACTTATCATTTCTTTGTCAGTGGGATAACGTACAAAATCAGCAGGGGATCAAATACTTTTTTCCCTCACTGTGTGTATATATATATAACACACACTACCGTTCAAAAGTTTGTGGTCACTTCGAAATGTCCTTGTTTTCAAAAGAAAAGCAATTTTTTTGTAGCTGGAAACGGCAGATTTTTAATTTATCTACATAGTCGTACAGAGGCCCATTATCAGCAACCATCAGTCCTGTGTTCCAATGGCATGTTGTGTTTGCTAATCCAAGTTTATCATTTTAAAAGGCTAATTGATCATTAGAAAACCCTTTTGCAATTATGTTAGCACAGCTGAAAACAGTTGTGCTGATTTTAAAGAAGCAATAAAACTGGCCTTCTTTAGACTAGTTGAGTATCTGGAGCAGCAATTGTGAGTTTGATTATAGGCTCAAAATGGCCAGTAACAAAGAACTTTCTTCTGAAGCTCGTCAGTCTATTCTTGTTCTGAGAAATGAAGGCTATTCCATGCGAGAAATTGCCAAGAAACTGAAGATCTCGTACAACGCTGTGTACTACTCCCTTCACAGAACAGCGCAAACTGGCTCTAACCAGAATAGAAAGAGGAGTGGGAGGCCCCGGTGCACAACTGAGCAAGAAGACAAATGCATTAGTGTCTAGTTTGAGAAACACGCGCCTCACAGGTCCTCAACTGGCAGCTTCATTAAATAATACCCGCAAAACACCAGTCTCAACGTCAACAGTGAAGAGGCGACTCCAGGATGCTGACCTTCTAGGCAGAGTTGCAAAGAAAAAGCCATATCTGAGACTGGCCAATAAAAAGAAAAGATTAAGATGGGCAAAATAACACAGACACTGGACAGATTAATCGAAGTTTGAGGTGTTTGGATCACAAAGAAGAACATTTGTGAGACGCAGACCAAATGAAAAGATGCTGGAGGGGTGCTTGATGCCATCTGTCAAGCATGGTGGAGGCAATGTGATGGTCTGGGAGTGCCTTGGTGGTGGTAAAGTGGGAGATTTGTACAGTGTAAAAGGGAACTTGAAGGAAGGCTATCACTCCATTTTGCAACGCCATGCCATGCCATACACTGTGTACGGCTCTTGATTGGAGCTAATTTCCACCTACAACATTACAAAGACTCAAAGCACAGCTCCAAACTATGCAAGAACTATTTAGGGAAGAAGGAGTCAGCTGGTATACTGTCTATAATGGAGTGGCCAGCACAGTCACCTGATCTCAACCCTATTGAGCTGTTGTGGGAGCAGCTTGACCGTAAGAAGTGCCCATCAAGCCAATCCAATTTGTGGGAGGTGCTTCAGGAAGCATGGGGTGAAATCTCTTCAGATTACCGCAACAAATTGACAACTAGAATGCCAAAGGTCTGCAATTGCTGCAAATGGAGGATTCTTTGACGAAAGCAAAGTTTGAAGGACACAATTATTATTTATATAAAAAATCATTATTTCTAACCTTGTCAATGACTATGACAATGTGTATATATATATATATATCTATCTATATAAAAAAAAAAAATATTATTATTTTTTTTTTTTTTCATACTTTGTATTCTGTTTTCTTGCTTTTGCTGGCTGGTGTCAGACTGAAACGCTTCTAAAAAATCCCACTACCTCCTAACGAGCCATCAAACTGGCAAAACGTCAATACATGACTAAGAACAAATCCTACGATGCCTGCTCTGACGCTCGTCGGATGTAGCGGGGCTTGCAAACTATCATGGATTACAAAGGTAAACCCAGCCGCGAGCTGCCCAGTGACGTACTAGATGAGCTCGCTTCGAGGCAATCAACACTGAACCATGAATGAGAGCACCAGCTGTTCCGGGTGACTGTGTGATCACACTCTGCGTAGCCGATGTGAGTTAGACCTTTAAACAGGTTAATACTCACAAGGCCGCAGGGCCAGACAGATTACTAGGATGCGTGCTCGGAGCATGCGCTGTCCAGCTGGCAAGTGCCTTTACTGACGTTTTCAACCTCTCCCTGACCCAGTCTGTAATACCTACATGTTTCAAGCAGACCACCATGGTCCCTGTGCCCAAGAACGCCAAAGTAACATGTCTAAGTGATTATCGCCACGTAGCACTCACATCTGTAGTCATGAAATGCTTTGAAGGTCATAGGTCACATCAACACAATCATCCCAGACACCTTGGACCCACTCCAGTTGGCATACTGTCCCAACAGATCCACAGGTGATGCAATCTCTATTGCACTCCACTCTGCCCTCTTCCACCTGGACAAGAACACCATTGTGAGAATGCTGTTCAGCGTTCAACACCATAGTACCCTCTGAACTCATCACAAAGCTAAGGATCCAGGGACTGAAAACCTCCGTCTGCAACTGGATCACGGACTTCCTGACGGGCCGCCCCCCGGGTGGTGAGGGTAGGCAACAACACATCCGCAACGTTGACCCTCAACACGGGGGCCCCTCAGGGGTGTGTGCTTAGTCCCCTCCTCTACTCCCTGTTCACCCACGACCGCGTGGCCGCGAACGACTCCCAACACATTCATTAAGTGTTTTATTCAATACCAGTCAAAAGTTTGGACACACCTACTCATTCAAGGGATTTTCTTTATTTTTACTATTTTCTACATTGTAGAATAATAGTGAAGACATCAAAACGATGAAAAGTGTTAAACAAATCAAAATATATTTTATATTTGAGATTCTTCAAATAGCCACCCTTTGCCTTGATGACAGCTTTGCACACTCTTGGCATTCTCTTAACCAGCTTCATGAGGTAGTCACCTGGAATGCATTTCAATTAACAGGTGTACCTTCTTATAAGTTAATTTGTGGAATTTCTTTCCTTAATGCGTTTGAGCCAGTCAGTTGTGTTGTGAAGATACAGAAGATAGCCATATTTGGTAAAATACCAAGTCCATATTATGGCAAGAACAGCTCAAATAAGCAAAGAGAAATGACAGTCCATCATTACTTTAAGACATGAAGGTCAGTCAATACGGAAAATGTCAAGAACTTTGAAAGTTCTTCAATTGCAGTCGCAAAAAACATCAAGCGCTATGATGAAACTGGCTCTCATGAGGACCGCGACAGGAATGGAAGATCCAGAGTTACCTCTGCTTTAGAGGATAAGTTCATTAGAGTTACCAGCCTCTGAAATTGCAACCCAAATAAATGCTTCACAGAGTTCAAGTAACAGACACATCTCAACATCAACTGTTCAGAGGAGACTAAGCGAATCAGGCCTTTATGGTCGAATTGCTGCAAAGAAACCACAACGAAAGATCACAAATAAGAAGAAGAGACCTGCTTGGGCCCAGAAACATGAGCAATGGACATTAGACCGGTGGAAATGTGTCATTTGGTCTGGAATCCAAATCTGAGATTTTTGGTTCCAACCGCCGTGTCTTTGTGAGACGCGGTGTGGGTGAACGGATTATCTCCGCATGTGTATTTCCCACCGTAAAGCATGGAGGAGGTGTTATGGTGTGGGGGTGCTCTGCTGGTGACATTGTCTGATTGATTTAGAATTCAAGGCACACTTAACCAGCATGGCTACCACAGCATTCTACAGCTCTACACCATCCCATCTGGTTTGGGCTTAGGGTTGTTTTTCAACAGGAAAATGACCCAACACACCTCCAGGCTGTGTAAGGGCTATTTTATCAAGAAGAAGTATGTGGACACCTGGTCGTCGAACATCTCATTCCAAAATCATGGGCAGTAATATGGAGTTGGTCCCCCCTTTGCTGCTTTAACAGCCTCCGCTCTTTTGGGAAGGCTTTCCACTAGATTTTGGAACATTGTTGCGGGGACTTGTTTCCATTCAGCCAAAAGCATTTAGTGAGGTCGGGCACTGATGTCAAGATCGGTGTGGAAGAACTTGACTGGCCTGCACAGAGCCCTGACCTCAACCCCATCGAACACCTTTGAGATGAATTGTAACGCCGGTTGCAAGCTTTTTATTACTTTTATTATTATTATTATGTGTTATTACTTTACTATTTTTTCTCTATTTTCTTTTTTTCCCGACATTTTTGGGAAGGGCCCATAAGTAAGCATTTCACTCTTAGTCTACACCTTTCCTTTACCGTTTGTTTACGAAGCATCTGACGAATAACATTTGATTTAAACAGCACAATGATGTTTGTTGTCCATTGTCTTTACTTAGTTGTTTAGCACAGTTAACATAATTTATTATTTTCTATAGATGTTCTATTCTTGTTCCACCAGCCATATTGTCTCTGTGTTCTGTTGTATGCCTGTGTGTCTGTCTTGTCCTTTTATGTGACTTATGCTGGTGACTAATCCAATTTCCTCTTTTGGGATCAATAAAGTTTATTTAACAGTAGATGCATTTCCAATCCTGTGTCATCCCGGTTTCAGTTGTTCCCATCTCATCATTGAGCATGGCACCAAGAGGAAGTCCATGCCGTCTCCTGCCCACGCCCCGGCCAAAAAGAAGCGAGCTTCCATGTTGGGCAGCCCTTCCCAAGAAGCAGGCTTCTCTCTTGGGGGACCAGCCACTGACAAAGATGGTACGTAAAGGATTCAATTTCATCTCATCATAATGTTACATTGGTTTATGTGTGTTGTTTACTAATGACTATAACGCAAATGTCAGTTACCGTATGTATTGTCTGCTATAACGTGTTGTTATAGCAATGTGCAGTTTTTCATGTTCATTACCATGTTAATATTATTCGTTCACCTCGATTGTTTCATTTACCCCTCATGCAATACCACTTGGCTGGATCTAGAGCAAGGAGCGAGTGAAGGAGGGAGAGGTATTGCCAGCAGTGAAAATAGCACAACAAGATCAGACAAACTTGTCAAGCGTTGTTTAATTTCAAAGAATGAAAGGAACATATTTGTGAGAGATTTAGGCTAAATTAGCTTCTATCTAAGGTCTAACTTCGGTACTTAACTGACTAGTTTCTGTTCAGCTAGTGTTGGCCCTCTTGATCCTAATGAGGTTAGATGTCTGAGCTTGTTGTTCTATTTCTGTTTTTGTAGGTGGCTTTTCTCCCAGTGGCTTTTCTCATTCAAGATTGTTAGGGTGTGAAAATGTGCAGTGTAAGATGTATGTCTTTTGTTGTTTGTGATTATCAGCTGATTTTAAATGTTAACACACCTAGAACTGTTGAAAGTGATGCACAGTCAATACTAATTTGGCTTACTGTGTTGCAGATGTTGAGGACAATTCGCAAACAGAGTCAATAAGTCGGTAAGCAATGATCATCTTAGCCTCGTTCGACCATCCTGATCTCGCGAGCTTACGTTCTGTTTCGCTTCACGGATGAAGTGAAACCAAAGCGCAGTGGTCAGGATGGTGGAACAGGCTACATCTTCTCTGATATAGTAAGTACATTTGCACAACCATGAACCTCATTACTTCTCTTCATCAAATTGACTTACATTTTAGGGCGTCAAAAAGTGCGGCTGACGATTCCTGGGCATCCTCAGATGAACAGGACGAATTGGATATAACCCCAAAGGTCTTTATGATGAATCCATTATTTGCACAACCATCTGTTGATTCATTTTGAGTTTGATTAGCTATATGATTTCCCTTATCTCACAGAAACATCCCAAGCTAAACCTAAAGAAACTGATGAATGCCTCCAAAAAGGGAAAGAATGACGGTAATAATTTAAGTTTGTTCACGTATTAGTAACCCTCTGTTAGTCTGTGGCTGTGTAGTAACATATCACCCCTGCCCTGTAGCTGTACCCGTAACCGATCTCGACAAGCCATGGAGCGGCCCTGAGTCCGAGAGTGAGAACCGAGTCCAGAGAAACCCATCCCTCCCCAAGGCTTTCCCACCCAGCAGCGCCCCCCAGCACCTAGTCTCCCCCTCACCCGCTGCCTCCTTTACCTCCAAACCTCCCCAGATGACCTCCACCCCTCTCCAGAGTTCCTGGAAGGTAATGTAGTGTAGCTAACACTGTGGTAACTTGAGCTTCTGGGTGACACCTTTCTCTCTATTCTCTCCCCTTTCTCCTATTATTCATCCATTAACACATTTACAAGCAGAAGGCGACGGAGTGGAGCTGGAGGAGACTAAGGGGAGTGAGCTGCCCTCCGAGCAGCCGTCTGGTAGTAAGGCGAGAGGTAGAGACTCACCTGAGGAAAGCCCTGAGAGAGAGGATGATGATGATGAAGATGATGATGACGAAGATGAAGACGATGAAGACTACGAGGATGATGACGATGATGAAGATGATGATGATGAAGATCCAGAGGAAGATGAGGAGGACGATGAGGAGGACGAAGATGACTATGATGAAGAGCAGGAAGGTGAAGAGGAGGAAGAGTGTGACGTTACTGTGACTTTGGTCAAAGCAGAAGGAATTGGAGCAGAGGAATTGCTCAAAACGTCCAATGCTGAAGCTGTTGATATTGTTGATGAGGATGATCAAACTATGCCCGGTATCGAGGTTTCTGATACTGTAGTAGCTGGTTCAGAGCATGTAGATACAGCTGGAGAGATGGGGGCTCCTGAGAATGTTTCCAATGCGGAGAGCCAAGCCAATGAGAGAATGGATGCTGAGATTCTAGTTGGAACATCAAACTATGGTGTCCTAGTGACTCTAGATGTAGAAGAGGACTGTGTGGTGTCAGCCATCAGGGTAGAGTCCAGGTTTTCGGATGAAGAGGACAGTTTAGGTAATGAGCTAAATGGGACATCAGATAATAAGTTTGTTCCAGAGCCAGGTTCGCCGGCAGAGTCCAAGACTCCCCCACACAGCACAGGAATTCCTCCATCACAGAGAAACGTAGAAGATTTTGATGATGAAGAAGGGATTGGTGATGAAGATGCACCTGCAGACTCCTGGAGTGATGAGGCAAAACCTATTGCTGATGATGAAGAAGATAATATCAGAGAAACTTTAGATCATACCTCAACTCTTGGGGAGCCAAACAACACAAGTGCAGTTTCTCAGGGTGAAACGCATAGGCCAAGATCTTCAGACGATTCTTTTGATTCCAAAGATGATGATGATGATAATGATGACATTGCTAAACCAAAGGTAGATAAACGCAAATCCTCATGGTATTCCCATTCAGATGAAAATGACAAAGACAATGGTGCCTCACCCACTAAAGAAGATGATGATGATGATAATGAGCTAAATGAGGATTTTGTTCAATCAAAGGTAGATACATTCAAGTCTTTGACATGGGATTCCCCATCAGATGAAAATGACAAAGTCAATGGTGCCTCAACCACTAAAGAAGATGACGATGAGGTAATTGATGTGATTCCCCATCTTGAAGGAGAAGGTCTAAGATCAGATTTCCAGCTAGAACCATCAACCTCCCCCGTACAAAGCATATCACCAAAGCGCATCTCACTAAAACCAAAGGTAGATGAACCCAAGTCCTCCTGGGATTCTTCATCAGATGACAATGACAAAAAAGGTGCCTCACCCAGTAGAGATGGATGTTTAGAGATTCATGATTCAGGTAAGTTGTCACCAAGCCTGAGTGTCGCATCACCAAGAATCCGGGCAGAGGACCAACAGCGTTCTGATGATTCTTGGGAAGACAAAGATGTGGTAGATGAAGTTGAGGAGATGCCAAATGACGATGCCTCTCCTGCAGAGTCTCCAGAACCAGGAGAGAAAAAGGCTGCCATTAAAGATTCATTTGATGATGATTTACCAGGAATTGGTGAACAAGTTGAGGATAAAAAGATTGATGATGATGATGGTTGGGATGATGATGATGATGACTATGTGAATGGGGATATAGCAGCTACAGGGTCTCCAGAACCTGAAGAAGCTATTTCTCCCATTCAACACAAGACAGACGAGAACTCTCCTCGTAAATGGACAAGCCCTCCAAGGTCCCCCAGAAGAGAGATAAAGTACATGGACAATTTGGAGAGAGGGCCAACTCCAAGAGACTTGCTATCACCAATAACCAGGCCTATGAGTGCGTTATCCAGGCCTACTACTGCAAACGAGGAGATGTTAAATGAAGGGGCTGGTGAACTGGATCTATCTCAACCCCAAAAGGATGTTGAGTCAGATGAGTCAATTCCTGTGTCAATGATTGATGAAGACTTTGAAGATGATTGGCAGGATGGAAAAGAGATGGCAGACGACAAGGGAGAGGATTATGACATGAGTGACAAAGACGAAGAGAGAAGCGAAGACACTGACAGCCAAGACCAAAAACTGCAATACGATTTTGCCAGCGGTACTATCAAAGTTCCTGATGAGGGAAACGATTCTGATAACACACTAGGAGAAGATGACATCGAGAGCATTGGTGAGAAGGATGATGCGAAATCAGGTAGACCTCCAGTGACACCTATCAAACACAGTCCAGAGACTAGTAAAATGTTTGGAAATACTTCAAGTGAAGACGAGGCTGCCTCAGACGCTGATTCCGAGGATGACCCAAAGCCTGATGCTATGAATGCTGCTCACACTCCAATAGAGGATATAGATGAAATCTATGACGAACAAGGTGGACTTGACCAGGAGACTACTGACCAGAATTACCCTGGTGAAACTCATGAGGACAAACCTGAGAAAGATGACGTGGAGCTACAGAGTACCCACAGCAAAGACTGTACTTATGTCGCTGCTGTTCAGCAGCATGAGTCTGACATGAGCGATGGATTTTCAGATCAAGAGGAAGAATTACCTCAAACAGACATTGATGATGTCGATGTTGATTCACCCTTCGAGGATGAGCCAGAGTATGTTGAAAGGTCAACATTAGAGGTCAGAGACAATAAAGACCCAGTCAAAGGCATCAATCTGCCTATCAAACGGGTAAGAGTTATAGGTGGTGAGTTATAGTACAACAACTAGGCTTTAGGCATGTAGTTCAATGATTTTCAAACCCAAACCAATATTAGATATATTTGCTGTGGGAAACTATTTAGTCTTCTTACTGTGAGAATAAACTGTATAATCATCATCAGACAGGTGCTTGTTGCTGTTAACAGAGCCTTAACAAATTATTTTCTCCACTCAGGAAAAAGATTTCACAGAGGATGAAGAAGATGAGGAGGAGGAGGAAGACAGAGGTGGTGATGGAGAAGATGAGGAAGAGAAAAGCTACAAGGAGGAGATGGATAAGGGAAAGACAAAATATCAGCCAGAAGAGGAAAAAGACGATCCCCTTGTTGATGATTCACCAGTCCTAGGAAGTGAAGACACCTCCAAAGAAAAACAAAGAGGTAACTTGCTAAATCTAGAGATAAAAATCTCTGTCCAGAGAGTACTTTACTACAAAAAAAATAAAAATAGAAAATATGCAACATTTCAAAACAATTCCTCCTTAGATTTCCTTTCTGAGTTGGGTCTGGAGAAGGGAGATGATGAGGAAGACTCATGGGACACTGAGGTACTGTAAAAAACAAGGAATCTTTTTGGACTTCCTGGTAGCATTGGCCAATGGCCATACTGTCAGATTTACTAACAGACAAACTCCTCTTCCAGTCTGGGTCTGGCAGTCCCAGAAAACAGCATGGCCGAGATCCTGCAAAGGTGCCACATGTTTCCATTATTTCAGAGGAGAACAAAGAAGGTAATTCTCATTCTCACATTTATCTGTAAATGTTTTAACCCCATCAGCACTTGATGATCTCTAAGCAAAATTATGGATGACCGCCATTATAGCATGCTTTCTTTGCGATCATTCCAGCTATCATTTGATGCTCCAAGTATGACTATCCTGCAAAAAATAGTAACATTTTTGTGGCAGGTAGATAAAAAAAAATACCTGCCAAAATATTTTTTGTTGTTGCATTAATTACACCAAAAAATTAAAATCATGCTAATGTTTCTAAAACAAGGAATGCCTTTCTATTAAGAACTAATGTGGTATATTGTTATATTTAATGTAATATTTGTGACCAAAATATCACAGATGAGACCAAACATTTATGGTTACTGTGGTAATGGGGCCACTTGAGTCTTCACTTGTGCCTGTGAGAATCTGATTAGTAGAGGCCTATGATGTTTATTTTTTTCGCTAGCAGTGGAAGCAGACTCCAAAATTGAAAAACAACCTAACTTGTGAACAAAATCATGTAAATATCCAAGAAACACGAGGATAAAGTCTCACTTTAGTAGCTAGACCAGCTTTTATGCCTGTGCCCATAGAGCCCCACAGTGGAGGTGTCATAATACCCATAACACTTAGCGGTCAAACAGGGAAATGGTTCCTATCGTTTTTCCACCATTCATTTTACCCATAGGGAATTTTAGAAACACTTAAAATAAGAGCTGTGTTTCGTGTAAGCTTACCCTGGTGAGACGTTTTGATAACCATGTAAATCTCTCTCGGACAATTTGAGTTTTATCAATATATTCGGCTCTATATACTCTCAGATTCGAAAATGATAAATAGCATCAAAGTAGACATCATGCAAGACTACAAATCCCTGCAAGCTCCCTGCATGTCATCTCTATCTGACATATTTGCTAACAGGTATTGTGTCAATTTAGAAGTTGCTCAAGACAGTTTATGGAATTTTCAATTTAAATACATTTAGCCAATTTATTCATTACTAATTTTAGCTAACATTAGATAGTTAATCCAGAGATTCTTACCTTTGCCTCAATTCGTCAGTCTCATCCAGATCATCATGGTGTTTGTAGTTCTTTATGATAACCACATTAGCAGCTAATTAGCATTTCATTTTGGGGGGGTAAATACAGGCGAAGATATTGACGTAATTTCCTGTCACAAACTCTGATACCGCCTGTGCCTCGACCTGTTGCTTCGGCCTGTTTCCGAAGTTTTACTTTGTTTTATTTAAATGTTATAAGTGTTTGTGTCAACACCTGCTAGCTAGGTTGCAATGGAGCCCGCTTCACCTGGAAAAGCTAACAAACGTTTCCAGCACTGTAGAAGCTGTGTTTATTACGCTCTTGTCCGGGACAATATTGACAATCCGGAGTTCCAATGCGGCAATTGTTTTGCTAGCGAAGGATTACAGGTATGAGGTGGCTATGCATAGCAAGCAAATCTAAGTTCTGCGCGAATTTATGGGGAAAACGTAAATCATAACTTTCTCGTTCTCAATTCCTATGGCTGGGCGCCGCACGGGCCTGATGGATGTTTCCCCGCCTTGTCATCTGTCCCTATCTGAATGGCCTGTGCTACATGGAACTTGCCCGCCAAGGAAGTCGTCTCCATCTGCTTCTCCTCCATCTTGTAATGAAGTAGACAGAGAACAGCAAGAAGATTGTTCCAATCAGCGCTTGTCCCATGTCACAAGTCGTGGAAACCAAAGGCAGCAGCATGCTGCTAAGCGGACGGGAGTGACTGCGACAGGTTCGGAGCAGATTGACATAAGGAATAGCTTCGCTGCATTGCTGCCTGATCTACCTGCACCTTCATCGCTGGGATTGCCTGTGTCTGCGATGGCGGTGCTGACTCCAAGTACGCTGACTCCAGCAGCGGCTTCGTCGTCAAGTTCGGCTCCTTTCCCTCTCTCTGGATCTGACGGGGCACTGCCTGCTGTGGGAGGTCTGGACTTGACACCGGGAGCAGCGGACGTACGCTATCCTGCTTCTCGTGGAACCGTGCAAGGTTCAATGAATTGTTTGAACGGTAGGAATGGGCAGATTTCTCTATTCCCTTCTCCGGACATTGTATTGGGCAGTTCAATGGTGAGAAATATCTCAGTCCCTGGAGCAAAAACCTTGTGCTTTCCAGGAGCACGATTACAGGACATCCATAAACTGCTCCCAAACATTTTAAACCAGCATCAGGAAATGGAGTCTAGTTCATGTGGGAATCAATTACATTATGATGGGCATCTCAGAACAGCTGAATATGGATTTTAAAGAACTGATTTGGTCACTGCTTGACACCAACAAATGCCCCATAATATCTGGCCCACTGCCCTCCCTAAATCGTGGTATTGAACATTTCAGCAGACTTTTTTAGCCCTCCATAACTGGCTACGAGACTATTGCAGCTCTGTGGGTGTAACATTTATTGACAATTTTGATACCTTCTGGAAACCAAGCTCGTATTATAAGGAGGATAATAATAAATAATATGCCATTTAGCAGACGCTTTTATCCAAAGCGACTTACAGTCATGCGTGCATACTTTTTTTTTTTTGTGTATGGGTGGTCCCGGGGATCGAACCCACTACCTTGGCGTTACAAGCGCCGTGCTCTACCAAATGAGCTACAGAGGACCACCCAAATCATTTGGGTTCCTGGATCCTTTCACAGCATTATAGTCTCCTGAGTGGCGCAGTGGTCTAAGGCACTGCATCGCAGTGCTAACTGTGCCACTAGATCCTGGTTCGAATCCAGGCTCTGTCGCAGCCGGCCGTGACCGGGAGACTCATGGGCGGCGCACAATTGGACCAGCGTCGTCCAGGGTAGGGGAGGGAATGGCCGGCAGGGATGTAGCTCAGTTGATAGAGCATGGCGTTTGCAACGCCAGGGTTGTGGGTTCGATTCCCACGGGGGGCCAGTATAAAAAACATATGTATTCACTAACTGTAAGTCGCTCTGGATAAGAGCGTCTGCTAAATGACTAAAATGTAAATATAAATTATAAGGCTGCGTTGAGACAATGACTTAACAATGACCCCAGCTCAGTTAATCCCTACCATTGTGTCACTAAATTGTCATAATGCTTCAGCAAATGTATTATCCCAGGGGCATTGGAAGACACAATGTAAGTAACCTAATTTATGGCCATCTAACTGCCCTTAATGCCTCTGCTGATCCCACAGCTATTGTATGCAGTAATCATGTGCCTATGAACCAGAGTAATACTGTTAGCACTGAGGCAGTGTGCCCTAGTAGGAAGTCCACTGTGTGCAGCTCACCCTGCACTAACATAAATAGCATGAGCATGTCTACAATCAAGCATCCTAATGAAGATATGGCAATATCGTCCGCTATTATCCTGGGAGGATTTGACAGCATAGCTCCACTTGTGTCATGACTGCAACGTTGAAGGACCTGAGAAATTAATGTTCATCACTCATCACACTGTCATAAAAAAAATATATAAAAGTCTTAAAACAAGTTTTAACAGGATTCCTAGGACCTTTTCTGAGACTCTGTGGATACGGACCCAGAGCTGTTTTGGTATGCTCGTCCATTCCCCTAACCACCTACTGTCTCTGTATTAACCATGATCTCATCTGCATGAGAGACTAAAACTATTCTGGCTTCATTTAGCACGGCCAAGCCAGCTTATCCAACTGTACCGGAGCCTTGTGCTGTCCTCCTGTCTGTTGATTAGCTCCTGTGCCCTCTCAGCCAATCACAATGTTTCACCACATTCCCATTTGTTCTCTTGCAGTTTTAAGAAATGATGATAATGGTGAGGATGCCGACAATGTCCCAGAAAAGACGGTGAGTTCAGACGTCAGGAAAACGCTCAAGAAAGTTATGAGCCACAATTCTTGGTGTGAAATGTAACAATGTTTGCCTCTTGGTCTTAACAGCCAGAGAAAATCAAAAGGGAAACTCTGTCTATCTTGACCAAGCTTGTACTGTCCAAAAAAGATGCTGACAAAAAGACTGGTAAGCAAAGGTTTTTTAGTGCTTTAGTATTTATTAATGTCAATTTGATGTATTATATACTGTAAAAATAAGCCCTTCCATTTGTGCAACATTTTCCCAAATTCTCTTCCACAGACATAATGGAGGAGCTTGGGTTGGGTGATGTTGATGATCTTGAAGGTAACTTCACATCTAAATTAGTGAATTTACCACGTTCAATACCTTGAGTACTAACTCTATCAACCATATAATTCATGTTCACAATTTCTTTCTTTCATTTAACACTTTTAAGAAGCTAAAAAAAATCAAGCAGGTCAGTGCATACATCCAGTAGGAATAGATTAAATGTTTTGTGATTCTGTATAGCTTTTCTATTTGCAGTGCTACTTCGCGGTCTGAAGTTATTGACACCCTTGTTGAAGATGAGCAATAATGACTGTATAAAATAAATAATTCAAATACTGAGCTATATGGTATGCAAAAAAAAAGGGGAAATTATATTAATGTGGATGCTACCATGATTACGGATAATCCTGAATGAATTGTGAATAATGATGAGTGAAAAAGTTAGAGGGTCAAAGATCATACCCCCAAGACATGCTAACCTCCCCTGTCATTGGTAATGGTGAGATGTTAGCATGTCTTGAGGGTATGATCTTTGATCCTCTGTAACTTTCTCACTATTATCATTATTCACGATTCATTCAGGATTATCCGCAATCAAGATAGCATCCACATTAATGTAGTGTTTAGAAGCATATTATTTTCTTATTTACAATTAAAGTCACTCCAAAATGACAATGCATTATTTACCATTCATTTCTATTGGGCACAAAATAATCTGAGAAACAACCAAAACGAACTGCAAATGCATCCAACAAGTTTTAAGAGTCACAAGCTTGATGTAGTCATTGCGTGCTAGGAATATGGGTCCAAATACTAAACTTTTGACTACTTTATTTATAAGAATCTTTAGGGTTGTCAATAATTTTGACCCTTACCTTTTTGAGAGAAAAAAAGTATTGTTAAGCAAAATATCTTTCTCTGAGCAATTGTATTAGAATAAAATAATATTATTTCCCCATTTTTTTTGGCATAGAATATAGCTCAGTATTTAAATTATTTATTTTATACAGTCATTATTGCTTATCTTTATCAAGTGTGTCAATAATTTCAGACCCCACTGTAGATTGGGGGTAAGGCCCTGCGTTAGACTAGAAACAGGAGATAGACTCTTGCTATGAGCTGTTCCGGCTCGAACAAGCCAAGGCTCTTGGAAGGCTACTTACTTTGCTCAAATTGATCCCCTCAAACATGCTTATTGTCTGACTGTTGTCTCCTGTGTTACTGGTGCAGATGCCTCTGATTGGGACACGGCCAGCACCGCTAGCAGGAGAACCCTCCCCGGCCACAGAGGGCCCTCCCCCAGTGGCGAGGAGCTGAGGGAGGAGGCCTCTTCCCGATCCCCCATCCTTCTGCCGGCTGTCCAGGAGCAGGAGCCAGACATCCCAGATACAGATACAGCAGCAATAGCTGAGAGGGGCGGTCCCAAGGAGCAGATACACTCTCTTTCGGACAGACCCCTCCCACTGGCCAGCCCGCGCTCCCTTACCCCTCAAACCCAACTCCAGCCCCAGCCCCGTGCTAGGAAGATGCTGCTCCAGAGAACAGAGAGTGAGGAAGGTAAGGGAGTAAGGAGATTATAGATACTGCCTGTACTTTTGAGTGTATTTCTGGCTAACTTTAGATAGGCTTTTTGCCCATTGGCGCCAAGGATGTAAGCAGTGCGTAAATTCACTTTTTCTTCCTTGTTCTTAGACTTTGATTGGGATTCCGACCATGTGACTACCTCGACCCCCAGCCCAGTCAGGACTGGGAAGCAATTACCAAACATAACAGAGACCGTCGCAGTGTTGAAACCTGGTGAGTGACCTAAAGTTGACCTAATTAATTAGCATTGATGATGACTGTGACTATTTGTGGACGTACGTCGGCTGCTGCTCTTGTTAAAACAGATTCTCTCTTCCTGCAGATAACCCTGTGCGTGAGCCCTCGCCAGTGAAGCAAGAGAGTGAGAGCAGTCCAGAGCCCGAGGAGCAGGCACAAGAGGTGGGGGCCTTAGTCAGGGAATACCCTCTCCAGTTTACCTCATCTCATATCCCCCCAAATTGCGCCATATTCCTTGCTTTAAAATATATCAAACGTTTTTACTTTACCACCTCTACCCTACCTCATCACATTGGCTACTTCATAATAGTGTAGTGTACAGTATATTCCCTATCTTACAATATAGCCTATCATATCCCCAGCATATTTACAAATAATCTCCATCACCTCTACTGCATCTAGTCTCTCATCACCCACTACACCACTGCCTTATGAACACCCTATGTAGTCCCTATCTAACCCAGTAGGCAAAACTATACAGAACAAAAATATAAACGCAACATGTAAAGTGTTGGTCCAATTTTTCATGAGCTGAAATAAAATATCCCAGAAATGTTCCATATGCACAAAAAGCTTATTTCACTCAAATGTGCACACATTTCTCCTTTGCCAAGATAATCCATCCACTTGACAGGTGTGGCATATCAAGAAGCTGATTAAACAGCATGATCATTACACAGGTGCAACTTGTGCTGGGGACAATAAAAGGCACTCTAAAATGTGCAGTTTTGTAACACAACACAATGCCACAGATGTCTCAAGTTTTGAGGGAGCATGCAATTGCTGACTGCAGGAATGTCCACCAGAGCTGTTGCGTGAGAATTAAATGTCGTTTTAGAGAATTTGGCAGTACGTCCAACCGGCCTCACAACCGCAGACCACGTGTAACCATGCCATTCCTCCACATCTGGCTTCTTCACCTGCGGGATCATCTGAGACCAGCCACCCAGACAGCTGATGAAACTGGGTTTGCGCAACCGAAGAATTTCATCACAAACTGTCAGAAACCGTCTCAGGAAAGCTCATCTGATCTGCGTGCTCGTTGTCCTCACCAGGGTCTTGACCTGACTGCAGTTCAGCGTCATAACCGACTTCAGTGGGCAAATGCTAAACTTCGATGGCCACTGGCAAGCTGGAGATGTGTGATGAAGATGAATCTCGGTTTCAACTGTACCGGGCAGATGGCAGACAGTGTGTATGGTGTCATGTGGGCGAGTGGGTTGCTGATGTCAATGTTGTGAACAGAGTGCCCCATGGTGGCAGTGAGGTTATGGTATGGGAAGGCATAAGCTACGGACAACGAACACAATTGCATTTTATCGATGGCAATTTCAATGCACAGAGATACCGTGACGAGATCCTGAGGACCATTGTCGAGCCATTCATCTGCCGCCATCACCTCATTTTTCAGCATGATAATGCACGGCCCAATGGCGCAAGGATCTGTACACAATTCCTGGAAGCTGAAAATGTCCCAGTTCTTCCATGGTCTGCATACTCACTGGACATGTCACCCATTGAGCAATGTTTGGGATGCTCTGGATCGACGTGTACAACAGCGTATTCCAGTTCCCGCCAATGTCCAGCAACTTCGCACAGCCATTGAAGAGGAGTGGGACAACATTCCGCATGCCACAATCAACAGTTTGAGCAACTCTATGCGAAGGAGATGTGTCATGCTGCATGAGGCAAATGGTGGTCACACCAGATACTGACTGGTTTTCTGATCCATGCCCCTACTTTTTTTTAAAAGGTATCTGTGACCAATAGATGCATATCTGTGTTCCCAGTCATGTGAAAGCCATAGATTAATTTATTTTAGTTGACTGATTTCCTTATATGAACTGTAACTCAGTAGAATCGTTGAAATTGTTACATGTTGCTTTTATATTTTGGTTCAGTATAGTTGCACTGACGTCATTGTCAGGTTGTGTGTAGGCTGTATAAGGATGTTTTGTTAATGTCTTGTTAGCAACCAAATAAATACCTCTTTATCTGGTTGTAATCTGGTTATCTGACCAAATAGGTAAATAACCAAAATAAGATTATTCCCCCCCTCCCCCCCATCTGGTTTGATCAGAGATGGCTATGTGACTATATGCGTAAGCCCTCACCGGTGCAGCAAGAGATTGAGAGCAGTCCAGAGCCCGAGGAGCAGCCACAAGAGGTGGGGGCTTTTGTCAGGGAATACCCTCTCCAGCTTACCTCATCTCATACCCCCCCAAATCGCTACAATCCCCAACTTTAAATAGATTTTATTTTACCACCTCAACCCTGGAGAGTAGTAGAATGGGCTCAACCAACTTGCGACGAGGTACAACCCAAAAATAATATGAGCATTTAGGAAGGAATAGCCGAAACTCACACTCATAATTAAAATCTTGATCTAGATATTAAAATCCATAACCGTTGGGCCTTCATAAGAACGATCATCTCTACCCTACCTCGTCACATTTTGTACATCATATAACTGTAGTGTACAGTATATCCCCTACCTTACAATATAGCCTATCATACACCTAGCACAGCTACATTTCATCCACATCACCCATCTCGTCTGCCATCATCCCCTTCACAACAGACTGGCTTATGAACCAACTATGTAGTCCCTCTCTCAACCAGTGGGCAAAACTAGTTTCAATGATGTCATTATGATGTCATTGGTTGCATAAGGACATTTTACCAACCCAAAAAATATGTATTTATCTCGTTGTAAACTGATTATCTGAACAGATAATAACCAAAATATGTATTTTCTATCTGGTTGTAACAATGGCTATATGACTTCTCATCTTCTCAACCAGAACCAGTTTACAATCAGAATAATTACATCATTAATACTTAATGTGCCAAATTTTGACTGCTGACTATTTTATGAAATGTATGAAATATTAGTCTGGTTATTGTGGCAAAGTGGTACAAGTTTGAATGTTACCTGCATGCCCCTAAACACAATTTGTTTTGAACGTTGGTGTTTTCAGTGTTTTTATGAACATTCATGTTTTGTAGACTCTAATTGTAGATCCCATTGTAGGCGTCCGTGTTAACACCATTTCCTTTGTCTACTCATGCCATCAAAGGAGAAAGACGTTGCATTAGAGGCATCAGAGTTAGACGTAAGTAACCCATACCACCTTGACCCTGTCGGGTCCCAAACTGGGGAGGAGCAGGAGGAGTACAAAGAGAAAGAAGGGAGGTATGTAGTTAGAGAAAGAGAGGGAGCTGTTAAAGAGGAGGAGGAGAAAGAGCCAGGCTGGGAGAAACGTTATGAAAAGATCTGGGTAGAGGTGGAGAAGAGGGAGGTCAAGTCCTCCTACAAGAACGTGGCGGCCGAACTGAAGGAGAAATTTGGAGAACTTTCTGCTGAATCCGCGTCCGACGAAACTACAGAAGAAGAAGAAGAAGAAAAACAGGAGGAGAACGTAGAGATAGTTGAATCTCCCGCCAGAACCGCTGTGGAAGAGTCCAGCAACGAAGAGAAGGTGGGGGAGCCTATAGTCTGTCTGTTGGGCAGGGCGAGGAGGAGTAGTAGCAATATAGTCCTGCTGACCATTCCTGAGCAGAGGGAGTCCGGGCTGGAGGACTCTATGACCGAGTCGGCTGACAACTCCCACTGCGAAGACAGGACTCCGCCTTGTGACACCCCCGGGTGTTCCCACCTCTGCCCCAGTGCCGAGGACAGTGAGATGGGGGACCTGGAGGTCCTCGGTGGCATTGAGCCAGAGAACAGGTCTGCTTCGCCTCAACTGGCTGGGGGAATCGATGGAGAGCGAGAAGTAGACTACAATATCGATGATGTCACCAAGACCTTCACAGATTGCAATGCAGCCTCAGTGAAACTCAAAAAAGACAATGTTTATATGGACTCGTCCTTGAACGAAGGAGAGACAAACCCTAGCCCAGACAAAAGTACTACTACCAAACCAAAGCCTGCCGCAGAGAGACGTGGGCCAGGGCAAGTCCAAGAGGATGATGAGAAGAGCCCCTCCATGTCCGAAGAAGAACCCAAAGTGTGTCCCTCCCAGTCTCAGCCCCCCTCATTGAGCAGTGTGTGTCCCCCAGCTCCTTTACTTCCCTCAGACGAAGAGCTGGCAGAAGACCTGCAGAGGTTCAAGCACGAGGTAGGGATGCTGAAGGTTGTGTTCCTGGATTTGGAGAAAGAGAAGGCCCTGCTCTGGAAAGAGGTAGGGGATTATGACCTCCATCGCCCCAAGGTATAGCCCACACCACGCGATTTCGTTTTTGTCTGGAGGCTGGGGGGAGTGAGGGATGAGGGATGAGGGAGGGAGGGGTGAGGGGAGGTGAGGGATGCGGGGAGGGAGGGGGGAGGGAGGAGGGCGGGAGGGGGGCGGGAGGGATGGAGGGCGGGAGGGAGGAGGGCGGGAGGGCGGTAGGGGGAGGAGGAGGGAGGGGGAGGGAGGGGGGGCGGGGGGGGTGGGTAGGGCGGAGGGAGGGAGGGAATGGACAGGCGGATGGGGATGGGAGGGGAGGTAGGGCGAGGCGGGAGCGGAGGGGGGGGGGAGTGAGGGGAGGATCTTTCTCTTTTCTTTCGGGCTTTATGGTAGGTCGTTTCTTCGTTCTTCTTTCTTTATTTCTTTTCTTTCTTTCTTTCTTTTATGTTCTTTCTTTCTTTCTTTCTTTCTTTCTTTCTTTTCTTTTTCTTCTTTCTTTCTTTCTTGCTTTCTTTTTTCTTTCTTACTTTCTTCTCACCGCTTTTTCCATTCCATCACCTCAGCTGAGTCTGTGTGAAAAAAGGCCCAAACAATGCCAGGAAATACCTCTTCTAGACAATCCTTTTTTCTTCTACTTCCTCCCATTTCTCTTTTCTTTTATTGGAAATGGTCGACATACTCTAGTAGTGAAACCAAAGAGTCTGCATGTCATTTTCCTTTAGTATTTATCTATATTTTTTTCATGAAGCTAAGTGAGCATTATTTTTCGCTCTGTCCACGCCAGTTCTTCACTTCATCAACCACTCCCTCACCCAATGAGGTGCTGACTGTGGACAGTTCCCAGAGTGACATTTAACGCCTCATTGGCCTCGTTTGACTCTCCTCTCTCCTTAATGCGTTTTATTTTCTGTCTGCGAGGGGGGGAGATGATGTGGAGGCAGGAGGGATGGGGGGGGAGGGAGAGTGAGGGAGGGATGGAGGGAGGGAGGAGGGCGGGATTGGGAGGGAGGGAGGGAGGGAGGGGGCGGGGGCGGGGGGAGGGCTGGAGAGAGTCGCGAGAGAGAGAGCGACGAGAGAGCATAGAGGTCTAGATATCGAGCTTAGACTCTCTATATTCTCTATCTCTCTCTCTCTAATCTCTCTCTTCTCTCTCTCTACTCTCTCCATCTCTCTCTCTCTCTCCTCTCTATCTCTCTCTATCTCTCTCTCTCTCTCTCTCTCTCTTCTCTCCTCTCTCTCTCTCTCTCTCTCTATCAGCTGTAGTATTGTGTGCTTCCTGGATTTCACCAACGCCTCATCATCCACCCTCAAAGGAGCATCATCCATCTTCTCTTGTAGTGATTTTTTTTGTTTATTGTTGTGTCTTTTTCTCCATCTGTGTGCTTTGCATGCTGCCACATGTTGAGAAAACAGTTGTTTGCTACTCTCGGGTCATTTCTCTTTTGCTCATTCTCCCTAGCTGGTGTGGTGTGAAGTGGTGAACATTTACCTATAGAAACACCCTTATTTTCTATGAAAATAAGCCAGGTTGGACTGATGTGTGGGTGTAGCAGTTGTGTTTCATTTGCACAGTGTTTTGTGCATGCTTTTGTGATGACATTAAAGCGATAGTTCAGCCAAATTTGCAAATATTAGTTAATGTTAGCATTTTCATTTTTTTAGCAAACCCAATGTAAGTCACTGTCCCCTAGTTGGCATGCTCCAATCATCTCAAAGCATCTTCAAACCAAGTTGTTGAGCTAATCAATGTTTTTTTTTTGTTGTATTTTTTGATGATTTGGGCATGCTAACTGGGGGACATTGACTTACATTGGTCAAATGCTAATATTATCATTTGGTGGCAGTGGCTAGTTTAAGAAAACCAAAGCATGGATTGCCGTCTGTCCTTATCCATTTGGTTTTGTTCGAAAATGCTAATGATTTCTAGGTAAGGAAGCACATATCTGGGTGAGCTATCCCTTTAATGTGTTACCCTGTAACACTAAAACAGTTGCCATCTAAAATCATTAATGTTGATGAAAGTGTTAAACGGACAACTAGACGGACGACTAGAAAAAACCCTCAAACCAAGTTTATTCAACCACTGGGTCAAACAGCTGCATAAGACAAAGACATGTTTACACAAGCACATATATTTATACCCTCCTTCTAGGCTGAGTGTCCTTGCACATCTAGACAGCCAATACTCACGGCTGTCCTACCTTATCTGTGACTGAAACCAGACTGTTGCCCTTCTCCTCTCCATAGGATACATGAGATTTAACAATAACATGTTCTGACAGAATGTAAACTTTCTGCCCTCCCCTTTCTCACTCAGTAGATTCCATCCACTCAGTTCTAATAGTGTAAGATATTTCAAGTTAGAAGTTCGAATCGAACAAAAGGAATTTGAAAACACTCTTAACTAAAACAATTTGGCCAGCCTTTTGAATGTGTTTTTCCAGGCACTTTGGATAATGTCTGCTCTGTGAAAGCTTAACGTAGCTGTATAGGATTGCATAGGAATGGAGCTGCCTGTAAAGCTGCTGCATCCCTGTAGTTAAGCCTAACCATGGTTGCATCCTAATGGAACCATATTCCCTACAGTGCACTACTTTTGGTCAAAAGTAGTGCACTATCTAGGGTATAGGGTGCTATTTAGAACATATTACATGAAGGTGTTAGGTCTCTCAGGGGAGGGGTGACAGACTAAAATATATATGGTATGGTAGTATACCTGCTCCAAAACACATTTTAAAGGCCGGCTTAAACTAACCATTCTCAAGCAGTATGTGTAAGGCTAATTCTGCAGCTTTGATCATTAAACATTTACCCTGTCTTTACAGTTGGGCGAAGACCAGACAAAGACCAACATGGAGGTGCTGCAAAAATCAAGTGCTTCATGGGATGCAGGAGGATTAAAGAGAAGACAGTGTGAACGTGAACTAGACAAAGAAGAAGAGGAGAAACCTGAGACCAGTTTAGGACACCCTAAAGAGTCACACAGTGGAAATGGTGCAACAGAAAGCGAACATCAGCTCAGAGCAACAGACAGTATTGCCCAAAGACACTGGTCCAAAAGTCCAAAGAGGTATGTGTCTTTGTTTTGATTTAGTTTCCCCCCCCAATTAATTCATGTTGCTTTGTCATTGTGCATAGCTTTAGGAGCCAGGCAATAAGGTTCTTAAAGGACAGAGGACAATCAGAACTTCACTGACAGAATCAAGAGGCCTATTAGACTTGGAGCAGTTATTTGCAAAAGTGGTATCAAATGAGCTAAGACATCAGTTGTACTTGTCACCTAAAGACCAGCAGTCCAAAGGCAACCAAAGACATTCCGTTCCAATTCTCTCCCTACCGCTCACCCTTGGCCCTACCCATTTCGATAAATGCAGCTCTGTAAGGTGAAAGCAATATAGTGGAAGCCCTGCCACTTCCTTGCTTATACCTATCCAAGGGCCGAGTTGAGACTGGCTGGCAGACCGACTGTCTCCCATTATCATACCCTGGTCCACTCTAATACAGTCCCATGTCACAACTGTACTTTGGTTTAGTTTTGATTCCTTCCCCTGTCCTTTACCCTGCTGCCACTACTTAAATGACACCTCCCACTCCAGGGCAATCAACCATATTCCCAGCTATTGGCTACTGTCATGGGGCATGACGTTCACCGCTAGGTCTATGCTCTCCCTATAGCGCTGACAGGGCCCTGGAGGACCAACTACGTCATCAGCAGCAGAAGAAGAAGAAGGAGGGGAGAGCTGTATCTAACGAGGCCACCTTACAGTTACCCTTTCTGGGGGGAGCCAGGCATGGCCAAGCTCCCCAGGCAGCTAACCATGTTAACGCAGGAGACCCCCTCTCAGTGTTTGACGATAGTACTTTAAGTGAAGTGTCGGACGATGATGGAAGGTATATATGCAGTATGACATTTTACTTTACTGATGATGTCACTAACTCTGACAGTTCAATGATTGGTGGTGGGATATGATCTGGACTTTTCTTTTGACTTCATCTGTTATATTTCTCTATTTTCTGCTTTCAAATATGTTGCATGTCGAACTCTTGAACTACTCATTTTGAAAGGTATACTGCATTATACCATCGCGCTTCTACGAAATAAGTCGTGCTACTTGTCGGCACCCTTGCACACAGCTTGAGGAGCGAGCATTCGTGACGTTTTCCTAAATAATCTTTCCCGCTCTTCTTCTGTTTGTGTTTGTTTGTCGTTGTCAGGTCTCTATCTGCATGGCATCGGAAGGACAAGGTAAATTCCTGGCTTTTGGTCTTTTTTCCCCTACACTATTACCATGGCTTTGTGCACCCAAATGTTCATTCATTGAGATCCTTAAGAAAATGGCATGATTAAAAAAAAAAAAGGGACATTACACTCCAAAATCAAAGACTGTAAATTAATGTCTAGGCTATCTGTGTAGTAGATCTATATACCACAGTACAAAATTAATGGAAATGATAAACACTAGATAATGTCCAGATTTGCAGCACTTATCTTTTCCATTAAAGGGATAGCTCACTAGAGCTGGGACGATTTAACGAAAAATTACCGACATTGCCTTCCTCTTACTAAAGTATTTAGCTTACGTCGGTAATATTAATTGATTTTGCTACAGAACGTTCCTGTAGATTGTTCTAAAATCATTATTTGCTCAACCGTAATAGCCTAAGCATTATGTTGATTCCTGCTATAAAAGTATTAGCCTGTCCCTTTTTCCCTTTTGGATGCTGTGTGATCAAGCCACTCTCACTCCCTCTACCCACTGTAGAGTTCGCACGGAGGGAGAGCTGCATTCTGATAAGCACAAGCATATGACCGTTGCTCAAAATGCAATTGCAGGAAAAATACAGTTTCCAAAGCAACTACTGTTGGTCTAGTAACAGAGATGAGAGTCACAGCTTTCTGTGAGTATATCATTTATTTCTCACCTCTTAATATTGAGGTAATGGCACCACTTTACTAAAACTGGACTGATCCGATAAATGGTTGATTTAGGTGCAATCTTACTAGCAGCAATATCCTTGCCTGTGCAAAGCAATGATGACGGCATGTGTTTCCTTGCAGGTAACCATGGTTAACAGAGGAATAACAATGATTTCAAGCACCACCCTCCTTTTAAAGCTTCCAGTCTGTTATTCTAACTCAATCAGCATGACAGAGTGATCTCCAGCCTTGTCCTCGTCAACACTCTCACCTGTGTTAATGAGAGAATCACTGACATGATGTCAGCTGGTCCTTTTGTGGCAGGGATGAAATGCAGTGGAAATGTTTTTTGGGGATTTAAGTTCATTTTCATGGCAAAGAGGGACTTTGCAATTAATTGCATTTCATCTGATCACTCTTCATAACATTCTGGAGTATATGCCAATTGCCATCATAAAAACTGAGGCAGCAGACTTTGTGAAAATTACTATTTGTGTCAAAACTTTTGACCACGACTGTAGGCTATCATCTCCGTTTTCTTACTTGGCACTGGAAAAAAATTGTGTCCAATTATCGTTATCGAGCAACCTAATTAAATTGATCGCAATATAACTTTTTGTCCATATCGTTCAGCTTCATAGTTCACCCAAATTGCAAAATCACATATTGGCTTCCTTACCCCTTAAGCAATCTGTGGACAAGGTATGGCACCAATCCATGCTTTAGTTTTGTTTCCCTGGCACTGTTTCCAAATGATAACATTTTAGGATTTGTGGCAAAAATCCAATGCAAGTCAATGGTACCTATGGGCGAGAGTGGGGTAAGTCGTGCAAAAGGGTTAGTTGAACCACCCCTTGTTTCTAGGAAACCATACACAAAATTAATCATGTGACCAAATATTTAGAAGAGGTAATCATTTCATGGAGTCCGAAGGAAGAAACCACATGGAAAAAGTTGTAAGCAAGTTGTGTCCAAAAAACTGATGTTCACAAAGTGTTTTTAATTTATTGTGTATAGGTTTCATGATGCTTGTATCTAAATCATAGTAGGTATTTTTAACTGTTTTATACATCAGTTGGGTTCTCTATAAGCTACAATATGGTCTTAGCATTGCATTTTTGTAGGTGTTTGGGCTAATATAGTCAAAATGTTTGCTCTGGGGTAAATTGTGCCTTTTGGCCAGGGGCAACTTGAGCCAATGTCTAATCATACAAATTATGACAACATTTTGTCAGTTTTATGCATAATTTAGTATTTTGAAGACAACTCGCATTTGTGTGGAAAGTCAAGTTCAAATGATGGAAAATGCCTTCCTCAGTTGGGTTCGCCCCCCTCAATGCCACAATTAAAAGTGTTTTCTTCCCAGGCCTAATGCAAGGCCTTATCGCTGGGGTATGTGGTTACACCAGGGCCTTAGCCTATGTTAAAAGTTTTTTTTTTTAAGTACAATTTACCCCATATCCGGGGTAAGTTCTACCAAGAGACCACTTTTTTTGGACAAGCTATGTTTTCAAAACTGTTATATTTGCTTGAATTCTGATTTTTTTTTTTCAGGGATACACAACATCCTGAAATATGTGAAGATATCTTTGTTAGAAAGAATACTACAGTGCATTCACACCCCTTGACTTTTTCCACATTTCTGTTGTGTTACAGCCTGAATTTAAAATGAATTAAATTTAGATTTTTTTTGTCACCGGCCTACACACAATACCCCATAATGTCAAAAGTGGAATGATGTTTTTTGAAAAAAAATTGAAATGTCTGGAGTCAATAACTATTCAACCCCTTTGTTGTGGCAAGCATAAATAAGTTAAGGAGTAAAAATGTGCTTACAAGTCACATAATAAGTTGCATGGACTCACTCTGTGTGCAATAATAGTGTTTAACATGGTTTTTGAATAACTACCTCATCTCTGTTCCACACACACAATTATATGTAAGGTCCCCCAGTTGAGCAGTGAATTTTAAACACAGATTCAACCACAAAGACCAGAGAGGTTTTCAAATGCCTCGCGAAGAAGGGCACCTATTGGTAAAAAATAGAGAAAAAAAAGACATTGAATATCCCTTTGACCATGATGAATTTATTAATTACACTTTGGATGGTGGATCAATACACCCAGTCACTACAAAGATACAGGCGTTCTTCCTTACTCAGTTGCCGGAGAGGAAGGAAACCGCTCATGGATTTCACCATGAGGCCAATGGTGACTAGTTCGAGTTTAATGGCTGTGAGAGGAGAGAACTGAGGATGGATCAACAACATTGTAGTTACTCCACAATACTAACCTAATTGACAGAGTAAAAAGAAAGAAGCCTGTACAGAATACACATATTCCAAAACATGCATCCTGTTTGCAACAAGGCACTAAAGTAATACTGCTAAGAATGTGGCAAAGCAATGAACTTTTTGTCCTGAATACAAAGTGTTATGTTTGGGGCAAATCCAATACAACACATAACTGAGTACCACTCTCCATATTTTTAAGCATAGTGGTGGCTGCATCATGTTATGGGTATGCTTGTAATCATTAAGGACTGGGGAGTTTTTCCAGGATAAAGAAACGGAATGGAGCTAAGCACATGCAAAATCCTAGAGGAAAACCTGGTTGTCTGCTTTCCATCAGACATTCTGAGATTTAATTCTACTTTTAGTAGGACAATAACCTAAAACACAAGGCCAAGTCTACACTGGAGTTGCTTCCCAAGAAGACAGTTAATGTTCCTGAGTGGCCAAGTTAGTTTTGACTTAAATATGCTTGGAAATGTATGGCAAGACTTAAATTGTTGGTTAGTAATGATCAACAACAAATTTGACAGAGCTTGAAGAATTTTGAAAAGAATAATAGGCAAATATTGTACAATCCAGATGTGCAAAGCTCTTAGAGACGTACCCAGAAAGATTCACAGCTGTAATCGCTGCCAAAGGTGATTCTAACATGTATTGACTCATGGGTGTGAATACTTACATAAATGAAATATTTCTGCATTTCATTTCCAATAAATGTGCTAAAATGTTTTACGTGACTTTAAGTGGCTTCGTTGAGTTACACAATCAATTTGAGATACTTGAGATTTTAATGTCAATCTCCTCAGTTCAGAACCGATGGCTTGGGATGTGGACTTTTGAGCTCTGAAAACATCTGACAAACGTTGATTTTGGAGTGCAGTGTCCCTTTAAGAAAATGTCATGAGTTTAGTTAAAATTCACAAATGGCCCTCAAACATACCAACTTTTACACATGGATATAGTGTATGTAGTGTAAATCTTTGATCTGTTTTATGTTGCGTCCCCAACCTCAGACTGCTGGCGAGATGGAGATCGCGGAAGACTTTGATGAGCTCACACAGTCATCGGACACGGCCACATCTGACCTCGAAGACCCCACCTCTGGCTACCGTCACGCCTCTTTTCTCATCAAACAGCTCGACTCTACCACTTTAGGTACACATGGTCCAAAATCTATCACTTTAACCAAGTCTTGTTTGATTGGGGATTAAAGTTTATTTTTGGGGGTAGTACAGTAACACATGTATGTCTAAATCCATCTCTGTAGATAATATCAGCTGATATCTTAAAACCACAATGTAGCCTTTGTATCCTAGGCTCTATCTCAAACAGTCTTTCCAGGATTTCTCGCATTCTATCTCCTTGCCTCCTTAGTATTTGAGGAGAAGATCCAAGGTCCCTCCCCTTTGACATTTATCTCCAATGCATTTTGAGAAGGAGGCAAGGAATCCAGGAAAGATGAATTGAGGAAGTCCCCAAGGCTCTAACCCTACTCACCTTTCCCTCCCACCCCACCCCTCTGTCCCCTCAGACTCCGTGAGCATCGTGAAGCTCCAGAACATGTTCCACGAGTATGAGCGCACCATCCAGAGGGAGCGGGCCCGCCATGGGCGCCTGTCCGACAAGGTGAGCCAGCTGGAGGCCGAGCGGTGCGAGCTGAGGGCCTCCCTGGAGGAAAGCCGGGACGGCAAGCAGGCCCTGGATCACCGGCAGCTGGAGCTGAACACGGACCTCAACAACCTTAAGTAAGTTAGCCAAAGAGTAGAGGTATTTTTTGTCGTTCTATGAGACAATGTTTTTTTTCTCTCCCTCTCAATGAACCTTTCATATTTTTCTGCTCTTTCACATCTCTCGCTCTCTCGCTCTCCCTTTCATTTTTATCATCTCTCCTCTCACTCTCTGTCTCTGCTAACACACTAAGTGTAGATGTGACCCTCTGATCTCTCTGTGTTCTGTAGGTTCCAGCTGAAGCAGGAGCAGGAGAAGCACCGGAACGCCTCCATGCTGTACGACAAGACGCGGGAAATGCTGCGGAGGAAGGAGGAGGAGCTCCGGGCCGAGGCCGAGGAAAAGCACAAGGTGGAGCTGGCCGTGAGGAACCAGGAGCTGGAGATGAGGGCCATCCTTAACAATATGAAACAGGTCAAATGCTCTCTGTCTCTCTCTTTCTCTCAGCCCTCCTCTTCCTACATTTAAATTATGACAATAACATAATTATTTTATACCTAGATTACACTGATATGTTGTACTTTGTGGATGACCCCTGACCTAGCACTCTATCGGTCAGTTTTTAATGTTCTTCCGCCATTGCCACACATATACCACAGGTGTCGTAAAAGAGTGTCGTAAACAATCACTCAGAACCACATCAATACATCTTCCTTTTTTTTGTATACTTTTTTTTTTTTTTTTTTACAAACATACACATTTCATCAACAAGCAATGTCAATTCACAAATACCAATTAATCCCAGTTTCAAAATAGTCAATAGTGAAAATATAAAAACAAACCCCAACAATTCAATGAATCAGCCTCTCAGTCTTTGGTCCATTAAACATCACCACTTGTTCTCGTTTCTTTTTCCTGTGTCTTGAGCGTCCTCAAACGTCTCCTGGGTTCTCAAAAGTCTTTGTCAATTGCGCCGATACACAGCCTCATCTTCTGTCCTGACTGTATATGACCGAGGCACAACCTCCTCCAATACAGGAGCCTTTCTATCCTATGAATCCGGACCCCGAATTCGAACCACATCCTGAGCTGCCAACGGTGACAACACTAGCAGTTTTGTCATAGTAGAGTTTTTGTCTTGCCTTCAACTGCAGGGCCCTGTCCTACACAGCTAATGGGCAGTCATTCAGGCATAAAATAGGCAACCTGGAACACAACTTGCGTCCCATTAAGATTTCTGCAGGTGACCGGCCACATTCCAAGGGTGCTGCTCTGTAAGACAATAAAGCCAAGTATGGATCAGTCCCACTGTGTGCTGCCTTTTTTAAGTCTATTCATGATTTGCACACCTTTTTCAGGCTTTCTGTTACTTTTAGGATATAGTGGACTAGAGGTTATATGTCTGAACTCATAATGTTCTGCAAATATCGTAAACTCACTGCAAGCAAACTGAGGTGCATTGTCAGAAACCACCACTAGGGGAATCCCATGCCTAGCAAAGAATGATTTCAAATGCAAAATGACAGTCTTTGCTGTTGTGCTGGACAAGAGTGCAATTTCAGGGTAAATTGACAAGTAGTCGACAGTCAACAAATAGTCCTTACCATTGCAGTGAAACAAGTCGACTCCAACCTTCTCCCAGGCTGTGGTGGGTACCTCTCCCATAACCATGGGTTCCTTGGGCAGTCTATAATGAAATTTGAGACGTGTCACAATTTCCAACCATTTGCTCAATGTCAGAATTTATATTTGGCCAATAAAGGGACTCTCTGGCCCTTCTCTTACATTTCTCAGCTCCCAGATGTCCTTCATGCACTCTCTGTAGCATCTCCTGACCCATTGAAGTAGGTATCACCGTTCTGTTGTTCTTCAACAGCACACCATTGACCACTGACTGCTCTGCGCTTAGTGGGAAGTACTGCTTACAAGAGCCTTTTTGCCAGCCATTTTCCAGATTCTGGATCACCTTGCAAAGAATGGGATCTGTTGTGGTCTCTTCAGCTATTCTCCTTAGTTGCTGCTCAGAAACAGGAAGTGACTCCATGACCATATCCACATGCAAGGCAACCTCCTCCTCCATAGACTCCTGACTGAGGCTGATTTGGGCCACCACTGGTGGAACCCTTGAGAGGGCATCTGCAACCTCTAAAGTTGACCCAGGAACATAGGTTAGAACAAAATCATAGCGTTGCAACCTCATCATCATCCTTTGAAGACAATGAGGCATGTCATTCAGATTTTTTAGAGAGATTGGAATAAGGGGTTTATGGTCTGTTTCTAGAATCACCTTTGGTAAGCCATAAATGTAACATTGAAACTTCTCACAACCAACGACCAACCCTAGGCACTCCTTTTCTATTTCAGCATAACGCTTTTCAGCATCAGTCATGGAATGGGCCGCATAAGCCACAGGCTTCCACATACCTTGATGCTCCTGAAGCAGCACTGCTCTAATGCCATTTTTGGAGGCGTCCGTGGACACCTTGGTAGTAGGACTGCTCTTCAGTTAGCACTGCTCTTCAGCCAAAATGTTCTTTACATCGTTCCACTCTCTTTCATGTTCTCTGTTCCATGAGAACTCTGTCTTGTCCTGAAGGATTGTCCTTAAGTTCACTGTTTTAGCTGACAAGTTTGGTACAAACTTCCCCAAATAATTGACCATACCCAAAACCTGCTGAATGCCTTTCCTTTTTGTGGGATTTGCCATCTCCCTCACCGCTTTGACCTCGGCATGATCAGGCTGCACACCCTCCGAGGACAGCTTATCCCCAAGAAATGTGATTTCCTTCGCACAGAACTGACATTTAGCCTGATTTAGCTTCAAACCATGCTTCTGAACCCTCTGCAGAGTCTTTCCCAGCCGCTCATTGTGTTCCTGAATAGTGGACCCCAGACCACAAAATCATCCACATACACTCTGACACCCTCTAACCCCTCAATGACACTTTCCATGGCCTTGTGAAAGAGATCAGGGGCAGAACTTATGCCAAAAGGTTACATCTTAAAGGAATATCTTCCAAAGGGAGTATTGACTGTACGCAGTTTGGTGCTGGCTGCATCCAACCTCACCTGCCAGAATCCATTTGACGCATCCAATTTGGAGAAATAGTGTGTGCCAGCCATTTCACACACTATCTCCTCCCTCTTAGGAATCTGAAAATGCTCCCTTTTGATACATTTATTTAGGTCCTTGGGGTCCATACAGACTCTCAGATCTCCATTCCTTTTCCGAACACACACCATGGAATTCACCCAGTCTGTTGGCTCCTCTGTTTTCACGAGCACATTGAGTTTCACTATTCTTCCCAACTCCTTCTTTAGATCCTTCCGTAGTGGCACCGTAACTCTGCGTGGTGCATGAATCACTGGCTTGGCATTCTCTGTGAGAGTAATAGAGTGAATGAGAGGCAATGCTCCAAATCCTGTGAACACATCAGAATAACTTTGAGCAATCTCCTCACCATTTTGATTACTTGTCACCCATTGAACACTGTGCAGCCAGTCAAAGTCATTAATGGTGTACACTTGCTTAACCAGTCCCAACGACTCACATGCTGTATCCCCCAAAAGAGAATCATGCCACTCTGGTACAATCACAAACATACAGTGGGGAGAACAAGTATTTGATACACTGCCGATTATGCAGGCTTTCCTACTTACAAAGCATGTAGAGGTCTGTAATATTTATCATAGGTACACTTCAACTGTGAGAGACGGAATCTAAAACAAAAATCCAGAAAATCACATTCTATGATTTTTAAGTAATTAATTTGCATTTTATTGCATGACATAAGTATTTGATCACCTACCAACCAGTAAGAATTCCGGCTCTCACAGACCTGTTAGTTTTTCTTTAAGAAGCCCTCCTGTTCTCCAGTCATTACCTGTATTAACTGCACCTGTTTGAACTCGTTACCTGTATAAAAGACACCTGTCCACACACTCAATCAAACAGACTCCAACCTCTCCACAATGGCCAAGACCAGAGAGCTGTGTAAGGACATCGGGGATAAAATTGTAGACCTGCACAAGGATGGGATGGGCAACAGGACAATAGGCAAGCAGCTTGGTGAGAAGGCAACAACTGTTGGCGCAATTATTAGAAAATGGAAGAAGTTCAAGATGACGGTCAATCACCCTCGGTCTGGGGCTCCATGCAAGATCTCACCTCGTGGGGCATCAATGATCATGAGGAAGGTGAGGGATCAGCCCAGAACTACACGGCAGGACCTGGTCAATGACCTGAAGAGAGCAGGGACCACAGTCTCAAAGAAAACCATTAGTAACACACTACGCCGTCATGGATTAAAATCCTGCAGCGCACGCAAGGTCCACCTGCTCAAGCCAGCACATGTCCAGGCCCGTCTGAAGTTTTACAATGAACATCTGGATGATCCAAAGGAGGAATGGGAGAAGGTAATGTGGTCTGATGAGACAAAAATAGAGCTTTTTGGTCTAAACTCCACTCGCCGTGTTTGGAGGAAGAAGAAGGATGAGTACAACCCCAAGAACACCATCCCAACCGTGAAGCATGGAGGTGGAAACATCATTCTTTGGGGATGCTTTTCTGCAAAGGGGACAGGATGACTGCACCGTATTGAGGGGAGGATGGATGGGGCCATGTATCGCGAGATCTTGGATGGGTCGTGGCTGGGTCTTCCAGCATGACAACGACCCCAAACACACAGCCAGGGCAACTAAGGAGTGGCTCCATAAGAAGCACCTCAAGGTCCTGGAGTGGCCTAGCCAGTCTCCAGACCTGAACCCAATAGAACATCTTTGGAGGGAGCTGAAAGTCTGTATTGCCCAGCGACAGCCCCGAAACCTGAAGGATCTGGAGAAGGTCTGTATGGAGGAGTGGGCCAAAATCCCTGCTGCAGTGTGTGCAAACCTGGTCAAGACCTACAGGAAACGTATGATCTCTGTAATTGCAAACAAAGGTTTCTGTACCAAATATTAAGTTCTGCTTTTCTGATGTATCAAGTACTTATGTCATGCAATAAAATGCAAATTAATTACTTAAAAATCATACAATGTGATTTTCTGGATTTTTGTTTTAGATTCCGTCTCTCACAGTTGAAGTGTACCTATGATAAAAATTACAGACCTCTACATGCTTTGTAAGTAGGAAAACCTGCAAAATCGGCAGTGTATCAAATACTTGTTCTCCCCACTGTAAGTGTGTGGCTTCTTGTTATCCCCTTTACAGTTAGCCAACACAAACTTTTAGTCTCAATTGCTTGGCCTTTGTACGCTTTGAGAGCAACAGCCTTTTGCATGATTGCTGGTTTGTGCTTTGGCTCATGAAAATATATTATTGATCAGGTTGGCTTTAGCCCCTGTATCCAGGTCAAAATTGTACCATTTGACCACAAGTGGTACAACCCAGTGGTAACTAGCTACAGTATGGACCTGTGATGGCTCTTGCCCGTCCTCCATGCAATCCACAGTACCCACAAACAAATCACTTTGTTCATTCTCCTCCATTTCAATGGTATGAACATTTTGTCTCCCATACTTGTCCTTTGCAAAACACATTTTTCCAAAATGACTTTTCCCCTTGCACTTGTAGCAACATTTTCCAAAGGCAGGGCACTTCCTGACCTGGTGCCTGGTGCCACACCTATTACAATCATATTGCTTGTGACTCCTTTGGTCAAAGTCATATTGCTTGTGGCTCCTTTGCTCATAGCGCCACCTTGTGTCTTTGTGTACAAAATCCACTGCTGTGCTTTCCACCTCCATAGCAGTGTTTGCTGGTGTGGAGCTAAAGGTTTTAATATGCAATTGTGCCAGCTCATTCGCCTGACATATTTTTACTGCAGTGTCCAAATGTAACTTACTTTCCCGCAGCAATCTTTCTCTAACTCTGGAGTCATTTATACCAAACACAATCTGATCTCGAAGCATAGTTGAGGTTAGGTCTACAAAATTACACGTCTGTGCTTTTAATTTCAAATCTGTAAAAAAAATGTAAAAAAATAAGACGTCATATGGTTCATATGTCTCGTTCTTTTTAGGTGAACAATATGCATCAAACTGATCCAGTACCTCCGCAAAATCGTCTTTATCCTCTTCATTTGCAAACATTTGCCTGTGGTCCCTCTATAGTAAGAAAGAGAGCAACTTTACGTTCATATGGCTCCTTTGTAACTCCAATGGCAGACATATACAGCAAAAACCATTGCCAAAATGTTTTCCAATTTGCGTCCACATTCCCATCCAGGCTCAAAGCCTCTGGTGGCTTGATAACATCCATTGCGCTTCCATAAACTCCAACATTCACAGAAAAAACACTATTTCCACTCCTGGTACCATGTATTACTTTGTTGGTTACAGCAAGCAAAGACGACCATCACCATTGTTAACGAGTTTTTAATGTTCTTCCGCCACACATATACCACAGGTGTCGTAAACAATCACTCAGAATCACGTTAATACACCTTCCTTCCTCCCTCTTTCTTCTCTTTTAATAGTCTGTTGTTGGGCACAAAGCATTTATGTATGTGAATGAGTATGAATGTAGCCTGTGTGTGTGTGTGTGTGTCGTCCCCTAGTCGGAGGAGGATCGCAGCGAGACCCAGAGGCTGCTGACCCAGGAGCGAGGTGCCCGAGTTCTGTCAGAGACCCTCCTTAACAATCACCTCCGCAAGCAGCAGGAGATCGAGGAGGAGAACAGGAGGACCATCAGCAAGAGCAACGAGGTAACATACTAACTCCTACCAAAGTTGGGGTCAATTCAAAATAAGTCTATTCAGGAATTGATTTGAATTTAAAATAAAATGACAACACTTTTGAAATAAGTAGCTTCGCCTTTTCGGTTTATTGAGAAGTCATTTTTCAATGATTTAATTGGAATTACAGTTTGCTTCCTGAACTGACTCTTCAATTCAAAGTGACCCCAACCCTGACCTCCCCATTCACTCTTTCTCAATTTACTTAAAATCCATCCTCGCCTCTCCTTAGTGTAGTTGCACTGATCTGAATACAATGACGAGGTGAAAACCAGCCTAATAATGAGCTTCCACCAACTAGTTTTCATCTGTCATTTCTTTTCCAGTCAGTACAGATGAGGCAAGGAAATGAGGAGAGGACATATTTTTTTAAACAAATTTATAAAGACCTTTAGGCTTCACTAAGGCAGTTGTACAACCCTGGCAATACAGATGTTTTGTCTATAAATGGCATCATACATCTACCATACAGAAAAACTTAATCGAGATGTATTATAAAGAGCACTATTCATGCAGTCATCTTTTCATTCTGTTTAAAAACAATTTGCTGAGTAATCCTTGCTGCTGTCAAATGTCAAGTCTGAGTCTATCAGTGGCATCATACATTGAAAGTAGAACCCGACCGATATGGGATTTTTGGGTTTGATACGGTTACCGATTTTAGGGAGGGAAAAGTCACCGATTACTGATATTGTTTTTCAGAAGTGGAATGAAAAACATACCTTTTCTTTACACAAATTGTACTCTAAAGGATGAAAGGCCCAATGCAGCCATTTGTATATCAATATCAAATCATTTCTGGGTAACAGTTAAGTACCTTACTGTAATAGATTTCCATAAAAATGGGCAATAATAGCTTTTTAGAAACAACATTTTTCTCAAGCAAGAATTTTGGATTGTCTGGGAAGTGGTCTGAGTGGGGAGGGGAAAACTAAAAACGAGTATTTGGATCTCTCTTTGGTATTGGTCTATTAACCAATTTACCGCATGGTGATGTCACCATTGAAAGCTTAAACTCACGCCCATGCAGACCTGCTGATTTAGATGGTCCTGTGTAGATTGTATTTTCAACTAGCAACTATCAGGAAATAACACCGATATTTATTTATTTTTTACACTTTTTTAGTGTAATCAACTTTTGTACAATATGACACAATACACAGCAAAACATTTATTTTGACTGCACTGGGCCTTTAACAGATAAATGAGGATTTCTTAACTACATATTAAAATTAACATTATTTAAGAACATTTACATGATAACCACCAAAAAGCAACTATATCCTCTAAATACGAAAGTAAATACAAAACACTTGTTTAGTTTACCTTCTTAGGTACAACTTAAAAATGTGTCCATCTATGGCAGTGGATTAGAAGTATGTAGAAGTGTTTGATGAAACACCACAAGCACACTAATAAACAAGAAGGGGGAGTCTGCTGGCTGAATGAATTAAACTTTGTCTCGAAGTAAATCTGAAACTGCACTGTTCACAATCTGTCTGTATTGCAGTAACATGCAGTTTGTAATGTCACCACTAGTGGCAGTGTCAGCATTTGTATTTAGTAGATTCACTACAATGCTTTACAACAGTCAAAGGTCATGTAAACAAACACTTTATGCAACCTAACCCTAAACGCTAGCTGTTCATTATGACAATGTTTTCTTACTTAAACCATATGTACATGACACTATGTTATTCAATACAAAATTATTTGGCTATATATTTCAACTGCAAATGGCATGAGCTGATGACTGAAAATGTTGATGCAGGCTAATGCTTGCCGCACTGGTTTAAGTCACACACATTCTAATGTAGCTAGTGAGCTAACAATCTTATCTCATCATGAATTCAAGCCTGAATGATAGATCTGCACCAACTGTCTTGCGTTTTGCGGATTGCATATTTCGGAGAACTAACTAAATAAGCCACTAACATAATAGGCCCAGACAGTAAGTGTTATTTTTGTATCAAGGACTTGGGCGCCAGTCGAGTGTTTGCGCATAAGTAGCACAGATTGCTAGCTAAGCTAACTACACTGAACAAAAATATAAACGCAACAATTTCAACGATTTTGCTAAGTTACAGTTCATATAAGGAAAGCAGTCAATTGAAATGAATTCATTAGGCCCTAATCTGTGGATTTCACATTATTGGGAATACAGATACAGTGCATTCTGAAAGTATTCAGACCCCTTCCCTTTTTTCCACATTTTGTTACGTTGCAGCCTTATTCTAAAATGGATTAAATAAATAAAAATTCATCATCAATCTACACACAATACCCCCATAATGACAAAGCGAAAACAGGTTTTTAGAAAGCTTTGCAAAAATGAAGAAATACCTTATTTACATAAGTATTCAGACCCTTTGCTATGAGACTCGAAATTGAGCTCAGGTGCATCCTGTTTCAATTGATCATCCTTGAGATGTTTCTACAACTTGATTTAGAGTCCACCTGTGGTAAATTCAATTGATTGGACATGATTTGGAAAGGAACACACCTGTCTACAGTCGTGGCGAAAAAATTTGAGAATGACACAAATATTAATTTTCACAGTCTGCTGCCTCGTTTTTATGATGTCAATTTGCATATACTCCAGAATGTTATGAAGAGTGATCAGATTAATTGCAATTAATTGCAAAGTCCTTCTTTGCCATGAAAATGAACTTAATCCCCAAAAAACATTTCCACTGCATTTCAGCCCTGCCACAAAAGGACCAGCTGACATCATGTCAGGTGATTCTCTCGTTAACACAGGTGGGAGTGTTGACGAAGACAAGGCTGGAGATCACGATGTCAGACTAGAAGCTTTAAAAGGAGGGTGGTGCTTGAAATCATTGTTCTTCCTGTGTTAACCATGGTTACCTGCAAGGAAACACGTGCCGTCATCATTGCTTTGCGTAAAAAGGGCTTCACAGGCAAGGATATTGCTGCTAGTAAGATTGCACCTAAATCAACCATTTATCAGATCATCAAGAACTTCAAGGAGAGAGGTTCAATTGTTGTGAAGAAGGCTTCAGGGCGCCCAAGAAAGTCCAGCAAGCGCCAGGACCGTCTCCTAAAGTTGATTCAGCTGCGGGATCGGGGCACCAACAGTGCAGAGCTTGCTCAGGAATGGCAGCAGGCAGGTGTGAGTGCATCTGCACGCACAGTGAGGCGAATACTTTTGGAGGATGGCCTGGTGTCAAGAAGGGCAGCGAGGAAGCCACTTCTGTCCAGGAAAAACATCAGGGACAGACTGATATTCTGCAAAAGGTACAGGGATTGGACTGCTGAGGACTGGGGCAAAGTAATTTTCTCTGATGAATCCCCTTTCCGATTGTGTGGGGCATCCGGAAGAAAGCTTGTCCGGAGAAGACAAGGTGAGCGCTACCATTAGTCCTGTGTCATGCCAACAGTAAAGCATCCTGAGACCATTCATGTGTGGGGTTGCTTCTCAGCCAAGGGAGTGGGCTCACTCACAATTTTGCCTAAGAACACAGCCATGAATAAAGAATGGTACCAGCACATCCTCTGAGAGCAACTTCTCCCAACCATCCAAGAACAGTTTGGTGACGAACAATGCCTTTTCCAGCATGATGGAGCACCTTGCCATAAGGCAAAAGTGATAACTAAGTGGCTCGGGGAACAAAACATTGAAATTTTGGGTCCATGGCCAGGAAAATTCCCAGACCTTAATCCCATTGAGAACTTGTGGTTAATCCTCAAGAGGCGGGTGGACAAACAAAAACCTGACAAACTCCAAGCATTGATTATGCAAGAATGGGCTGCCTTCACTCAGGATGTGGCCCAGAAGTTAATTGATAGCATGCCAGGGCGTATTGCAGAGGTCTTGAAAAAGAAGGGTCAACACTGTAAATATTGACTCTTTGCATAAACTTAATGTAATTGTCAATAAAAGCCTTTTTGACACTTATGAAATGCTTGTAATTATACTTCAGTATACCATAGTAACATCTGACAAAAATATCTAAAAACACTGAAGCAGCAAACTTTGTGAAGACCAATATTTTTGACCACGACTGTATATAAGGTCCCACATTTGACAGTGCATGTCAGAGCAAAAACCAAGCCATGAGGTCAAAGGAATTGTCTGTAGAGCTCAGAGACAGGATTGTGTTGAGACACAGATCTGGGGAAGGGTATCAAAACGTTTCTGCAGCAGGGCCTCCTGAGTGGCGCAGTAGTCTAAAGCACTGCATCGCAGTGCTAGCTGTGCCACTAGAGATCCTGGGTCGATTCCAGGCTCTGTTGCAGCCGGCCGCGACCGGGAGACCCATGGGGCGGTGCACAATTGGCCCAGTGCCGTCCAGGGTAGGGGAGGGTTTGGCCGGCAGGGATGTTCTTGTCCCATCGCGCACTAGCGACTCCTGTGCCGGGCAAGGGCGCAGTGCACGCTGACTCGGTCGCCAGGTGTACAGTGTTTCCTCCGGCACATTGGTGCAGCTGTGTTAAGCGGGCACTGTGTCAAGAAGCAGCTTGGTTGGGTTGTGTTTAGGAGGAAGCACGACTCGACCTTCTCCTCTCCCGTGTCCGTACGGGAGTTGCAGCGATAGGACAAAACTGTAACTACCAATTGGATACCACAAAATTGACGGTAAAAAAAAGTATTCTTGGGTATGACGCTACATGCTTGACACACCTGTACTTGGGGAGTTCTCCAATTCTTCTATGCAGATCCTCTCATGCTCTGTCAGGTTGTATGGGGAGCGTCGCAGCACAGCTATTTTCAGGTCTCTCGGGTTCTGGTCCGGGTTCTGGCTGGGCCACCTAAGGACATTCAGAGACTTCTCCGGAAGTCACTCCTGAATTGTCTTGGCTGTGTGTGCTTAGGGTCGTTGTCCTGTTGAAAGGTGGAGCTTAGCCTCAGTCACAGGTCCTGAGCGCTCTGGAGCAGGTTTTCATCAAGGATCTCTCTGCACTTTGCTCCGTTCATCTTTCCCTCATTCCTGACTAGTCTCCCAGTCCCTGCTGCTGAAAAACATCCCCACAGCATAATGCTGCCACCACCATGCTTCACCGTAGGGATGGTGCCAGGTTTCCTCCATACATATGACACTTGGCATTCAGGCCAAATAATTCAATGTTGATTTCATCAGACCAGATAATCTTGTTTCTCATGGTCAGAGAGTCCTTTTGGTGTCTTTTGCAAACTCCAAGCGAGCTGTCATGCCTTTTGCTGAAGAGTGGCTTCAGTCTGGCCACTCTACCATAAAGGTCTGATTGGTGGAGTGCTGCAGAGATGGTTGTCCTTCTGGAAGGTTCTCGAATCTCCACAGAGGACCTCTGTTAAGATTGACCATCAGGTTCCTGGTCACTTCCCTGACCAAGGCCCTTCTCCCCCGATTGCTCCGTTTAGCCGGGCGGCCAGCTCTAGGAAGAGTATTGGTTGTTCCAAACTCCTTCCATTTAAGAAATGGAGGCTACTGTGTTCTTGGGGACCTTGTTCCAAGATGGCGTAGCAGTGCGGTCGTTTACTCTGTGTCCGTGTAACTAGCCTGTTAATTCTTTAATTTTTTTGTCTTTTTCGTATATATTTTCCCTATAACACTTTTCATCCTTCTACTAAATATACTTTCCTGCAACACGCCTCACTCAATGTGGAACGGATTCTATTATTGACTTACCTTTTATTTAGAATCTCCAGTTGAATCTAGCTAGCCAGCTAACTAGCTACTTGCTATTAGCCACCGTTAGTGGTTTTCACCCAGATCATCGGATTTTCTGCCAGAATAACTGAATCACTGGACCTTAACACCGGATCGCAACCAACTCGAACCTTCAGCTCCCTCCACAGATTTTCTATGGAATTAAGGTCTGGAGACTGGCTAGGCCACTCCAGGACTTTAATGTGCTTCTTCTTGAGCCACTACTTTGTTGCCTTGGCCGTGTGTTTTGGGTCATTGTCATGCAGGAATACCCTTCCACGACCCATTTTCAATGCCCTGGCTGAGGGAAGGAGGTTCTCACCCAAGATTTGACGGTACATGGCCCCGTCCCTCGTCCCTTTGATGCAGTGAAGTTGTCCTGTTCCCTTAGCATAAAAACACCCCCAAAGCATAATGTTTCCATTTCCATGTTTGACGGTGGGGATGGTGTTCTTGGGGTCATAGGCAGCATTCCTCCTCCTCCAAACACGGCGAGTTGAGTTGATGCCAAAGAGCTCCATTTTGGTCTCATCTGACCACAACAATTTCACCCAGTTCTCCTCTGAATCATTCAGATGTTCATTGGCAAACTTCAGACGGGCCTGTAAATGTGCTTTCATGAGCAGGGGGAGCTTGCGGGCGCTGCAGGATTTCAGTCCTTCACGGCGTAGTGTGTTACCAATTGTTTTATTGGTGACTATGGTCCCAGCTGCCTTGAGATCATTGACAATATCTTCCTGTGTAGTTCTGGGCTGATTCCTCACCGTTCTCAGGATCATTGCAACTCCACGAGGTGAAATCTTGCATGGAGCCCCAGGCCGAGGGAGTTGACAGTTCTTTTCTGTTTCTTCCATTTGCGAATAATGGCACCAACTGTTGTCACCTACTCACCAAGCTGCTTGGCGATGGTCTTGTTGCCCATTCCAGCCTTGTGTAGGTCTACAATCTTGTACCTGACATACTTGGAGTGCTCTTTGGTCTTGGCCATGGTGGAGTTTGAAATCTGATTGATTGAGAGGGGGTCAAATACTTATTTCCCTCATTAAAATGCAAATCAATTTATAACATTTTTGACGTGTTTTTCTGGATTTTGTTGTTACTCTGTCTCTCACTGTTCAAATAAACCTACCATTAACATTATAGACTGATCATTTCTTTGTCAGTGGGCAAACGTACAAAATCAGCAGGGGATCAAATACTTTTTTCCCTCACTGTACCTCTCTGTCTAACGGACGGGAGTAGCCAACTAACTAGCTACTTGCTATTAGTCACCGTTAGTGGTTTTATCACCATTGTCCATGGCCTGCACTACCTACCAGCCAGCTCTAGCCTGGACTATTATCGGCCAGTCTGCACAGCGCGTTATCGACCCAGAACATATCGGATTTTCTGCCGGAATCACTGAATCAATGGACCTTTAACTCCGGATCATCGCAACTAGCTAGCTGCAACCGAATGGATGTTGTGGTTGGCTAACCTTGAGCTAGCCTTGAGTCAGGCCCATCTCCCGGCTATCTACCTCTCTGTCAACCGGACGGGACCTCCTAGTGTCGACACGGAGCCCCGCCGATCCATCACGACTGGTCTGCCGACGTAATCGTCTGTGGTTTCAACAGGCTTCCCGTTGCGACGACCACGAAGATCCATCTGCTTGCCCCGGCCCGCTAGCACACGCAATTCAACAGCCATGCTTCCTGCTCGCCTGTGCTGTAGCACCAATTCGAACTGCTCTCGGACTCACGTATTGCTGTTCACTGGACCTTATGATCGTTCAGCTGCAGAGCTGATGCCTGCTGGACTGTTCCTTTACACGGAATTGATTGCCCCCCATCTATCCTCAGAGTTCATACTGCTTGGTGACTGGGATATGCTTAACACACCGGCCATCCTACAATCCAAACTAGATGCCCTCAATCTCACACAAATTATCAACGAACCTACCAGGTACAACCCTAAATCCGTAAACATGGGCACCCTCATAGATATCATCCTGACTAACTTCCCCTCTAAATACACCTCCGCTGTCTTCAACCAGGATCTCAGCGATCACTGCCTTATTGCTTGCGTCCGTAACGGGTCCGCGGTCAAACGACCACCCCTCATCACTGTCAAACGCTCCCTAAAACACTTTAGCGAGCAGGCCTTCCTAATTGACCTGGCCCAGGTATCCTGGATGGATATCGATCTCATTCCATCAGTAGAGGATGCCTGGTTGTTCTTTAAAAGTGCTTTCCTCTCAATCTTAAATAAGCATGCCCATTAAAAAAATTCAGAACTAAGAACAGATATAGCCCCTGGTTCTCCTCAGACTTGACTGCCCTTGACCAGCACAAAAACATCCTGTGGCGTACTGCATTAGCATCGAATAGCCCCCGCGATATGCAACTTTTCAGGGAAGTTAGGAACCAATATACACAAGCAGTTAGGAAAGCAAAGGCTAGCTTTTTCAAACAGAAATTTGCATCCTGTAGCACTAACTCCAAAAAGTTTTGGGACACTGTAAAGTCCATGGAGAATAAGAGCACCTCCTCCCAGCTGCCCACTGCACTGAGGCTAGGAAACACTATCACCATCGATAAATCTACAATAATCGAGAATTTCAACAAGCATTTTGCTACGGCTGGCCATGCTTTCCACCTGGCTACCACTACCCCGGCCACCAGCTCTGCACCCTCCGCTATACAACTTGCCCATGCCCCCCCCCCCACCCCCACCCCCGCTTCTCCTTCACACATATTCAGACAGCTGATGTTCTGAAAGAGCTGCAAAATCTGGACCGATACAAATCATCTGGGCTAGACAATCTGGACCCTTTCTTTCTAAAATTAGCAGCCGAAATTGTCGCAACCCCTATTACTAGCCTGTTCAACCTCTCTTTTGTAACGTCTGAGATCCCCAGAGATTGGAAAGCTGCCACGGTCATCCCCCTCTTCAAAGGGGGTGAAACTCTAGATCCAAACTGTTACAGACCTATATCCATCCTGCCCTGCCTTTCGAAAGGTTTTGAAAGCCAAGTTAACAAACAATCACCGACCATTTTGAATCCCACCGTACCTTCGCCGCTATGCAATCCAGTTTCCGAGCTGGTCATGGTGCACCTCAGCCACGCTCAAGGTCCTAAACGATATTATAACCGCAATCGATAATAGACAGTACTGTGCAGCTGTCTTCATCGACCTGGCCAAGGCTTTCGACTCTGTCAACCACCGCATTCTTATTGGCAGACTAAATAGCCTTGGTTTCTCAAATGACTGCCTCGCCTGGTTCACCAACTACTTCTCCGATGGAGTTCAATGTGTCAAATCAGAGGGCCTGTTGTTTGGACCTATGGCAGTCTCTACGGGGGTGCCACAGCGTTCAATTCTCGGGCCGACTCTTTTCTCTGTGTATATCAATGATGTCGCTCTTGCTGCTGGGGACTCTCAGATCCACCTCTATGCAGACGACACCATTTTATATACATCTGGCCCTTCATTGGACACTGTGTTAACAAACCTCCAAATGAGCTTCAATACCATACAACACTCCTTCCGTAGCCTCCAACTGCTCTTAAACACTAGTAAAACTAATTGCATGCTTCTCATTCGAACGCTGCTGGCACCCGCCCACCCGACTAGAATCACTACTCTCGGCGGGTCTGACCTAGAGTATGTGGACAACTACAAATACCTAGGTGTCTGGTTAGACTGTAAACTATCCTTACAGACTCACATTAAGCATCTCCAATCCAAAGTTAAATCTAGAATCGGCTTCCTATTTCGCAACAAAGCCTCCTTCACTCATGCTGCCAAACATGCCCTCGTAAAACTGACTATCCTACCGATCCTTGACTTCGGCGATGTCATTTACAAAATAGGCTCCAACACTCAGCAAATTGGATGTAGTCTATCACAGTGCCATCCGTTTTGTCACCAAAGCCCCATATACTACCCACCATTGTGACCTGTACGATCTCGTTGGCTGGCCCTCACTACATATTTGTCGCCAAACCCACTGGCTCCAGGTCATCTATAAATCACTTCTAGGCAAATCCCTGCCTTATCTTAGTTCATTGGTCACCATAGCAACACCCACCCGTAGTATGCGCTCCAGCAGGTATATCTCACTGGTCATCCCCAAAGCCAACACCTCCTTTGGCCGCCATTCCTCCCAGTTCTCTGCTGCCAATGACTGGAACGAACTGCAAAAATCTCTGAAGCTGGAGACTTATCTCCCTCACTAACTTTAAGCATCAGTTGTCAGAGCACCTTACCGATCACTGCACCTGTACACAGCCCATCTGAAATTAGCCCACCGAACTACCTCATCCCCATATTGTTATTTATTTTGCTCATTTGCACCCCTGTATCTCTATTTGCACATAATCTCTTGCACATCTATCATTCCAGTGTTAATACTAAATTGTAATTATTTTGCACTATGGCCTATTTATTGCCTTACCTCCATAACTTGCTAAATTTGCACACACTGTATATATATTTGCTGTTGTATTTTTGACTTTATTTTGTTTACCCCATACAGTGAGGGAAAAAAGTATTTGATCCCCTGCTGATTTTGTACGTTTGCCCACTGACAAAAGAAATGATCAGTCAATAATTTTAATGGTAGGTTTATTTGAACAGTGAGAGACAGAATAACAACAACAACATCCAGAAATACGCATGTCAAAAATGTTATAAATTGATTTGCATTTTAATGAGGGAAATAAGTATTTGACCCCCTCTCAATCAGAAAGATTTCTGGCTCCCAGGTGTCTTTTATACAGGTAACGAGCTGAGATTAGGAGCACACTCTTAATGGGAGTGCTCCTAATCTCAGTTTGTTACCTGTATAAAAGACACCTGTCCACAGAAGCAATCAATCAATCAAATTCCAAAATCTCCACCATGGCCAAGACCAAAGAGCTCTCCAAGGATGTCAGGGACAAGATTGTAGACCTGTAGATGCCGTGAAGGACTGAAATCCTGCAGCGCCCGCAAGGTCCCCCTGCTCAAGAAAGCACATATACATGCCCGTCTGAAGTTTGCCAATGAACATCAGAATGATTCAGAGGAGAACTGGGTGAAAGTGTTGTGGTCAGATGAGACCAAAATGGAGCTCTTTGGCATCAACTCAACTCGCCGTGTTTGGAGGAGGAGGAATGCTGCCTATGACCCCAAGAACACCATCCCCACCGTCAAACATGGAGGTGGAAACATTATGCTTTGGGGGTGTTTTTCTGCTAAGGGGACAGGATAACTTCACCGCATCAAAGGGACGATGGACGGGGCCATGTACCGTCAAATCTTGGGTGAGAACCTCCTTCCCTCAGCCAGGGCATTGAAAATGGGTCGTGGATGGGTATTCCAGCATGACAATGACCCAAAACACACGGCCAAGGCAACAAAGGAGTGGCTCAAATTAGAAGCACATTAAGGTCCTGGAATGGCCTAGCCAGTCTCCAGACCTTAATCCCATAGAAAATCTGTGGAGGAAGCTGAAGGTTCGAGTTGCCAAACGTCAGCCTCGAAACCTTAATGACTTGGAGAAGATCTGCAAAGAGGAGAGGGACAAAATTCCTCCTGAGATGTGTGCCAACCTGGTGGCCAACTACAAGAAACGTCTGACCTCTGTGATTGCCAACAAGGGTTTTGCCACCAATTATTAAGTCATGTTTTGCAGAGGGGTCAAATACTTATTTCCCTCATTAAAATGCAAATCAATTTATAACATTTTTGACATGCGTTTTTCTGGATTTTTGTTTTGTTATTCTGTCTCTCACTGTTCAAATAAACCTACCATTAAAATTATAGACTGATCATGTCTTTGTCAGTGGGCAAACGTAGAATATCAGCAGGGGATCAAATACTTTTTTCCCTCACTGTATCTGAATTCTGCCAACTTTATGTATGTTCGCCATTGAAAGTGAAGCTGAGTGTGCTAAGTGTGACCTCTGCTGCTGTTCTCACTTGTCAGGCCCTGTCCCAGTTGACGGAGGCCACCGACCGAGAGAGGGAGCTGCTGCAGCAGAGCTCTGTGCTCCAGGACGAGCTGAGCTCCCTGAGAGCTGAGTTGGAGCGCTCCCGCTTCCACAGTCGCCAGGAGGAGTCCCTCCTTTCCAAGGAGAGCGAGGCGTTGAGGGAGCGCCTAGAGGACGCCCGGCACAACCTCAAACTCAACGAGGAGGCGCTGGCCCAGACGGTCTACCAGTACACCAGCCAGCTGACCACCGTCAAGGCCGAGCTGGCTGTGGCTTCCACAAGGCTGGAGCACGAGCGCCAGGCGAGGGAGCAGCTGGAAGCCGAAGGTGAGTCGGCGAGGACGCGACTGACCGGCGCTCTACAGGAGGCAGAGAGATGCCAGGCGGCACGCGCCGACGCCGAAAGGGCTCTTCATCGCGAGCGCGAGGGGCACCAGCGCGCCCAGGACAAGCTTACGGGCGTGGCGGCGAACAAACGCGAGGCGGTGGGCGGACTATCGCAGAAACTCGCCAAGGCAGAGTCACGTGCAAACGGCCTCGAAAATGAGGTGCACCGCGTCACAATGTCGCTTGCTGAGATGGAGCATGTGGTCGCCACGCTGCAGAGGGACAGGGAGCAAACTGGGGGGCGGGTGAAGGAGCTTGAGGCAGCTCTACAGGCGGAGAGGGACCAGGCTGGGAGAGTGTGCGCCCGGCAGGAGGCGCTGCAGGAGAGGCTGGCGGCGGCACAGAGCGAGGCCATGCTGCTGAGGCAACAGTTGGAGGAGGCCCAGAACAAAGGTGAAATTGCAGGCTTTTTAACTAACGTATTTTAGCTGTATCCAAATGTGGACCGGGCCCATGAGCGTCCTTTAGGAGTGGCAAGCAAGTGCAGTCGCCATCCCCTAGCTTAAGACCAACAATTTTGAATAGACTTCATAAATTATTCCAGTAGTTCATTATTGAAAAACTCCCTGATCTTTCTTGCCTGCCTCAGCCTGTGTCTTGATTTGTCACGGGTGGGAGACAGAGGTCCAGACATCATTCTGCCAACCCCTAGCTTTAGCTGACATGACACCACTGACTGGGTAGAATGTGTTGATATTTAATGTGTTGATATTGTATTGTACAGTTCCCTTGCTTTTGAATGCATATTATCCAGGTGGTCCTATAATGAAGTTATGTACCTGCACTTTGCATCAGTACTGGTTACTTTATATGAGCTGAGATCCCCAATGATTTTCTAATGCATTGATCCTGTACAGTCCCCTTGTTCTTCTAGCTTATCCTATTGAATCTATTGGCTACATCATGTATTGTACTCGTTTCATCAGCCATCAGTGCTACGTTTTCTGACGCTAAGTGCCTTCAGAAAGTATTCACACCCCTAGACTTTTTCCACATTTTGTTGTTACAGCCTGAATTTAAAATGGATTAAATTGTGTCACTGGCCTACACACAATACCCATAATGTCAAAGTGGAATTATATTCTTCAAAATGTTTACAAATTAATTACAAATGAAAAACTGAAATGTTGTGAGTCAATAAGTATTCAACCCCTTTGTTATGGCAAGCCTAAATAACTTTGGGAGTAAAAATTTGCTTAACAAGTCACATAGTAAATTGCATGGATTTTAACAACATCATTATTGAATGACTACCTCATCTCTGTGCACCACACATACAATTATCTATAAGGTCCCTCAGTGGAGCAGTGCATTTCAAACACAGATTCAACCACAAAGACCAAGGAGGTTTTTGCAATGCCTCACAAAGAAGGGCACCTAGTGTTAAATAGGTACATATAAAAAAAGCAGACATTGACTATCCCTTTGAGCATGGTAAAGTTATTAATTGCACTTTGGATGGTGTAAAAAGCAGACGTTGACTTTCCCTTTGAGCATGGTAAAGTTATTAATTGCACTTTGGATGGTGTATCAATACACCCAGTCATTACAAAGATACAGGCGTCCTTCCTAACTCAGTTGCCAGAGAGGAAGGAAACCGCTCATGGAGTTCACCATGAGGCCAATGGTGACTTTAAAACAGTTATAGAGTTTAATGGCTGTGATAGGAGAAAACTGAGTATGCATCAACAACATTGTAGTTACTCCACAATACCAACCTAATTGACAGAGTGAAAAGAAGGAAGCCTGTACAGAATACAAATATTCCAAAACATGCATCCTGTTTGCAACAATGCACTAAAGTCCTTTCAGCAGGACAATAACCTAAAACACAAGGCCAAATCTACACTGGAGTTGCTTACCAAGAAGACAGTGAATGTTCCTGAGTGGCTGAGTTACAGTTTTGACTTAAATCTACTTGAAAAATCTATGGCAAGACCTGAAAATGGTTGTCTAGCAATGATCCATTTTGAAAAGAATAATGGGCAAATTTTGCCTAATCCAGGTTTGGAAAGCTCTTAAAGACTTACCCAGAAAGACTCAGATGTAACCGCTGCCAAAGGTGCTTCTACAAAGTGTTGACTCAGGGGTGAGAATATTTTCGTAAAATAGATATTTCAGTATTTTATTTTCAATAAATTTGAAAAGATTTCTAAAAAAAATTCACTTTGTCATTATCGGGATGGATGAGAAATAAATCATAATAAATCCTATCATAGTAAATGGGTATGAATACTTTCTGAAGGCTCTATTGTTTTGGCTGCTGTATGTTGACTATGCTGGTGACACATTCAAGTTCCCATTTGGGGATTTACAATAATAATAATAATAATTTGATTTATATTAGCGCTTTTCCACCTAGGTGCTCAAAATGATTTACATAGTAAGGGGGAAACTCACCTCATCCACCACCAATATGTGGCACCCACTTGGATGATGCACGGCAACCATTTGTGCCAGAACACTCACCACACACAGCTAGCATGGTGGAGAGTTGAGGAAAGATATATGCCAATTAGGAATGAGGGGGGTGATTAGGTGGCCATGATAAAAATGAGGCCATGTTGGGTTGGGAATTTAGCCAGGGCACCAGTGTTAACACCCCTACTCTTACGATGAGTGCCATGGGATTAATAAAGTTTATTCAATTCAAAGGGATGGTGAAGGAGAAGGCGGTGACGGACGCCCAGGAGCGCTTTGGCGACATGCTGGCTAAGCTGCGCTCGGACGGTGAGGAGCATGTGCAGCTGGTAGAGGAGAGGAGCAAGGAGCTGGCCACCAAGGCCGCCGACCTCCGCGACCAGGTCTACAAGCTGGAGGAGGAGAAGAACGACAGAGAGGTGTGATATAGGGGTAGGGGTGGGGAGCATTCAGCAAGGCACAACATTGTGGAATGGTTTAAATTATAATGTAGAACAAAGGCTCTTTCTCAGTTAATCTTTCCTGGGTCTTCGCATCCTCTCTCCTCACATTAAAAAGGTACTGGAGAAGAAGAATGGGTGAGACCTTAGACATTCCTCCTACAATACGGTTGAGAAGGATGCAAGGAGATGGGATTCAAGGAATCACAGAAAGATGCTTTGAGGTAGAGCCCTAAAAAATGCATCCTTTCTTCCTTCATTGAAGTAATCACTGATTAGACATTAGATTTGGTGAACGCAAGGCCTCCAACACATGGATTTCACCTGTCCAGTCATTTCTAATCAGTGGTTACTTAAAGAAAGGGAGGAAGGATGCAATTTGAAAGAATTTGAACAGGGCCCAGGATAGAGAACAGGGTGGCATTCAGCAGGGCACTACGCTGTGGAACGTACAGATACATATTTAATGTAGAACAAACATGCCTCATATAGAATAAGGAATCACGTCACCTCTATAACAGCCACTACAAACAGAAGCTAACTTTAGCCACTGATAGCTGCAAGTCAAAGAGCACCTTCAACCTACGCTTCTCATGATGTGCTAGTGTAGCCTTGTGGCGCTTCCCATCCTCCCTTTTTCTACTACGTAAGAGGATTAGCTTGTCTTAATCACCCCCCGCGCGCTCTCTCTACCAGCCTGGAAAAGTTCAGTCTCTCTCTGTTTAAAATAAAAACGTTGTCTCGCTCAACTTTTCCATGGCCCACAGACCGGTTTAAGGCAGCTGCAGCAAGAACTCGCCGACTCGCTGAAGAAGCTGTCGATGAGCGAGGCTTCCCTGGAGGTGAATACACGCTACCGCAATGACCTGGAGGAGGAGAAGGCGCGACTGCTCAAGGACATGGACCGCCTTAAGGGGAAGGTGGGTGGAGTCGGGTGAAATTGCCCCAAGACTCTGATCTGGGATCAGTTTAGCATTTACCCTGCAAAAGGTTCAGGTTAGGATCAGGGGATGGGAAGATTATCCTAGATCAGGGGAAATGTCACCCTGGTGAAGGAATGTTGGAAGCATTATAGAAGTAGACTTATTAGAACGGACATCCCCATTCAAGTTTAATGATAGGTGGAATTCTAGTAATTATATTTCTAAAGGAGCCATATTGGTAGGAGTAGGACAGCGCCTCCCTGTGGCAGTTTATGGTATCTACAGTCTCTCCAAGGTAGACTGGCTTTTGGTGGATACTGTGGCATCAATCAAGCTGCTTAACCGGTCTTAGATTAGACAGCTCACTAGTGAAGTTGGATTTTTTGTGTACGGCTGACTACTGACAGGGTTAGGGTTACGGTAAGAACTATGGTTCAATGTATAGGTTAACAGATGGTCACAGTGACGCTAGTGACCTGAGATTGACCTGCTGGAAGACGGCCGTATGACCGCTTGACCTCGGGCCTGTTCAGGAGGGTGCGACGTTACAGAATGTTCATATAGAAAAGTATTGTATAGAATAGAAAATCATGCTATCTCTATTTGTTTCATTTATATCTGAATGTTCAGATATAAATATATTGTGCAGAACAAATGTGATTGTCAAGTAGAATAGGGAATCATGTTAGCTCTGTATTACATTTCTATCTGTGAACTTGCTACCTCACAGCTGGAGGAGAGCGAGGACCAGTACGTTCAGGCGGAGCGGCGTATCAAAGCTCTGAAGAGCAGTCTGGATGAGAAGGAGCGAGAGGTGGTCGCCACCTCTCAGAAACTGCAGGAGGTGCTGTCTGCCTTCGCAGGCTCAGACACCACCATTAAACAGCTGGAGGAGGCTGTGCAGAGGTACACACGTGCATGCACACGCACACACAAAAGCATGCAGGAACACAGGCACGCTTGTACTTACACACACAGGCAAACAGAAAAGTACTCTCACACACACTCATAAAAGCGCGCACACACACACACTGTCAGTCACCAATTTAAGGTTGTATGAAATTGAATCTGTCCTTTTTTTGGGGGGGGCAACATTAGACTGTTATAAAACTGTTTCTGAATATGACTATACAGTGGGGGGGAAAAGTATTTAGTCAGCCACCAATTGTGCAAGTTCTCCCACTTAAAAAGATGAGAGAGGCCTGTAATTTTCATCATAGGTACACGTCAACTATGACAGACAAATTGAGAAATGTTTTTCCAGAAAATCACATTGTAGGATTTTTTATGAATGTATTTGCAAATTATGGTGGAAAATAAGTATTTGGTCACCTACAAACAAGCAAGATTTCTGGCTCTCACAGACCTGTAACTTCTTCTTTAAGAGGCTCCTCTGTCCTCCACTCGTTACCTGTATTAATGGCACCTGTTTGAATTTAAAGGACACCAGTAACAAAATTGTAGACCTGCACCAGGCTGGGAAGACTGAATCTGCAATAGGTAAGCAGCTTGGTTTGAAGAAATCAACTGTGGGAGCAATTATTAGGAAATGGAAGACATACAAGACCACTGATAATCTCCCTCGATCTGGGGCTCCACGCAAGATCTCACCCCGTGGGGTCAAAATGATCACAAGAACGGTGAGCAAAAATCCCAGAACCACACGGGGGGACCTAGTGAATGACCTGCAGAGAGCTGGGACCAAAGTAACAAAGCCTACCATCAGTAACACACTACGCCGCCAGGGACTCAAATCCTGCAGTGCCAGACGTGTCCCCCTGCTTAAGCCAGTACATGTCCTTGCCCGTCTGAAGTTTGCTAGAGTGCATTTGGATGATCCAGAAGAGGATTGGGAGAATGTCATATGGTCAGATGAAACCAAAATATAACTTTTTGGTAAAAACTCAACTCGTCGTGTTTGGAGGACAAAGAATGCTGAGTTGCATCCAAAGAACACCATACCTACTGTGAAGCATGGGGGTGGAAATATCATGCTTTGGGGCTGTTTTTCTGAAAAGGGACCAGGACGACTGATCCGTGTAAAGGAAAGAATGAATGGGGCCATGTATCGTGAGATTTTGAGTGAAAACCTCCTTCCATCAGCAAGGGGATTGAAGATGAAACGTGGCTGGGTCTTTCAGCATGACAATGATCCCAAACACACCGCCCGGGCAACGAAGGAGTGGCTTCGTAAGAAGCATTTCAAGGTCCTGGAGTGGCCTAGCCAGTCTCCAGATCTCAACCCCATAGAACATCTTTGGAGGGAGTTGAAAGTCCGTGTTGCCCAGCGACAGCCCCAAAACATCACTGCTCTAGAGGAGATCTGCATGGAGGAATGGGCCAAAATACCAGCAACAGTGTGTGAAAACCTTGTGAAGACTTACAGAAAACGTTTGACCTGTGTCATTGCCAACAAAGGGTATATAACAAAGTATTGAGAAACTTTTGTTATTGACCAAATACTTATTTTCCACCATAATTTGCAAATAAATTCATTAAAAATCCTACAGTGTGATTTTCTGGATAATTTTTTCTCATTTTGTTTGTCATAGTTGACGTGTACATATGATGAAAATTACAGGCCTCTCATCTTTTTAAGTGGGAGAACTTGCACAATTGGTGGCTGACTAAATACTTTTTTCCCCACTGTAACTATAGGAATGTGAACTTTGTGACTGTAGTATTAATGTTGTGTGACTGCAGATTGGAGATTGAGAATGCCAGGCTGGAGGCAGCAGCAAAGCAGCAGACCAACAGGATCGAGGCACTGCAGAAAGGAGTCCAAGACTCTGCCATGGTGAGTCTAGTCAGTCTGCATCCTAACTTATTCATCCCCCAGTCAGTTTTCCATATTGTCTTTGGTTCCCATGCATAGGGCTGGGAAAAAGCACCATGTTTAGATATAAGGTGCCATGTTAAAGGGATATTTCAGATAATTTATGTATTCATATTGTTTCCTTACCTTGAAAGTAGTCTATGTACAAGGGGAGACTGCTTTTCAAGGTAAAGAAACATTGAGTAACTTTGCAGAACTATACTTTAGTGCTGATTTAATCTTTATAAGCCCAGGCCGTCTTTTTGTGGTCTTACAAATGCGATGTCATGAAATGATAATTTACTGTAGACGAGTTACTGTTATACAGGGGATATTAGGGTAAATTATTTGTAATTAAATTAATATTGACTTTAAAGGTATTCAATCTCTTCACAGCCATCTGACTCTGCAGCAGAAGGAGGGGTTGGTATTTCAGACATAGTAGCTGTATATGTTTCTTTGCGTTTGATTCTCCTCTCTGGTCTGAAGAAAGTTCCCCTCAAATGGACGAATAAATTAATGATCAAGACTCCCTACACTTTAGCCACTGCTTTTAAATTTGATAGTCCTTTTGGGCACAATATTTCTACGCCAGAAATTCAAAGACATTGCATGAATGAGTTGTTTTCATAACTGTCTGAGTTTCCTTCTGGTTGTGTTGTTTTTGATTGGTGGTGGTCTCTCTGCAAGTCGGAGATCTTTCGATCTCTTTCTATCTCCCTATTCCAGTATATCATCTTGGTGTGTGGTTTGGGACCCATTTTTTGTTTCTATCTAGAGCTGCATGGTGTTAAATCCTTTAGATTGAAGAGTTTTTTTTTTCCTTGTGTGTTTTCGGGATTGATTCTTCCTCGGGGACAATAAAGTTGATCCTATCCTATTAGAATGAGTAGCCACATCACTTATCCACTCGTTGCATCACTTTCTTCTACTCTTCAACTCTCAGGTCAGGAACCGTCTGGAGGACTTGGTGACTGGCCTGCAGTGCAGCAAGATGACCCTGGAGGACCAGCTCAGTCAGGAGGTTGGTTGATTACTTTAATACTTGCTCGGTTTACATTTGTATTGTATCACCATCGTCTAAAGAGGCTTCCACATACCTCGCCGTTATTTGCACTGATATGTCAACGCTGCAAAAATATTAACTCAATATGTCAGGTGCCCCACAATATATCTTTACGAGTTCAGCTTTACGAATTCAGAGACGGGAAGAGGGAGAGTTTTAGTTTTTAGTCATTAGATGGACCACTAACATTTGGCTCTACATTAGTAACGTAACCCTACCCCTCTACCCTCAGGTGCAGAAGCAAAGCATGCTGTCCCATAACGCCCAGGACTCCCATGCGCTGTGGGAGGAGGAGCTGAAGAGCCGGTCCAAGCTGGGTCTGCGCCTGGCCGAGCTGGAGAAGGAGAAAGGAGAGCTCAGCAGCCAGGTGACCAATCAAGACGACCACTGGCACACACACACACGCATAGCTGGCCATTATCACCTCAACTGTGAACATAAAAAGCACTGCCTTAAACTAAGGCCCTGTTCAGAAACAATCCCCAGCTTCTATCCCCTTGGCACTTAATGCAGATCTAAATTGGAGTTATAGTGAATGTTTTATGTCTTCTCTAACGTCACAATACTAAGGTCTTAATTCAACAGGCCATATAGACAAAGAGCCTCAGATAAAGGGATCTACCATAGGGATTCACCTATACACATTCGTCCCCGGTTCAAATGTTTAAGATATGAGTGAATTGGTCTGTGAGACCCAAAACCGATCCAAATGTAGCATGCATCGGTCAGAAACTTGATTCAAACATTATGAATCGCCGGTTCACTAAAATGTTTTGCTCAAATTACAATCCAAAAATACATTATCTTTTGCGACAACTGCATCATCTCCTTCAGTGTCGAACTAATCATGTAATTGTGTTGACAGTCATTGATCTACAAGTCATTTTGCATGTCGAACAACCGCAGCAAAGCTGACCAACAAGCGGTTATTCCTGATCTTGCATATCTGTGCGTCCCCTTCAGCATTCAAATGTTTGTAAAATTGCTTGTGCAATATTAGGCTTTATTAGTTTAGTGACAACCAATGTGATTTGCCAGGTAATTTTTTTATCAAATGCCAGTGGAGACAACTCTCATGTGGCTATAGCCTATATGCTGATCGGGGGTCGCTTACATTAGATTGCATTTCTATTGTTCAGGTTTACCATCAGCAATAGCTTTGCTAGAAAAAAATCTATATATATGGTCAATTTTAGATATAAAGGGTAAAGTTAATAATTGTATAACGAGGACAGCAATCAGTTTTGCTACCCGCACTGCATGGTCGAAGCGGGGGAAGAAGAGAAGCTCACTCAGTTTGTCAAAACTTCCAAAAGGTCTAAACCACGCATGGGCAACTTACACAAGGTGCAATTTTGAAATTTGGTTGTGCATCAGCAGTCACTGAATTAGCCAGCAATTTTTTTTTGAGATTGGTAAATTAGCATGGTCGAATTACTGACTGGGGTGGGGCTCATTTGATCATCAGTTATTATATTAAAAACTGCAAACATTTGCCTCCACCGTATGGCAAAATTTGTAGAATTGCAGGAAATTCGCTGTAAAACTGCACATTTTTCTCTCCAACGCTTGGCAAAATGAGTAGAAAAGCATGAAATTAGAAATTTGCGAACCACTGCATCCCCTCATGATGAGTATCGGTTTTTTTTGTGGCCCCCACCTCCATCAAAGTTGTGCTATATATTCATTGTTTAAGATAAATATTGATGCATTACTAGCTCTAACACTTAATCTGCAAAAATGACAATTTGATTAGTGGGTGATTGTGATTTCAGATCAAAAGTGGGGGGGGGACAAAAAGCAAACATTGCCCCCCTAACTGATAGTGGGTTGGTAGATGCCCAGTTTCCCTTATGGCTCAGCTCCGGTGCCTACATACGCCATAGACATATACATAATTTACACTATCGGTGTGAATGTTTAAACGTTAAAACATTTAAACGAAATTGGGATCCTTAAAGTTAAGAAAAATCCATAACCCCCACAAAATGTAAATCCGTGCAGCTGGCTCGCATGCTCTCTCTGCGCTAAGGATACGAGTCTGTGTTCAGCCTTTCGGTCTGTTGCGTGTATAATATCCTAGCCTATTCATTGATGATAGGCCCTACTTTACTGAGGTTGCGAAACATTGCAAGCCAAGAAATTGCGAAATACAACATTCTATTGCGAGATACAGCTTTTGATTGCAGATAGAAAGGTCTAGTGCACGGTTCTGAATCCATCTGCCTGGTGGCCTACCTGCCTATACAGTGCCCCTCCCCCTCTCTCCGTCCCTCGCTAGCTTGCTATGAATGATTTGAGTTTTTGATTAGTTGCCGTACTTCCAAGAACACAGTCTCTTCATTTACAAGAAATACAGAATCTTAGGAGTCGATTCCTAGCGGAAGATGTTTTCTTTCTACTAAATGTCTTGGGAAGTCACAGTAATGAAAAAAATGTCATAGTATTTTTTTTAGGAAAGTGTGGTCTGCGCGCAGGCAGGCAGGGTCGTCACTAGTTACCACAGCCACAAAGTCAGAAGGCCCACCTACTCATCCAATCAGATGAGGGGGTTTGATGACGCGTATGCCGGCTTGCAGTTCGTGGGAAAAGACCAATCAGATGAGGGAGTGTGATGACGCGTATGCCAACCGGCTTGCAGGAGCAGACGAGAGACATGCATTTATTTTATCTAGTGATCCATCAATGATTTGCTTATTTATTAGCTATAATAAAACCAATCGTTATAAATGCAAAGTGGTAATCGGATGTCTTATTCAAACTCAGCTTGCAAGCTTATTATGTTTTCCCTTACTTACATACTTACTTGTCTTAACTCAAAATTGGTTTACTCCAATAGCTTTATTGTTTTTAAAATGGCATGTAGACAAACAAATGACACATCTAGATTTTAGAATGATATATTTGTAATCCAGTAAAATGTACAGTTTCACAGAAATTGCATATTTTTTTATTTGGCTGATTTTGGGTTGATTTAAGATTAAAACTTTAACCCTGTTACTTTACTTGGCACTTAATATAGTCATTTATTTAAGTTAACATAGCCTTGCAGTCCACCTTTTTGGTAGTTGTACCAGTTTCCGTCTCTGCAAAAACATGGTCTTCAAGCTATGGAACATGTAATAATATATTGGCCCATCCACCCCCCTCTTCGAAGGACAAAGGTAACTGTTTTACATTTTTGTTGCATATACATTATTCATACACTTTACATACATGCTTTTATACACAGTATTACATGATATGAATAGTTTGATATACATACTCTTGTAATAAGTTCCATGGGATCTTTAGTGACCAGAGTTGGGATACCTGTTTAAAGTCCCATTTTCTTCGATTTTATTGAGGAACATTCATTTTACATTTTAGTCATTTAGCAGACGCTCTTATCCAGAGCGACTTACAGGAGCAATTAGGGTTAAGTGCCTTGCTCAAGGGCACATCGACAGATGTTTTACCTAGTCGGCTCGGGGATTAGAACCAGCAACCTTTTGGTTACTGGCACAACGCTCTTAACCACTAAGCTACCTGCCGCCCAACATTCCATTGTACTTCAACATTATTAAAATGCAATGAATGTTTTAAAGTGTATGGTATAAATGACAGTGATCTCTTTGAACGTACTTCTTTCTTGTTCCTTTCAGCAGCATATTTCTCTTTGGCTTTTCTTTGTCTGTCTGTATTTCCCCTGGTGGCATTCATACATCTTTGTGCCCACAACTTCAAAGGGAACTTTTTCTCTCTCAACTGAGTTTTTTTTTTTTTTTTTCTGCCAAGGTCAAGAATATGATATGTTTCTATTAGAATGAAAGGCTTTTAGGGAAATTAACAAAGTTTCTCTATCAAATAGAATAACTCCTCTGTGCTTGGAATGGAATCCCTTATATTAGCAAGCTAGCTCATTTTAGATGAGCGTAGCAAAAGTCTAGGGAGTCGACCCACACTGCCAGCAGCATCAATAAATGAAGGATATTGTCAAGAATGCTGTAGGTGGGTGTAGTGGTGGAATCAAGCGCAGGACACCGAAGTATAGTCCAAAAGACTTTAGTTCAACTTCCAACAAGGAAAATACGAACAAAACTTGCCCGAAGGCGAAACTACGCACGAAGGCGACACAAACAAAAGGCGCACTAAACATGTGCGTAAACGCTCCAACACAGTGGAGTGAAACTCAACCGAGCGAAAGCAAAACAAGCACAACAACGACAGAAATAATCACACACAAACACAGACACACCCAACAAGACTTAAATAGAACACTAATGAGGACTAACTAGACACAGGTGTACAACATCAAGACCAAACCAAACGAACATGAAACATAGATCGGTGGCAGCTAGAACTCCGGGGACGACGACCGCCGATGCCTGCCCGAACCAGGAGGAGGAGCAGCCTCGGCCGAAACCGTGACAGATATTTACTGTATGTGACCTTAAAAACAGCCTATAACAAATTCCAAAAACACTTTTCTTTGTGTTTCAATGTGTAGCATTATAAAACTTTATAGCCTATTATTTTATTGGTTTTTACTGTCCTAAAATAATAATTGGCCACCTCAAGGTTCAGCTGTCAGAGATTTGAGCACTGCATGTAATAATAATAATAATAATGCCATTTAGCAGACGCTTTTATCCAAAGCGACTTACAGTCATGCGTGCATACATTTTTTTTGTGTATGGGTGGTCCCGGGGATCGAACCCACTACCTTGGCGTTACAAGCGCCGTGCTCTACCAGCTGAGCTACAGAGGACCACCTATAGGCTTAGGAGTCTACTGTATGATATTAATATTTAAAAAATTCATATAAAGAAAGAGAAGCTTAGGCCTAGCCACAGAGAGGGAGGGAGGGAGAGAGAGAGATATGCTGGCAGGATTGCTACAACACCGACATGCATTTCATTATCCTTGTCAGATAGGCTAGCCTACTGCATCTGCTATACAGATATAGGCATGCAGAAGGAGGCTAATTTGGTAGTTTTCGATCATAATATTTTTTTTATAAAGATAAGCATTGTATTGTAAGATTATAAGAGTAACTCTGATAGGCCTGAAAGAGTCTTCCTCACCAAGTTCAACTGTCAGTCAGCTCGAGCGCTGGTGCGCAATGCCCTCATATCATAGGCCTGCAGTGCATCTGACATCACTCATCAAGGTCAAAACAATAGAATACAGTACAAGAGCACAAGATTGGATAGTGGTAGAGGTTCCAATGGTGGCTTCTGATTTAGGGAGAGCTGCATTTGGTTTTTATGCTTTTACAGATGTGGAATGTGTTGCAGGGGAGACTCAGGCTTCAATGCCTGTTGCCCTTTAGGGAATTTAAAACATTAGTGGGGAATGCTCTAAGTGAAGATTGTGTTAGTTTGTTATGATAATCTTTTGTAAGTATTTGTTAGTATTTTATTGTGTTTTCTATTGATGTTTGTGTTGTGCTGGGCTCATTTGAAAAATGGACTTTGTCTCATTTGAAAAATGGACTTGGTCTCAATATGACACACTGTTAAAATAAAGGTTAATTTAAAAAAAAATGTACCACAACTAACCTTCACAAAAGTTTTTTAACTTTATTAGGGTACTATCAAAAGTAAGAAAATACGAGCAGGATATTATATTGTGGCAAACACAACATAACAGTGTTTGTGCACATTCATTGTTTCATAACTTCATTGTGTGAATTGTTTGCGTTTGATTGTTAGTGTATATCAATTCCCCATTACATATATCACCAGTAGTACATTTACTGTTAATTGCTATAATTTCTCATCTACAATGTTTGTTACTTTGGTTACGGTAATTATTTTAACGCATTCAATCTTTTTTTTCCAGTCTTCCCGTTCTCATTGTCTGAGTGGACACATTGTTTGCAGAGTGCACAACCTATGCTACACTTGTGAGAAACACGTTTTGGTTTATTTAATTCCATTTACGAGTTTTGTCAATTTAGTCATTGTCTTTTGTTTGGAGCGCTCCTGTCAATGTTGAATAAGGTCTATAGGCTACCTGAAAAATCTTTCCAGCTATCTCCCTTTCGATAACTACTCAGCGTGAAAGCGAAAAATGCTCTGATCCAGTGGAAACGTCATAAAATAGGCCTACCTGATTACTTCTTATCAGTGCTTGACTTGGACTGAAATAGCTTCCGGTACTCATTTTGGGTGCTGGTACTGTTTATATTTAGGTGCAGGAGCTCCACAATACTTTTGAGCTAATATTCTTCTATAAGAGGAACAGGAGCTCAAGCAGTAGAAAATGTGAGGTGCCGGTACTCTGCTCCGTTGAGTTCCTGCCAAAGTCAAACACTGCATCTTATCCCTTGCACAAATAGCCTACAGCTGTGTCTGTTCCGAGCTCACTGGCGCGAGAAACTCTTTTGAGGGCCCAGAATATTTTATACAATGTTGCAAGTTCGCTAGCACAAGCTTCGGGTTGGACCCAGTTAATAGTTGATACGTTTCAAGTTCGTTGCAGACAGGCCATGTGTAGCCAATGTGATTTATACAATCTTTATTTTTATCAGGATATTTTCTACCTGCAGGCTGCAATGTTTTTATTTGTTGGCTTTATGTAGGTTATTTTTACATATTTGGCAATAGAAGTTACTTTTTAGGTTTGTATCATTTTCATTTAGATTTGGATAGAATTTTGATTAACCACATGACAATTATTTTGAGATATGAAGACTAATAAATTAAATAAAACTGTTTCATGAAAATGTGCATATGAAAACCATAACTGGGACGTAGATTGGTAGAATTTGTAAGATAAATTGGCATTCAACATGAGAAAGGTTGCCGACTCCTCGTGTAGCCTATTAACGACAACTTCAGGAGAGTAATGGCAGAATCTGCGAAAAGCCAGTAGGAGCGGGAGGAGAATAGTTGGGTCAGGTTACGTTTTTTTCTTCTGGTTAACTAGATCTCTGGCACCCTCGTTGAGGCATTTGTCGTATTTCATCAAACCGTAAGCTTGAAGCATCAGACAAGCTCAATGCGTATAGTTCGTCAAAGCGTACCTACACCCATACCCACACATGCAGTCAGAGCCGGCCCTAGCCTTTTGGGGGGCCCTATGCTAAATTATGTTCCCCCCCACCTTGCAAGCAAAGCACAGCGAAGAGAGTTAATTTCATGCAATTCTACACATTTTGCCATGGGGCGTAGAGAAAACGTTAAAGTTTTAAAGCAAGTTTGCTGCAATACTACACATTTTGCCATGGCCAGAGAGAAGATATTGTCATTTTATAACACATTTCATACAATTTTACTCATTTTGCCGTGTGGCGGAGAGTAAAATGAGCAGTTTTACAGCTAATTTCCTGCAATTATAAACATTTTGCAATGAAGTGGAGTTTTGGGCGGTATCCAGATTCTCATACCTTCATACCGACCTTGTGCCATACCGGGATATCCGGTAATACCAGTACTGAACACCACAGGCTCTATTTTCAACTAAATTAGCAAAACAAATGCACAACTGCAGAGCATTTAGCACATTTTAGACAGTTAACTTAATAGTTATAAGATATTTAGCAGCAAACATTTAGTTGTAAATTCTGTAATTAGATCACCTGGCGCATGCTGCACAACAGTGAGTGACTCACAAGGCTCCGGTCTCTTGTCGTTGTGTGCTTGTAAACAAACACCACGTGACTGGGGACTACCGTAAGCTTAATAATAATGTGACGGATGAAATGAAGAACGCAATATACTTTATATCCTAAAGTATTGCACAAGTTCACTGCAGTTATTTACTTAAGTAGCTATAAATATTAAAAAGTATTAAAAAAGTCAAAGAAATAGTTTCAACAGTATTAAAAAACCATCCCGTGGCTATTTTCCAAATACCCCTGTATATGGGATACCGCCCAAGCCTAGTGGAGTAATTTTTTGGTGTAGTTTTTAATATGATATCTGATGTTCTTTTGGGGGCCCCCTAGTCGGTATTTCAACCATGATTACTACAAGTTTAGATAGATAGCTGCTAGACTAACTTACCAATCTAAAAATGTTTAGCTTGGCTAATTGAGTGACTGTCAGTGACTGACATAATGAGAGAAACTGCTGATGCACAACCAAATTTAGAAATTGCACCTTGTGTATTCTACTATTCTAACTCTCAACAGTAAGTTGAGAATACGACTGAGTTCCAAAGAACTGGACAGTTGCCCATCCCTGCTCTAATCAAACCGAATCACACCGAATCATTTCAAACTAAAACGTATGGTATCGGAGCCCATGTATCTAGATACATATCGAATCGTCTTGAAAAGGAAAGATGCACATCCGTAATCTACCGCGTTACACTGTATGGGTGTGTGAAGACAGTTCTTTATTGTTGACAGGTCAAATCTGTTCTTAATTGACTATCCTGTATGAAGATGAAAAATAAAATACTTCAGTATTTCATCCCTGTTTGTCCTGTGTGTTGCAGATGGAGCTAGAGAAGAAAAAGGCCAAGAAGATAGCGGAGCAGAAAAAGTCTGTGGACACCAGACTGGACCAGGAGATGACGAGAAACACAGAACTACAGAAAGAAATGTACAGGTGACAGTCCAACCTCCCTTCTTCACAGCACCCCCCTCACAGTGGCAGAGCAACCTCTCCATGTCTGTTACCACCATAGTTCTACTATAGAGCCCAGTTGGAGTAGACCCAGCCCATTCATCCCCGGCTTCACCAACCTTTGGTCTGGTGCCCCTCTCTGTGGGTGTGATGTGAGTTAGATGCGACTAATTTGTGGGTATGGGTTTGTGTTGTGAGTTAGCCTATGCCTTATTATGGTGTGTTTATGAGTTAGATGTGTCTTGTTGTCTATGGGTTTGTGTTATGATTATGTGTCTTGTTGTGTTTATGGATGATTGTGAGTTAGATGTGTCTTGTTGTGTCTATGGGTTTGTGTTGTGAGTTGGTGTCTTGTTGTGTTTGGATGATGTGAGTTAGATGTGGTTTGTGTCTATGTGTTTGTGTTGTGAGTTAGATGTGTCTATGGGTTTGTGATATGATTTATGTGTCTTGTTGTGTCTGGGTTTGTGAGTTAAATGTGCCTTGTTGTGTCTATGGATAGGTTGTTTGAGTTAGATGTGGGTGTTTTTGTCCATCAGTGGTTTGATGTCTGTTTCGGTGTTCCATCAATCAGACTGATGTAGTGCATCTGGGTCGTTCCATGAAATGAGTGCCTTTTGATATTTTAAGTAGAAATTGTGCACAGATAAGCTTGTTATATTAAATTTAGTACACTTTAAAATAGACCACATGGAAAATTCAATAACACAAATGTTTAATATGAATAAAGAATTGCTAAAGTGCTAAAATTCAGCATTTTGACATGTCCCTCTGTGTAACCTCTGTGACTTCTAGGAAGATTTTAACCCACTTAACCCCAAAATGTATCGAAGTTTTCACTATCATTGTAAAGCATTGACAATCATTTCTGACTATTATTATTTATTTAATGTAATTAGTGGTATCAAAAAACCTGTTCCTCATTTTAAGGTTAACCCTGTTACTCTTGTTTTAATACGGTGAAACTATTCCTTTATTTTTATTTTTGGCCATTTTCTGGTGTTTTGTGGTGGAAAACGGAGTGGGTCGAACATAATACGTCAACCCTGTTGCCCTGTTACAGGCTATAATTTCTTTGCACATAACAAGCTTCCATTCCCCCCGTCACAAGGGGATTTATGGCTGATTTTAAGATGAAATCGTCAACCTGTTACAGTCAATGCTGTTACTTTACTTGGCACTTAATAATATAGTAATTTTTTTATTTAACCTCTTGAGATGGGAAAACATGTTTTTTATTAAGTTGAACGTGTTCTTTATGACAATGTTAAAATTAAGTGAAACAATACTTTTTTTTCTTCTCCATGTTACCAATTGGGTACTCAAGGCACCCAATTGGTGGAACGACCCATCTGTCATTAACATTATATGTGTGTATCTGTCTCTGTGTGGGGTGTTGTACAGGCTGCGGACCCTGGTGAAGACGGCTAAGAAGAAGCTGCGGGAGCAGGACGGTGCCGGGGCTGAGTTTGGATCGCCCATGAGCAGCATGACTGAGGCTGCCATCGGCAGGATGAAGGAAAAGGTACTATGCCCAATTGATCCTGAAACCGTACCGAATTGCACCCTATTCCCTATAAAGTGCACTACTACTTCACTTCCAAGGGCGCTGCACTGCTGCTGACTCGAATCTGTGCTCCTCCGGAAATGTGTGCAAATCTACATCATTCAATAAGTGAAGTACTAGTGCACTATATAGGGAATAGGGTGCCACTACTAAGTAGTGCACTATGTAGAGAATAGGGTGCCATTTGGGACGCAGTTGAAGGCTCGTCGAGTTCAGTTTTGACACACACACAAGCTCCTTATCGTCCTCTTATTTGACGCCTTATCTATCTTTCACACATCTCATGTTCTACAATGTTCTGGGTCGTGTTTATTAGGAGCCGCAACAGATTTAAATGTTTTAATTTTTGCAACGTAAAACAAAAATGTGTATTTCTTATTAGATAAGTCCAGGTAGTCCTCCCTGTTTCAGGTTGTTTTATTCTGTTTGGTACCTAATTAACACAACCCTGTACTTCATACAGCTCCGGGGTCAAGTTTCCCCTAGGTATAGATCTAGGATCACCTTCCACTCCCCCAATCTGGAAAATGCAAAACTGATCCAAGATCAGCATTTAGGGGCAACTTCACCCTACACCACTTCATACACATCCTCTCGTCATACTGTTGTCTCACTGTCGTCTCAATGACCCTCTGTCCCCAGGTGGATGACCTGTCGGTGCAGCTGGAGAAGGAGGTGTCTCGCTGCAGCCAGCTGGAGAGGGTCAACGGGGAGCTCAAGGAGCAACTGGCCTCCCTGAAGGGCCTGGGCCGCAGCAACGAGCGGCTTGAGCGCAGCAAGAGGCACCTGGAGGAGGAGGTGGGTAGCCCCAGAGGGTAGAGGCGATCCAGTAGCCGGAAGGTCGATAGTTCAAATCCCGGGCCGGCCAAAAAACATACGAAAAAAGGGCTGGTTTTACCATCCAGGTTGTACCGGTTGTGCCATTGAGCAAGGCACTTAACCCCTACACTGCTCAAAGAGCGCTGCACTGCGGCTGACTTTCGAATCGGTGCTCCTCCCAAAATTTGTGCAATGGACATATTTTCTTTTAATATGTAAAGTAATCAATAAGTAAAGCATTCACAAGATCGATTAGTAAAGTATTATTCTGTTTTATTGTAGTTGTTGGGCCTGCGGCGGCAGGTGGAGGCAGGGGTGATGGACCAGAGCCAGGTTGATCAGTACCGACGAGACGCAGAGGAGAGGGCCCGCCAGGAGATCAGACAAAAACTGGAGGAGGTCAACCTCTTCCTACAGGTGGGGGGACACAAGACACATTCTAGAACTGGGCCCTGTTCCGATACCTTTAAATCGATCTGTAAGGACGTGGATAGGTAACAACATGGTTTCCAGCCGGTTACTATCATAAGCCTTACCGTGTTAGATCAGTGATTTCCTCATGGAAGGAAGTTGTCCATGAGGGCTGCTAGTTTTTCGATGTATTTCTGCCTGGCAGTTAATTAACAGATGAATGGCACTCACTTGGTGAGAGTTTGTGGATACACATGTTTTTACCAATGTCTGTTGCTGCCTGTTGAACACCTCCCTCAGACCCAGGCGGCGTCCCAGGAGGCGTTGGAGCAGATTAAGGCAGCAAACGAGGCCAGCCTGCGCTCCACGCTGGAGCAGCGTATCCGGGAGCTGGAGGGCGAGCTGGGCAGAGCGCACTCCACGCAGCACGACAGTATGAGCCTGCGAGACTCCACCCGCACCGAGCTGGAGCGCTACCGGGAGCTCTACACGGAGGAGCTGCGTCTCCGCAAGGCCCTGGCTGCCAAACTAGAGAGGTGAGACCAAGGACTGGCTGCATATATCTAGGACCTAATCCCAAATCGACCCCTAGACGCTACACCCTATGTACTTGTGGCGATCTGAGAGGATTTCACAGGTGTTACCATATTGCGTACACCTGTCTAATCCTCTCAGATTTCCACAAGTGCATAGAGAGTAGAGTCTAGGGGTTGATTTGGGGTTCGGCCTAGATGTTAGGTTAAGAGGGAAAGCAAGGTGATGTAGGTTGTGTTTATTAAGGCCCAAAACATTTTTTCTAAACTGAAACAGGGAAGGGACAACCTGGACTTTGTTCAACAATGTTCACTGTTTACCTAATGAACACCACCATAGTGTAGCTCTGTGGCAACCAGACAAATAGGACATGTTATTGTTTCAAGCTTAAAGGGATAGATTGCCCGAATGAAAACATTACTTATGTTTTCCTTCCTCTCCTGCCCCGTAGACTACTTTCAAGGTAAGGATATGTGCATTTGTTATTTAGCTGAACTCTCCCTTTAACTTCCGTGTGGTTATGTGTGCTTAGCTTGGGTGTGTCATCTCTGAATATAAGAGTCTTTGATAACAACAGAGATGTGATAGATCATGAGTGTGTGCTGTTAGAGATACCAAATGGAGGTCATTGTGACTTTGAAATGAACTGTATTTTAATTGCCAATAATGTTAATGTCTGACATGATTTGAAGCACATGAAACAACATTTATTTTTGTCTGCAGCCTACAGAAGTTTTGATAACACTTTACTGGGGTAGTAGGTAGCCTAGTGGTGAAGAGCATTGGGCCAGTAACTAAAAGGTTGCTTGTTCGAATCCCCGAGCTAGGTGACAAATATGTCAATGTGCCCTTGAGCAAGGCACTTAACCGTAATTGCTCCTGTAAGTCGCTCTGGATAAATGACTAAAATGTACTGTTGGTGTCCATATGCATGCATTCATAAAGCCTTTATAACAGCTATATAACACAACATTTTGTCAAAAGCTGTCATAAGTAGTTTTAAATAGTTATGAGTCACGGCAATCGGTTGTAATGGGTGTTAAAATTACTGTTCATCCTGGTTTCATATGCTCTAATGTCAACTGTTACTAACAACTGTTATTATGAAGTCTTCATGACAACTTATGTCATATGTTATTACATGCTACATAAGAGTCTACATACTAGTGATGACAAGTTCGGCTCTTTTTACTGACTCAGATCTTTTCGACTCATTTCGTTCATTTGATTCGGTAACGCCCAGAGCACGCAGGACCCCCTACCTGGCGAACGATTAACTAAAAACTTGAAAGAATCATGATTCTACAAGTCTCTTGTTCGCCATAGGGGGCTTATTATTGGAGCTGTCCTTTGTGACTGAGACTAATAAAAGTGTGCTTCAAACAATATACATTTGTGATTGCTAGCCATGTCTATTTATACCTTTGAAACAAGGTTTAGTTGTGGCCGCAACCGGACTAGATTGTTAACAACTCTTGGCGGAATGACACTGCTTGACTGCCGCGAGGCAGATCAGCACAATATCAGTCGCGAACTGCAGCAGCCCCAGAACGATTCGTTCTCGAGTTCGAGTGTTGAGCAGAGGCAGGCTGTGTATGTTTTGCTTCTAATAAAAGCTGTGTCCATCGAGTAATATTCAATAATCAATTAATAGCATTAATTATTGCACTATGTGATCAACTATCATTTCTAAACATGTATTTTTCTCCTCTCTGCTGCCTACAGCATGATCTATTTCCCTTCGCGCACATGATAGACTAAATAAGACAGTTGCTGGTCAGAGCACGTGTCCGGAGCTGATGAACCGGTGGAGCGTGTATTAATCCTGCTGTAGAATTCATTGTGGTCAGCAGGTCAAACGAACGGCTAAAATGAACGAGTCACTCGGAAAAACTAATCATGACACTCGAGTTAGTAAAAAGAGTTGAATTAATTGTTCGTGAACTGCACAACACTACTACATACCAGATGTTATAACAAGGTGTCATTTACTAACCTCCTGTGTCACATTATTACATTGAATGGAATGATGGGCGTCTTAACCATGTCATATGGCTAAGATGGTGCCGATAGAGGGCACCTCGCCTCGAGCGCCGATACAACATTGCAGGTTTCTTTTTTTGTGTGTTTTTCCTAGTGTTTTTCTCAAATGTTCTTGATCAGTTTGTTTTGTGCATTACTACACACACCCGGTATAACTTTTGGAATACGAATTGTTGGGTACTCACCGTCCACCCGACCTCCCCAAATTCCCTGAGACAGCAGAACAATGGACTAGCTTCTTCGGCGAGGAGCCGAGCCTCGGAGTCCTACCGGAGAGTAGGAGGCGAAGACGCCGACAGAGAGGCAGACGTGGCGGGGTCTTAGTGAGATTAAGACGCCAGGCAACCCATCCTCCATTACCGAGCATACTACTGGCCAATGTTCAATCATTAATGAACAAACTTGAGGATCTCCTTCCAGAGGGACATCAGATCCTGCAATATACTCAGTTTTTCTGAGACTTTCCTCCGACATCCAGACAGATTATATACAACCAGCGGGTTTTACAGTTTTTCGAGCGGATAGGAAGCGGGCTCTCTCTGGCAAGAGCAAGGGTGGGGGGCTCTGCTTTATGACCAACAACATATGGTGCGACAGGGGAAACATACAGGAACTTGCGGGTTTCTGCTCCGCCGACTTGGAATACTTGGTCATAAAATGTTGTACTTTTTACCTTCAGAGAGAGTTCACTGGGATTATTGCCATGGCTGTGTACATCCCACCCCAAGCCGAGACCAAAAAGGCTGTCAAAGACCTTCATTGGACCCTGAACAAACTGGAGACTGCATTCCCGGAGGCAGCGTTCATTGTTGCGGGGGACTTTAGCAAAGGTAATTAGATAACCGTGCTCCCAAATTATTACCAACACATCGACTGTCTAACTCACAGATATTCTACACTTTACCACTGCTACATGCCTTTTCGACATGGGTATAAGGCCCTCTCCCGTCCTCCTTTTGGAAAATCCGACCATGACTCCATCTTGCTTCTACAAACAGACTCGAGGGCAGTTCCGGTGATCAGGTCTGTACAGTGTTGGTCCGACCAATCAGAATTCACGCTCCAAGACTGTTTTGATCATGTGGACTGGAATATGTTCTGGGCTGCCTCTGGAGATAATGTTAATGAATACGTCGACTCAGTCATCGGATTCATAAAAAAATTCATAAATGACCTGATACCGATAGTATCTTTCAAAACGTACCTGAATCATAATCCGTGGATTGATAGCAGCCTTGTAGGGAAACTGAAAGAGAGAGATGCTGCTAAGAAATAGGGCCAATAGTTTGGTTAAACAGTACAAATATGATTTACGCAGACCGATCAAGATGGTGAAACACAAGTATAGAGATAAAGTGGAGGAGCAATTCAGCGGGTCGGACACAAGGCGTATGTGGCAGGGGCTACTAACGATCACGGATTACAAAAATAAAGCCAGCCACATCACGGTCACCAACGCTAACCTACCAGACGAGCTAAACACCTTTTTCCTCAAGATTTGAGTACAATGACCCTGAGCTGCCGAGGAGAGCCCCCGATGACAATGTGGGCTACACACTCAGTCTCCACTGAGGACGTATGTAAGTCATTCAAACGTGTTAACCCTCGCAAGGTTGCTGGCCCAGATGGCATTTCTAGCCATGCCCTCAGAGCATGTGCAGACCAGCTGGTTCTCTGACATTTTCTATCTCTCCCTAGCTCAGACCTCTATACCCACCTGCTTCAAGATGTCCACTATCAACCCTGTGCCCAAGAAAGGGAAAGTAACTGAACTGAATGACTACCGACCAGTAGCACTCACTTCCGTCATCATGAAGTGCTTTGAGAGGCTAGTCAAAGACCATATCACCTTCTCCCTCCCTGACACACTCGACACTCTCCAATTCGCCTTCCGCCCTGACAGATCCACGGACGACACAATCGCCGTTGCACTGCACACTTCCCTTACCCACCTGACAAAAGGAATGCATATATGAGGATGCTGTTCATCGACTACAGCTCGGCCTTCAATACCATAGTGTCCTATAAGCTCATTACAAAGCTCACAGCCCCTTTACTTCCTGACAGGCTGCCCCCAGGTGGCGAAGGAAGGCAACATTACCTCCTCGACACTGATCCTCAACACGGGGGCCCCACAAGGGTGCATCCTCAGTCCCCTCCTGTTTTCTCTGTATACCCATGACTGCTTGGTCTCACACAGTTCTAACTCCATCATCAAGTTCGCTGACGTAGTTGGCCTGATCACCAACAACGATGAGGCAGCCTACAGGCAAGACATAGGCACACTGACGGCATTGTGCCAGGTAAACAACCTTTCCCTCAACGTTGGCAAAACAAAGGAGCCGATTGTGGAATTTAGGAGGAACCAGGCTGGAAACGCCCCCATCCTCATCAACGGGGAGACGTTGAATAACTTTAAATTCCTCGGCGTACACATCTCAAAGAAGCTGAAATGTGCAGCGATGCTCCCCATCCAACCTGACAGAGCTTGATGACATTTGTAATGAGTTTCTGTAAATTATTTTTGGTAGCATTTCTATTTTGAAGATTCAAGAAAACTTGTTGTGCATTTTTCACAATTATCCATCCAATTAGCTTTTTTAAGTAATATTACACTTGATTATTCTTGAATAAGTATCTCCAATTATTTTTGTTTTTCCTCTAACCTATTTTGTGCCTCTATATTACAGTTTCCATTTCCATCTACCTCCTCTGTTATTTCCTTTATTAGTCTAATCTCTTTTGACCGAAACGGCTTTTGTTTTAATGATGAGTTTTGTATTGAATGGCCTCTAAAAGTACATTTAAAAGTGTCCCATACAATAAGGGTATCTGCTGTACCTGCGTTGTGCAGAAAAAAAGTATATTATCAATTATTCTGTCTTAGTTAAGAACAAATTGTCATTCAATAGGCTTTGATTACATTTCCAATATCCCTGTCCACGTGGAAATTCTGT